CTACACTTGGATCTGGAAGAGTTGTTGTCGGGGATAAGCCAATGAAACGGTCTGTTACGGCGAGCTTTAGGCGTGTTTTTCACTGAACTGTGGGTAATCCACTAGTAACATCAACGCTGATTGGTTGTCTGAAGTCATAGGGTAAAAGTCATTCATATGACCTCTGATGCTATCTTCCACTACAACTTGTCAGATCTTCATGTAGTGTAGGCCATTGAAAGTATTAAAAAAATGAAACGAAATATAGATCTGTATTTTAATCAGATTTGGTGGCCAAGATATTACATGGATTAGAGCACCTGTGCCATTTAATAAGTCAACATTAAAATGGATAATCATATTTCATTGCTACGAGACAATTGAGACTATCTACGATACATGTACATCTTGTCAAAACTTCATAAACTCATAACTTTGCTCAGAATAAGGAAATTTGACTGAAATTTTCCATAATTTTGAATTATCTATTTTTAAACTAATATAGCAAGTAAGGCCAGGTCTTACATAAAGGTACATGTAATGCATCTGTAAAGCCTCTGTCTGTGTCCTTTTTATTTTGCATCAACTTAATCCACATTCAACTGTACTAAATTGAGTATGCAAATGTTGATAAATATCTTTGTAAATAATGAACAGATTTGAATCATTTTTGGACTGATATTTGTTTTAGAGAGAGAGAGAGAGAGAGAAAGAGAGAGAGAGAGAGAAATGGGGTTTAACGTCCACTCGACACAAACTAGGTCATTTCGGGACTAAACCCACGAGGTTGGACAGGCGACCCTACTCCTTGTCACGTACAACCGGGGATTTGAAACCATGCCAGTCAACTCAATGACATGATACAGCGCGCGCACGCTAACCATTTAGCCATCCAACCCCCCAGAGAGAGAGAAAGAGAGAGAGAGAGAGAGTATGACAAACGAACACCTCAAGTAGTTTACCAGGAGCTTCACTCTCACAGTATCTCAGGTAGCCGAGGGGACCTACCCTTATAGTCCCTATAACCCAGGGACCTACGAGATCTTAATATGGTTCTAGATATGTATAAATGTACAATAAATATCCTTTTTTTAATTCCAGCAAGATTTCCCCACAGACCAGGATTGAAATTAAACTGGACCTAATCAATAATAAAAGCCTGTAATAGGTGACCAGCAAATCTTGTCTACATTTATTAGACATTATCAACAAGACATAGCAACAATTGAGGAGCTTTCAGATCTATTCAAACTTGTTTAGTATCAGACGTAATTAGATTCCAGTTCACAAATGTCTTGAAATTAGCATATAGAAGAATCCTCCTTCATCCACTGAGGCACTGTAAAGGTCGGACACTATTGAAAAAAGACGAATTAGCTATTTAATGGAAGGCGCCATGCATAAATGAATGAACATGAATTTAAATTAAAGTCTGAATTAAAAGCTAATGTCTGGTTTAATCGCGGGAGCAAATTAATGTACATAGAGTAGTTTATGACGGGGATGGATACATACATATGCATATCAATAAACTCATTTATCATTTTCTGGCACTTAAAGTAAAAGTAATTACATGCACATGTAAGGAATGGTATGGCAGTCAATATACATTTTTAGCAATTCACTCAAATTGGAGAAGAATTTGATTGATATACAAAGACCCAGAGCGATACAGGGTTTAACATCCACTTGACACAAACTAGGGACTAACATATGGTACAATTTTATTTCAATAATTCACATCGGGTGTAGGGGGTCTTTAGCAGTAGGAGGAAACAGAGAGAGAGAAATGGGGTGTAATGTCCACGACACAAACTAGGTCATTTCGGGACTAACATGGTTTAAATTTATTTCAATAATTCGCTTGCGCGTAGGGGTCTTTAGCAGTGGGAGGAAACCAGAGGACTTGGAGAAAATCTACGAGGTTGGACAGGCGACACGGGAGGAAACAAGAGGACATAGAAAACTCCACAAGATTAGGCAGGCAACCCTTCTCCCTTGTTATGTGCAAGCTTGGGAAGAGCTTGTGCGTAGGGGTCTTTAGCAGTGGGAGGAAACCGGAGGATCTGGAGAAAACCGTCCACTAACACAAACTACACCATTTTGGGACTAACATATGGTCCAATTTTACTTCAATAATTCACTTGCTGGTCTTTGGCAGTGGGAGAAAAACAGAGGACCCAGAGAATCAGGAGAAAACCCAAGAAATTGGACAGACGACCCTACTCCTTGCCACATACAACCGGGGAATAGAAACCATGCCAGTTGACTCAATGTAAGAGCTTATGATAAAACGTGCACGCGCTAACCATTCGGCCCTCCACACCCTTATAGCACACTGCATGGCTTATGTGTGTCATTAGCACAGTAGGAGCAGGACAGTAGGATGTTAAACCCCATTTCATTCCATTTATTGGTATTTAAAGGACAATATTGGTGCCAGTCATTATCACATATGTGATAGAGCTGGTTAAACACATTCCAAATATAATTTTAACACAGAGATCATTGCTACGATAGCTGAGTAATACAGTTTTCCAGAATCGGAAGTGACGAACGCCAAAGGAAAACACAAGTCATCTCTCTGGATAACTGACTGATGTGACGAGTGATAACGGATGTACGGGCGAATTTCTGCTCACTAATAATTCATTCGAAGACCAAAAGTTGTTGTATGAGATTGTGAGAGGATATCTAACAATTCATAAAAAGAATTGACTGCCACTAGATAAGTGAACACGAAAGAAAAACAGAAAAAGTCCGTGCATTACCATGTTTTTATAAGGTATAGAATGAATATAAACAAGGAATGTACCGACTATTTCTATTTTTCTCGTGTTCTCTTATCTAATGACATTCAATTTCTTTATTGAATTGTCGGGTATCCTCTTACAGTCCCATATATCAACTTTTGGTCTTCGAAGGAATTATTAGTGAGCAGAAATTCGGCCGTATATCCGTTATCACTCGTCACATCAGTCAGTTATATAGAGATATGTTATGACTCGTGTTTTCCTTTGGCGTTCGTCACTTCCGACTCAGGAAACCTGTATTAATTAGCTATCATAGCAATGATCTCTGTGTTAAAATTATATTTGGAATGTGTTTAACCAGCTCTATCACATATGTGATAATGACTGGCACCAATATTGTCCTTTAAATTAATTATGAGCATGTTTTGGCACTATATATAGAGATATTTAGCATTGAATTAACAAAATATTAATGGTATACAACCCATGGGTTTCACGTTGGCCGGTCAAGACCGAGGGCTATAGAAAATTTAATTTGCAAAGTTTTTGTGTGTTATCAAAAATGATCGGCAGTGAAAACTTTGAAGTGGAGGCCTGGATACCTTATGCCTATCAACGGTATAAAAAAGAGGCCAATCAAAGATAACTTTAGCTCAAAGAGTGTCCACAAGATTTTTCATTGTGATCAAGGGCAATAACTTTGGTAATCATTATCACAAATCAATAGGCGTCATCTTCTCATGACCTTAAAAATTGTATATGTATATATAAACTTAAAGTAAGCGGATGATACCTTTGGTCTATAAAATCATCCAAAAGATTTTTAAAGTGGCCAAAGGTCATGACTCTTGTATCATTATCTATACTAATATTTGTGTCTGTCTGTTTGTCTGTCTGTTCGGGGTTGGCGGCTACACTAGGTCTGCCCCGAGTCTGAAATTTGGGGTATAGGGTTAACTCGGACCGGGGAGTAACATAGGCCAGATGGTGTTAGTCTACCACTTCCGGTTTCGGGGTTATGACCCCTGTGCTAAGCCGGGCATTCTTCTAGTAAGAAATAAACAAGGTTTTTAGTTTTATGACCATACATGTAAACACTGTGTCTCTACAATGATCGAGGGCCATATCTCTGGCAGTAATTATCGACGTATAAGAATTAAATGAAACAGGCCCAAAATACGAAGTACCGGTACACATAATACACGCAAGTACCCTTTTCCTGATTTACAGAATACAGTTCGTTTGTAAATCAAGCATAGGCCTACATTGTAATCAAGCCTGGAAATAAGGCACCTGTCACAGACAATGTCAGGCACAGATTCAGGCTTTGTCGGGCACTAAACCTCTGGTGCCTGTCATTTTGTCTGGCACTGATTTGTCTTTTTTATTGATATTATTAATACATGTCCCGCACTAAGTTGAAAATGTCAGGTACTATTTCATTAGTGCCTGACATTTTGTCGCGTACATGTACATCTAAAACTGTTATTTCTAGGCCTGATTCAAGCATATATCACATGGTGAAAGAAATGTAAACAGGGTAAACAAACTGTCATCATTTCTGATTGAGTGAATGTAGTAAGGTAAGGGCAGATTGGCTATTGCTCCAACCTGACACTGATATTCACTAGGCCACTCTGTACAGTCACTGACGTGACAGGGATGACATTGATGCAAGCTCATAATATTAACTTGAATTAAATTCTAAAATACTTTTTGAAGTAATAAATAAAGCTGTTTGAAGTGTATTTGGATAAAAAAAATAATAGCGTAAATTTGTCATAAAATAGTATACAAAACGTAAAATGAGTAAAAGGCACCAAATATTCTTCCTGGACCAGTTTACATTATTACGTCTTATGTAAACAATGTACGCACTATTGATGCCAATGTTTGATGCGGTGTAATGTCACATCACATGTAGAATGCATGTGAACTTTATAAAGGTCAGTCATCTTACACCGAGTAAGAAGAAAGCTTTGCATTAGCCTACTTTTGTGAAATATTGCAATTGAACATAAGTGATTCTAGAGCTATATAAACCACACATGAATTTCTTCGTCTACAAGAACCTGGGTATCTGAATTAATCTATTGACTGTGTAACTAACTGTAAACGTACACGCCTGACATATAACTATTTGGTGTTTCGTCAGTGCTAATGGTTTATTGTGACAGTCTGCCAAGTTTGAAGCCAGTCCAAAAGACGAAATAAATTGGCATAGAACAGACACTTTAAACTATTGACAATATTAAAATCAGTTCTTACATTATCTGGCACTGTGTTTCGGCATCCCTCTTTGTAAAATATCCCCACGGTAGATGTAGTAAATATGCTCAGTAAACTATATAAATATGCGTTCGTTTTGACAAACTTACCTTGCCATTCACAGGAAATGAACAAAGGTTACCCCCCTTTCTTTGTTTTCATTACTGTAGACTCATTTGTCATATAAGGAAATTCTTTCGGAGCAAAATATGAGACTTGTTAATCAAGAGGTTAAGGCGAATACAAATTTCAAATCCAATTGTATTACCAAAACGAAATTTGTTATTTAACAATCGTTCATATACTCATCTATTATAAAAATACAAAGTTGGTATATTTATCGCCATTAAAAGGATATATTTTTGTTTCATATACAAAATAGACCCTTTATATATTTCCGAGTTTTATTTCGTTTACTTTTAATTACAAATCTGTATATTTATTAATTTCCCGCCATTTTTCATTTTTATTTTTGTAAACAGTCTGACTTTCAAAATAAAATGGTTTGTTTGTGTACATTTATAGGCCTATTGGTGTTTGTAAGTCATTAATTGAATATGGCCACATGCCACATTAACCATTCTTAGGTCTGATTAATTCTAGTAATGTCGCTAAGTAATAATTTGATGAAATCCTACTTCTTAGTTCTTAGTAGCAATGCAAAAGCTTTTTTATATTTTTGAATCTTGACTAAAACTGAATATTTACGAGCATTCCAGCCCCCTTCCTATTTAAGAAACCCCAAAAATTTAAAAATCGGTTAAGAAAGTTGTTGCACTTTTAAGACCCCAAATTGATGGATGTCAGTATACACTTTTTTTTAAAATATGCCAAAAAATGAAAAAAGAGACCGAAGACCATTTCCCAGCAACTATTTATTGAAGATTGAAGATATTGGCATCAAATTTTCAGGAAATATCCTTCCGACCATTAACTGACTATCTATTGGAATTTTTAAATTTGGGCTATATAATTTATTTGTTTTGATATGGGCCCTGGGGTCTGCAACATGGATAAAAAACCCAAATTTTGTTAATTTGTGTTGAAGACTTTTTAAAGATAAAATTCACTTATATGATGGACCTCAAATTTCGGGTATTGCTTTATGCCGGCAGAATTAATCCAACTTCCTAGACTGCTCCTCGATTTGTAGGTATCTACTTCTAGGGATCTTTATTGTACGCCGCTAATCCGTACATACGACCTTGTTTTTCATTCAACTAATCATTATCAGGTTCTCTGATCCGCAAAACAATGTGAATTCTGGGGATGGAGCACTGGACATCCCATACTCATCCAGCCCATTCTCTTTTCTGGCAACAGGGAGCCACGGTAGCTCAGTGGGTAGGACATTGGCTCACTCAACTTGATGTGCCGTGTTTCAATTCCTGCATTAGCAAGCATGTTCATTGTGTTATACACACCAGCCTCCCCCCAGATGTACGACAGTTGACCTAGCAAGTGACAACATAGTCATTCGGATAGAATAAAAAACTGATGTCCCATGTACGCATAAAAGAAACCTTGACAGTTGGAATTCGAAATAAGAGTAGGCTGTTGCGCCGCAAAGTTTCCCCTCATAGCACACTACAATGGCGTGTTCCCCCCTACCCACGCCCCCGCCCTCTTCATTAGCCCAGTAGGAGTAGAACATTAAACCCCATTTCATTTTCTTGTATCAGATTCCATATGGCTGTCATTTGATCACCAACAAAAAAGAAAGTAATCAAAGAGATAATTTTTAAAAAAAAATTAATTTTAGGGAAGTGTTATTAGAATCAATAAAATATTGTAACAATACAAGAGAAATAATTCAAACTGGGCACCAGACTTTTATATCCCTAAAAAGTGCACTTGAAAATCGTGCCTCAGAATCAGCCTACTGTTAGCAAAAGGGAAACTTGGTTTGACACGTTCACAGTAACAAGAAAGCTGCTGTGGTCTGCACCCACATCGGTGGAGTTAGCTTTTCATTTCTTCCACATGATTCGTTTTCCCGAGCTCTGGCACTAGTTCCAACGGTTGGTGAATGAAATACAGGTCAATATAACTAGAAAAGGGGTCATTTTATGAGAAAATACGTTTACTTCCAGTGACAAGTGTCGTTTTTGCCTTTTTCTGATAATTTTATTTTTTCAAAATATAAAAAATCAGTCGTAAATAAGTTTCTGAATGTCTAAACCACGCTCGACACAAACTCTGTTGTCTCCTCTTCACGAAAAGTAAAAAGTCATCGGTGTTGTTGGTCATACACCTTCCCGAAGTCGTGGAACAAAAACGGCAGATTTTACGGTCAGATTTTTTGACAGTGATAAAAAATAGTATCAGTGGCGCCCCTAGCGAGCTTTAGCATTGCTATTCTTAGTTGATTTCGTGGGCGTGGCAATCATGTTTGATCCTACTCCTTTTTCTTTTTCCATCACTTTTAGAAGTTTTACACCGAAAAATTAGCGGTAAGCCGCCCATACTGTGTCCACATAGGGTCAGGTATTTAAGATTAAACCCATAAGACAAAAAAGGGAGTCACATCAAACATGAATGCCGACTTCGTTTACAAAATTTGCTGATGTTTCGTAAGCATCAGAATATTCAGAAGAAATTTTGTATCGATATATAACACATATATATTTACACTGTAACCGGGTTATCATTTAATCTTGTGAATTTAGCATTAATTTCTTTAACATTCACTCAATATTAATTAAAACTTTGTTTGAAAATTCGTAAAAATCATTTAAAATCACAAAAAATCATCCAGTTTGTACTTGTATCCATTTTAAAGCTGACCATTCAATTTTAATAATGAGTGTCCAATTTACAAGCATTTGATTTCCTGATTAATCATTATACCCGTACATCAATAGTCAATTGATTTTGAACAATATATAACAGTGATAGAGAAATTAAACACTAATTTGTTATTTTTTCGTATTATTACGTGACAGGATCTAAACTGATGTTTTTATATCGTTCCAGGTGTGATACACATTCAATACAACTCCCCAGCCCCCTGTTTCCTTCAAACAGCCAAAATGACGACGAAAATGTTCAATTTTTTGAAGGAAGATACAAGGCTGTTTAAATTCCAGAATTGTATCTACAAGATAAAAGTGTTATATGATGATGAGAAAAATTTGGCAGACATTGTTCCTAATTTTTCTCAGAAAGATGCGAGTGAAGATCTGGAGAATGTAGTTAGGGCAGTGTTGTATGTTTTAGAGAGAAAAGGCGATTTTAAAATGATAGTCACAGAACGTTTTATTGTCACGGTTAAAATAAAACCGTGGAAAGCATCACAAAAAATCGGTTTTAAAAAAAATGGCCATGTCATCAAATCTTGTCCATATATGATAGTTCTAAATGTAAGGTTAAAATTTAACCAAAGCAGCACTAAAAAATCGTACGAGCTTTCACCGACACCATTAAGCAACGAAGCTCTACAAAGCTTAAAAAAGGATGCCTTAAACTCAGACGTAAGAGTTATGTTGAATAAATTGAAACTGCCGCTAAAACAAAATCAAAATAAAAATGATAATAATTCTACTACTAGTCAAAAACATGATAAACGGAAATCTAATCAACATTGTCAACCAAGTAAAAATGTTGAAGTTGGAAATTCCAGTCCAATAAGTGAAGAATCAGAGGAGGAGTCTGTAACATCATCTGTTGAAATGTCTGATTGTCCAGCAGAAGGTCCTGTTATCCATAGAGGAAGACGAAAAAGAAAATTACCAAGATCACAAAGTTCATCCCCTACTCCAGTTACCACAGTTCAAACTAGAAGAGGAAAGATGAAGAAAGGTGTGAGTAATGAAAAAGACTCGATTGTTGTCCAAGTGTCAGTTCATCAGAGTATGGACAATCACACTTCTGTGTCGTCAAGTTCTAAGAGTCATCAGTCTGGTATAGATCAGACAATGGAGAGACCTGTGAAACAGAAAACTGCTTTAGATGATAACATAAGAAAAAATAGAAATCTAGTTCAAACTCTGGATGAAAATGAAGGTCCTCATCTAAGATCATTTAAGAAAAGAAGCAGTAAAAATAAAAGTAGCAACTCAGAAAAAATGCTGTATAAAAGTAGCAATTGTGACTTAAACATGGACTCTGTGAAGCGTAAACAACCAGATATAAATGTTACACAACTCCATCATCATCAGAAAGACAGACATTTTATCGAGAAAGAAGAATTAGCAGAAGATATGAAATTACAGCAACTCGCTAAATCGTCTCCTAGTGAAAAGAAGGACCCGAAGCGAAGTAGTTCTGGTATTTGGAACATTGTTGAAACCATCATTACACCCGTCAAAAATGTTTTCTCCAGGAAATAGAATAATCGGCAGAAATGACATTATTTGAATTTTATTTTCATTTTTAGCTAATATCTAATATTTCACGGCTGAGTGCTGCTAAAATGAACGAAAATTCATCATTTAACATTAGATTAAGAAAACAAAATCAAAGTAGCAAAGTCAGATAATCTAGCAACTTGGATTCAATCGGATTTAAAGTAGCTAAGTCTCTAACTCAATATCATCCAAAATCTTCAACATTGAAAACACAATTTATTTGTCAAATTAAATCAACATTCATGTTGTGATCTTACTGGAAAAAGATGGGCTTTTGAAATCCAATATTTAAGACAAAATAAAAATTTTACCATTGGTATACGAATCGTGTACCATAATGCGCTTCAGTCCCAGTTGTATCAAGAGACTCGAGGGTAGAGGCTAGACACATTGCACCAAATCAAACGGCGTATGTAGACAGGAATAACCAGACGCTAGAAGTTTGCACTCGCTTGAGACTGCTGGCTTATTTCGCCGAACATAACTTATTTGAAATTGGAAACCATTGAATGTAAATCAGTTTATATACATTCATACTACATTATTATATGTGTTGCGACCCACTTTTGTCAATTTGTAGGTCCCAAATGTTAGCGATTTAGCTCCTTTAACTATTTCAATGAAAATCCTTGGTGGTTCAGGTGTGTATTGACTTGAAATATCCTATACATAACATGTACATGTAATCTGCAGTGGATCCCAAATGTTGACAAATTTTCATTTCATAACTTTATCAAGTTTTGAACAGAGATCAACCATTTTTGGATTGATATTCCTTTCCAACGAGTAAACAACACCTTAAATGATAATCAGAGACGATATTGGAAAATGAATCATTGAAGTTTAGATAATACTAATCCCCAAGCAACTCACCTTGTTCATAGACTCCCTGCTTGAAGACCTTCCTGCCACTGCGCTGCTAAAGACCCTTACGCACTAGCAAATTGAACCATGTTATTTCTAAACTTACATAGTTTGTGTCGAGAGGACCTTAAACCCCATTTCTCTCTTTGTCTTCTTGGGAATGGCGCTCTTTGAAAAAAGTCTAAGGCTTCACAAATTCAAATACATTTGACATGGTGATAGTCCTGGGACAATAGTGCATGATTTGACAGGCTTCGATTTTCAATATGACTTCAAAATTCCAAGGCGATGGCGATGACATCATTCGTGATTCCTGGTCCATATATAGTATTATCGTACTTGTTTTAAGAAGCCTGTTTTATGTTTTTTAGAAATTAAATTTTTGTGTTAAAAGACTTTTACTTTTTTCAGTAATGAGTGACTTTTATTGACACTTTGTTTTAGTTTTACTTTCACTTTCCCCCATTGAAATTTATCAATTTCAGTGATGAACTATTGTAATTAAATTTTATTGTAATTTTTATTGCAAGTTTTTTTTATTTGTTAAATTTTTAAACTGTATATATGAATGTAATTAATCTACCTGTATGTATGAGAATTTCTATTGTTGTATGCAGGCCTGATAGTAATTATTTTAGTTGTACATGTAGTACACATTGACATGCACATAAAAGATCCCTTGACAGTTGGAATTTGATATAAGAGTAGGCCGTAGTGCCACTGTCCGGCGTGGTTCCCCCTTTTCAGTGATGCAGGAAGGAGGGCCTGACAATGACAGCTGTCTAGTCGTTCGAATGGGACGAAAACCCGAGGTCCCGTTTGCACATTGGCGTGCACATAAAAGATTTTTTGACAGTTGGAATTCTATATGCCGTAGTGCCGCTGTCCGCGCAAAATTTCCCTCATAGCATACTGTATGGCTTATGCCCGTCTTCATTAGTCCAGTTTGGAGCAAAACGGTAGGATGTTAAACCCCATTGCATTTCCAGTTATTGTACTTCTACGTGGGAGCCATGGTGGCTTGTTGAGTAAGATGTTCGCTCACTAATCCTGGAAGTCCCATGTTTGATCCCTGCGTTGGTCAAGAAAGTTCATCACGATTTTCCGGGATGGTTCCTGGTTGTTAGTAGTGCAGGACCGAGGGCCCGGAAAGGAACTAGGTATTGTTGTTTGCATGGGTAAGAAAAACTGAGGTCCCATGTGCACATTGGCGTGCACGTAGAAGATCCCTTGGCAGTTGAAATTTGATATACATGTACATGTAAGAGTAGGCCGTAATGCCACTGTCCGTCAAAATTTCCATCATACATGTAGTACAGTGTATGGTGTATGCCCGTCTTCATTAGCCCAGTTGGAGCAGAACAGTAGGATGTTAAACGTCATTTCAATTTTGAATTCTATGTCGGACAAGTGTTACATAAATACATTGAAAATAAACAAATCAAATGTGGACAAAATGATAGGCGCCACAGGGATTGTGCCTGACATGACTTAAATTTGTGTCTGTGATAGCTAGGTTTTATGCAGTTAGTTATTGTTCAAGAAATGAAATGTGTCCTGATGAATTATATTTACGATGGTTAATTTCTTGAATTATTTAAGCTAAAACTTGCACATTTTTCAGTTTTAATTTATTATACATCATATTGATGTATTACTGTGGTATCAAAACATGGTTAAATCTATTTGTTAAGGCCAGCTCAATTTTTGTCAAGGTTGTTGAAATGTAAATAAGGTTAGGGCACGTGATTGTTGGCGAGATTGTAGGTTAGGGTTAGGGTAAGCATTGGGGTTAGGTCCAGGGTTAGGGTAAGGGTTGGGATTAGCGCTAGCCCTGTTTACATCTCGTGACCTATAACGAAAAATTGGGCTGGCCTTATCATTTAGCACTAACCAACAAACCTGGTATGTTTATATTTTATCATAAAATTGACATAATCATGGTGGTAAAACAATGTTATTCATGCAGGAGTTTATATTCTTCCATTTGCACAGATACTTATCTAGGCAAACACAAGGTAGCCTACATGATGACAAAATTCTGAAACCAGTTACATGTACATGTAGGTAAAAAATGTATTCACCTTTCAAAATAAACAGCTGCGTTTCTGAACTGTTAACCCATTAGACTAATGGTCTTTATTTTCTTCCTACATGTACCTATTTATTTTTTGTGCCTTTTCTTTCGGAACTTTATTTCTATGAAATAAGGTATAGAAAAAAATGTGCAAGCTCGGAAATGAGTTTATAGAAAGAAATGGTAAAGCTGGAAAAAAAACCCCAAAAACATCAAGGAAAAAAAATAGGTATGTTTTGGAAGAATATATAGCCCTGCCCCTCCCCCCCCCCCCCTGTCAATCATGTTTTTATAGCCCTGCCCCCCCCCCCCCCCCCGCCAATCATATGTTATGTTTATTTATAGATATTTACCATGTAATTCATTGATTTATAATATTTAAATTGTTAGTCAGTATTATATAAACACAACTTACAGGTTATTGGGAATAGTTTTAACATTTCATTATATTAATAAAACATATATTTTAGCTTTAAATAAATTGTTATGGAACATGAAAGTTATTAATCGTGAATAAAGTTAATATAAATTTCTTCTCTTTTTATTTTATTTGGATGGCATTAGATGACATCGAAGTTTTGATGCAGAGATTAAACATCCAATTCGATGAAACCGAAAAAATTTTAAGCTTTTGTCATGGCAGAGTGTTGAAATTGTCATAAATTTTGTACAAATTGTTACTGTGGGGAAATCATTCAGTTATATGGGAATTGGCTCAAAAGTGACATGTTATAGTTATGGTTGCCTTTGTAGTATAAGGGAAGCAACTCCATTTAGTTCTCAAACAACTGTTTTATTTAGTGCTGTTCCGTCATAGATTTTGTTATGCAATAAAAAGTAACAGACAATATTAAGGATGTGAATTATATCTGATATTATAGGTGTCTTCTAGACTAAATCATGATAATAATATGTTCCGACCAGAAACTTTGGAAGCTAAAGGGAGGTAACTGTCGAGCAGCTCTCTAGTAATTAAGATAAAATTGATCTCTCTGGCGAGTGGCACGTTTCATCAGAAAATAAACACAGAACTTGACATATTTGAGTAAATTAATGAAATAGGGAAGATTTTACTGGTGAACTGAAATGCCGACAGTTGCAGTAAAAAGAGATGAACTATTCCAACTCCTTGGAAAAACATACAGTGAGTATTAATCTTTGAGAGGCATTTAGCAACTGGATAGAGCAATAAACTATAACACATATTACATATACCACATACCGGTACTTATTTATGGAAAAACAGCTATAGTTATAGTTTTTTTTTGTATAAATTAGCCTCATAATATTTGTATTAGCTTGATAACGTTGAGAGAATACTCTTCGAAACGTCACCCAAATAAATAAGTAGGCCTAGCTGTTTTTCCATAAGTATGTGTTATAGTTTATACAGTGTGAGTGAGTGGTTGTATAGTAAGATTGATTGACTGATCAGAATCACAGAGAGGGGGACATCAAATCTTTATTAAAGGAGCTAAATCGCTAACATTTGGGACCTAGAAATTCACAAAAGTGGGTCGCAACGCATATAATACTGTAATATGAATGTATATAAACTGATTTACATTTAATGGTTTCCGTTTTTACTCCAATTTCAAATCAGTTATGTTCGGCGAAATAAGTCAGCAATCTCAATCGAGTGCAAATTTCTAGCGTCTAGTTATTCTAGTCTACATAACTCCATTTGATTTGGTGCAATGTGTCTAGCCTCGTCCCTCGAGTCTCTCAATACAACTGGGGCTGAAGCGCATTATGGTACACGATTCGTATACCAATGTTAAAAAAATTATTTTATCTTAAATATCGTATATCAGAAGCTCATCTTTTCCCGGTAAGTTTACATCATCAATGTTGATTTGAATTGACCAATAATTCGTGTTTTCGATGTCGAAGATTTTGGAGGATTTTGAGTTACGGACTTAGGTCCTTTAAAGAGTTCGAGTAGGCTTAAAATAAAATTATGTTTTTGAATTAATACTGTTGAAGGATCAAGCTCAATATTTTCAGTAATGTTTAAAATCCAAAACAGGAATTAAATTCAACATTTTTCCATTTCAATCAATAATTTGATGTCAATAATCTTTGAGAGGCATTTAGTAACTGGATAGAGCAATAATTAAACAACACATCTTTATGGAAAAACAGTTACTTATTTATTTGGGCGATGTTTCGAAGAGTATTCTCTCAACGTTATCAAGCTAATACAGTAATACTGTGTACTGTCACACCTCTACCAGGATGGAGGTCCTGACAAGGGCAGCTATGTCTAGTCGTTCTGATGGGATGAAAAACCCGAGGTCCCATGTACACATTGGCATGCACGTAAAAAATCCTTTGACAGTTGGAATTGGGTATAAGAGTAAGCCATAGTGCCGATGTCCTTTAAAAATTTGCCTCCTAGCACACTGTATAGCATATGTCTGTCTTCATAATCCCAATCAAAGCAGAACAGTAGGACGTTAACCCCATTTCATTTCTTTTCACATGATTGATTTTACGAGTAAAATAACAGAAAGTGACAATTGTCTTTTTGCAGCTGATGAAGAATTTGATCAGCTGTGTTTTGACTTCGGTGTTGAACTTGATGAAATAGTAAGTATTATTTTCTTCTATCAGACATAAAACAGCAACACTTAAAGATACATTATGGGAGATTTGGTAACGAGTTGGCAGTTCTCGCTATAATAGTTTTACACTAGATAATGTAAAGGCAATTTGCTGAAAATTTCATTCAAATTGATCCAATATGAACCGAGAACTAAGTTACCTAAATTCCCCCCTAGCCTCGGTCATCATTACTAAAGTCAGTACAATAAACAGCATAGCCTCGATTATCCATTAATCGTTAAATCGAGAAGGAAAGTTATGCAGTAAATCGGCTCACAATCCACTAAAGATCGCAGGCTAGCGCTGCCATCTAGAGTTGATTATGTCCTGGATTGGTTAATTAATGTCTAATAATTTAGATAACATTTCAGGCCTAAAGAAAGACCTGCAATAGACAGATTTAGCTCTCGCATAATGTATGTTTAAAAGTTGTCTTTTTAAATGTGTCAGTTAATCAAATAACACACTTTTACTGTGGTTTATTTCACTGCCACATTTCGACAAGATTTCACAAGTCGTGTATTACAAATAGATAAAATGAATGTGTTAGTTTTTGTCTGGGCTACTGTAATCTCAAAATAAATGTGTCTCTGACATGAACTTTATTTATGGTCTAGACAGCAATATTTGCCAGGCCTCCTGTATAATTAAAATACATATTAAAATAGATACAGTACTTCTATGTTTACGATCAATAAATAAGTATAAAAATATGCCAAATTTAAAATATTAACCACTTTTACTTCTCCATTATATACCATGTATAATGTTTGTCTTTCTAGCATCTGGGGGGTTGGATGGCCGAATGGTTAGTGTGTGTGCGTTGCATCATAAGGTCTGTCATTCAGTCAACTGGCGTGGTTTCGATTCCCTGGTTGTACGTGACTAGGAGTAGGGTCGCCTGTCCAACCTCATGGGTTTTCTCCAGGTCCTCTGGTTTCCTCCCACTGCTAAAGACCCCTACGCACAAGCGAATTATTGAAATAAATAGAACCATATATAGTCCCGAAATGACCTAGTTTGTGTTGAGTAGACGTTAAACCCCATTTCTCGCTCTTGCTAAATGATGCGGAATTAATTGACTGTATTAGTAAATATTATTATTATTATTATTATTATTGTAGACATCAGAGAAAGAACAGATAGAAAGAGAACAGGGTAAAGAGAAAGCAAGTGGAGCATCAGATGTTGTAGAATATAAAATAGACGTACCAGCTAATAGGTTTGTAAAATCAGGCTTCCATAAGTCAAGTCACTATTCTACTTAATCCGTTGTCACCTTGCTTTTCCGACATGGTTTCCCCATGTCAGTGGTGCAGGAGGGAGGGCCTGACAAGGATAGCTGTCTAGTTGTTTTGATTGGATGAAAAACCGAAGTTCAGTGTATACATTGGCATGCACGTAAAAGATCCCTTGGCAGTTGGAATTTGATATAGGAGTAGGCCATAGTGCCGCTGCTGGGACAAAATTTCCCTTATAGCACACTGTATGGCGTATGCCCGTTTTCATTAGCCCAGTGGGAGCAGAAAAGTAGGACGTTGAACCCCATTTCATTTGTCATCTAGCGTAGGTCAACTGTGTGACCCCATGTCAACTAGCGTAGGTCAACTGTGTGACCCCATGTCAACTAGCGTAGGTCAACTGTGTGAGACGGTATGAGACCAAGGATAACGCAAGGCCGCTGTCGGTAGTTGGGTGACATACAGGTACTACAGGGGTGTCGCAAAATAGTATCACCATAGAAATATATAAATATTTATATCTTTGAGTAATGCAGTGTGACACAGTAGTACTTGGATCAGGTTGTTTAGCCTTTTATGGCAACTAACAGCCCAAAACAACTTGCAATGACTCAAGGGTGACATTATGATTATGATAGACTTTAATCGATTTACCAGCTAATAGGCTTGTACAATATAATGTTATAAATCTTGACTATTGTTTTAATATGGTTAATACTGTAATTAAACTGTTGTTGTTTATTTATTGTTTTTACAGATATGATATATTGTGTATTGAGGGTATATCAAGAGGGTTACTCGTATTTCTAGAAAAGTAAGAATTTAAAAATGATTCTAATCACCTCCGCCCACCCCACTCATAAAATATAGTCATCTTAGGTAATCCCTTCACCCCATTATGATATGTGCTATGGAAGTTTTATTCAATATTACATTGCTTTATAAGCCAGACAAACACTAAACAATATATCTTAAAGATACATTATGGGAGATAAGATAAAGAGATGGCAGTTCTCGCTATAATAGTTAAAAACTAGATAGTGTAAAGGTAATTTGCTGAAAATTTCAGTCAAATCGATCCACTATGAGCCGAGAACGAAGCGGGTGAAATTTTTGCATAGTCTCGGTCATCATTACTAAAATCATTAATATAAACAGCATAGTCTCGATTATCCACTGTTTTGATTTAATTATCAATGGCCGTTAAGCGACATATAGGAATCTAGTCCAGCCAACATCGAAGGCTAGCCTTGACATCAAGAGTTTATTATGGTCTGGATAAGTTAATTAATTTCTAATTGATAATTTAGATAAAATTTCAGGCCTAAAGAAAGACTTGTAATAAGCAGATTTTGCTCTTGCATAATGTATGTTTAACTTGATAATTTAGTCGCTCGATAAAGAACCTTACCACAATTTATTGTAATTGTTATGTTGTTACTCCCAGTTTGAAGTCCTGTATTTCCGCGGTATACATTTTTCCAAAATGTACCTTGAATGCTTTATAAGCTCACTCCCAAATGGTACATGTATTTACCGTGTTATTAGTACCAGGACCAACTCCTTTGGATAAAATTTACCATGGACGCAACCTGCAAAAGGTATTGTCTTTATCCAAAGGAAACAGAATTATTTGGCTCCTCTGGCAAGTTACTGAGGAAAAACATGTCTGCGATATCACTCAAGAAGGGAGCGGACGTTAAGCCTAAAGGAACGAACGACGAATGGTACATTACATGTAGATTTTTTTTTTCTGCATTTACTTCCAACACCTGATATCATAGAACTACGGTAGGGAAAAAATAAAAAACAATTGGTCTTATTTGGGTTAACAGTCCAGAAATGTATCTATCAATGCTTAGGGTGGGGGGGGGGGGCATGGTTGCTTAGTGGGTGAGAGGCGGGCTCACTAGCCTGGAGGTCGGGTGTTCAATTCCTGCATTGGCCGAGAAAGTTAATCCAGCTTTCCGGTGTGGTTTCCCTCTTGTCAGTTATGCAGGATGGGGGGCCTGATAAGAACAGCTGTCTAGTCATTTGAATGAGACGAAAAACCGAGGTCCTGTGTACATATTGCCATGCACGTTAAAGATCCCTTGTCAATCGGAATTCGATATACGAGTAAGCCATAGTGCCACTGCCCGGCCAAAATTTCCCTCATAGCACACTGTATGGCGTATGCCCGTCTTCATTAGCCCAGTTTGGAGCAGAACAGAAGGATGTTAAACCCCATTTCATTTCATTTCCGCTTAGAGTGGGTACGTTTTCAGAATTGAGTCTGTAACAATCTTGTTGCTTTTTATCTGTGCAAAAGAAAGAATATATTATACTCCTGCTGTATTTATGTATCTCTTTTATTTATCAGATTAAAGGCACCACGATATACAACAGTTGAACCAAGCGGTGAAAAACAAAGATTGACAATTTTACCTTCCGTAAGTTGACTTGAGTCCAATCCTTGAAATAGAACACTTGTCACAGATAATGTCCGGTATAAATACAGGTTTTGTCAGACACCATCCATCTGGTGTCTGTCATTTTGTCGGGCACGGATTTGTCTTTCTTTGTGTTTTTAATGATATTTGAAAAATGTCTTGTATCAAGGTTAAAATGTTACAGTTTAAATTGTTATTTCCTGACTTGGATATAATTTATTCAATTGAATGAATTCAGGGTTTTACACAATACTTAAACCATTTTCACACTAACATATTGTTACTTTTTGTTATATTGTTATATGGTCTAGTTTGCATTACTGGTATGGTGAACTTTACCTCCCACTGCTAAAGGCCCCTACACGCAAGCAAAATATTGCCCCCCTCCCCTCTTGTCTACATAGCTGTATTTTCACTTACCATTCCTTGAATTAAAACTGTTGAGGTGGATCTCGGGGATTGAGTCAGGGATTGTTAAATCTGCACGCAGGATGGAGGGCCTGACAAGTACAGCTGTCTAATAGTTCGGATGGGACGGAAATCCGAGGTCCCGCGTACACATTGGTATGCACATAAAAGATCCCTTGACAGTTGGAATTTGATATAAGAGTAGGCGTAGTGCCGCTGTCCGGGCAAAATTTCCATCATAGCACACTATATGGTGTATATGCCTGTCTTCATTAGCCCAGTTCAGAGCAGAACAGTAGGACGTTAAACCTCATTTCATTTCGTTAAATCTACACAAGATTAAATACCACTGATAAGGAATTGACAGGTTTAATTTTGTTACCTGATAAAGGTGACTAATCAGTACCTATTTTAACATGCGTCCACTCAACAGAAACTAGTTCATTCCGGGACTGACATAAACTCAATGACAGACTTGATAATCTACAGCACTAGTGTTAGATCACTAGCTCTCAACCCATGCAACAGCCACCTTGGTATTTATATCTTTTCTTTCAGTTGTCAAACATATATCTGTTATTTTATTTAAATTTCCAGACTGGTCAAGTTCGACCTCATGCTGTGGCTGCTGTGCTCAGAAATATCACCTTTAATCAGGTAGGAGTTATTTGAGCTAATATATTAACCAATAGTTATTGGTGAAACTGTTTCATTTATTCTATTTTTTTAAATTTAGTAGGAGCTGCAGTTGCTAAGTGAGTAAGATGCTGGCTTACTAACCGGGGGATCCATGGTTCATCCCAGTGTGCTTTCCCTTGTCATTGGTGCAGTGTCTAATTGTTCAGATGGGTCGAAAAACAAATGAAATGAAAGAGGGTTTAACGTCCTACTGTTCTGCTCCGAACAGGGCAAATGAAGACGGGCATACGCCATACAGTTTGTTATGAGGGAATTTTTTTCCGGACAGCGGTACTATGGCCTACTTTTATATCGAATTTCATCTGTCAAGGGATCTTTTACGTGCACGCCAGTAAGTACACGGGACCAATAAATACGACTAGACAGCTGTCCTTGTCAGGCCCTCCGTCCTGCATCACTGACAAGGGGGGAACCTGTCGCAAAAACAAAAGTCCCATGTACACATTGGCGTGCACGTTAAAGAACCCTTGACATATAGCACATTATATGGCGTAGGCAATGCTTGTCGTCATTAGCCTCAGTTGGCGGAGAAATGTGGGATATTAAACCCCATTTCATTTCAATTCAAATTCAGTGATTTTATTGTTAGATTTCTGTTGTACTTGCAAATATATCTTCATTTTAATTATTTTCAGGAACGATATAAAAGTTTCATTGATCTTCAAGAGAAACTTCATCAGAATCTCTGCAGGCGGAGATCTCTAGTTGCCATAGGAACTCATGATCTTGACACTCTTAAAGGACCATTTACATATGATGCCAAACCCCCAGCTGATATCAAATTTCAACCTTTGAATCAAACTAAGGAATTCACGGCACCTGAACTCATGGAATTATACTCAGTAAGTTATTTACTAAATTTTGAGTGATGGGTTCTGTCATTGATTCCAGTGACGTGTGTTCAATTCCCTTCTTGTATGTGACTAGGGCTGGGTAAAATATCGATATAAATCGATAGTATCGATTGGACGGCCCAGAAAAGCACTATCGATAGCGGTGGGTTACTATCGATTATCGCTCTTCGTCTATTTTTCTTGCGTCTGAAATGTCAATGTTTTCTTTCAGTTAATCATAATACACCGCTCACTTTAATTACTATCAAGTATCAATGTAACTCATAACAAAATTGTGACTGCTTATTGAACGGCTGTTTTCATAAATTCACTCTCATTGAAACGTTACTTTAGTTTTGAAGAAATTATTGTTGAATATCGCTAAATCGGAGATACCCGGATGTGTAAATAAAGTTAGAGTTATTTCCCTTTGCAAGCTTCAGAATTCGTCTGCCATATTGATATTTTCGCGCGCACGTACGCAATGTTTTGAATCGGAACAAGTTCATTTTGGTCCCTTAACATAATTATTTACGATATTTCTTCATTCGGAACCACGGCTGCATTATTTTAATAATAAACAACATCAATTTACGTATATATACGTGATATAACAAGTTTTATTAATGTTTTCCAAATAAATCTCCTTGGACAGGAGCAAACGATGTTTTGCAACTTCGTATGGTTTTGAACTTTGAACTTACACTGTATCCAGTCTTGATGACGACCGTGAAAATAAGTTTGTTTTCGATACTATCGATTATCGACCGACATTTCATTGCCGATTATCGATAGTAAAAATCACTATCGATACCCAGCCCTATATGTGACAAGAAGTAGGGTTGGCCTGTCCAACTTGGTGGGGTTTCGTTGGGTTCTCTGGTTTCCTCCCACTGCTACAGACCGCTACGCATAAGCAAATTTTTTAAAATGATTAGTGCGGGCACGTTATATGATGTCTGTCATTGAGTCAACTGGCGTGGTTTCGATTCCACAGTTGTATGTGACAAGGAGTAGGGTCGCCTAAAGATCCCTACGCACTAGCGAATTATTGAAATAAAATTAAACCACATGTTAGTTCCGAAACCCCATTTCTCTCTCTCTCTATATATATATATATATATAAATTGCGTCGTCGCTAAATACCACTCAGTATAATGAAAGGAAAAATAGATGTGATAGTAAATGATTTTGTTTATTATAGAAAGATGCCCATTTAAAACAGTATCTACCTATAATACAAGACAAACCAGTTTATCCTGTTATATATGACAGTAATAAAGTTATTCTATCTATGCCACCTGTTATAAACGGTAAGTAGTGCTGTTTTACTATTACTAAAATTCGTTTATAGATGTATTTATATTAGGCCACACAAAATAAATGTCTTGTTTCTCGGGCAACTGACAGCTAAAACTGTAGGGAGGGAGGGCGGTTTCTTTTTTTTTTTTACTCATTGATGGTGCAAAATAAAATTTGGCTATTGCTGAAAATTGTTGGGGAGGGGAGGGCGGTCTTTCTTTTTTTTTTTTTTTAAATGAGAAAGTCATTACTTGTTTACGTTTTTGCTTTCCGTTATATTCAACTTTATTGTACATACTTAAAACATAAACCCAAAATCAAGTCTACTAAAACACTGAGACTGAACACTGACTGAAAGGAAAATAATTTTCCATATTTAATTCACATAATTGAAATTGGTTTAAAATAAAATTCCATACGACTATGTAATAGCCCTCCATAAAGACAACAATATTTTTAAAAACTAAGCCTCTTTCACCAGGTGTATCAAAAATAATAATCATGGTAAACAGTATTTAAAACTAAATCTAGTATCGCCGGTTTATTTATAATTATTTACCGAATTCCAACCAATGCATGTCACACTGTGTCATCGGTATTGGAGATTGCCGGAAATACTGTTTCTTGGGATATTCGGTGTGTTTCTCAGGATATTCGGTGTTCTATCCGGTGTTTATATTGAATGACTATTTAAATCTAACTAACAACTGGTCAGTAAAACCATCAAATCGGTAATCCAATTATTATTTTCCGGATTATCGAAACTACCGTAAATGTGCTAATAATGACCCAGATTCTAAGGTATGCATTATGACGACTATCGTCATCGTATCGTATTCTTAGCTATAATTAATTAACCTGTTCTACGGTTCATTATTTTATCAATAGGATTTTCCAAACAAGGACCGACTGAAGCCAGCAATAATGAGCCGATTACGATCGAATGATTGAAATATTGTCGCCAATGACTTTTAACACGAATCAAATTCTAGTTTATCAGGGGAGGTAATTAATATCACATGATACAAAATGGAGGTTCTTTCGATATCAATAAAAAAGGCAAATCTGCCAAACTTCGCCATTGTTCGGATAAAAAAGACAGCATGTTCATCTGAATCAGTTTTAATACATTTGAATAGATATACATGTATGGCGGATGTAGGTACATGCGGGATATTTTTTTTACGACTTGCTTGTCGATGTGCGTGCGGGCGTTACATATTTATTTTTTTTCATCAAGACTAATAAATAGACTGCACGCGCAACCAATTTTGCGTGCGGGCGGTGCCCGAGAAACAAGTTATTTTATTTGTGTTGCCTTATAGGTAACCATAGTAACTGTTAATACAAGGAATATATTTACATAAATACATATATATTATAGGTAACCACAGTAACTGTATTTGTATATATTATAGGTAACCATAGCAACTGTATTTATATATATTATAGATAACCATAGCAGCTATATTTATATATATATTATAGGTAACCATAGCAACTGTGTTTATTTGTATTATAGGTAACCATAGCATGTATATTTATATATATTGTAGGTAACCATAGCATCTGTATTTATATATATTATAGGTAACCACAGTAAGATAACGGTTAATACGAAGAATGTATTTATAGAATGTACGGCAACAGACTTACATAAAGCTAAAACAACTCTCGATACCATAGTTACCATGTTCTCTGTTTATTGTGAAAAACAATTCACGTAAGATCTTTTCTATCAATTTATATCTACTTGATAAAACACAAAAACATAATATGGAACACAATTACTATTTTAATTAAAGTTCTCTCAATGTAATCAAGCAATTTTCATTTACTTATTTCATAAAACTGGTTTTATATTAGACCAGCGATTCTCAACCAGTGTGCTGCGGTATTTTGAAAGGCACACTAAAAAAATGCGAAAAATCACATGATCCCAATTGAGTATTCGCTGATAAGTTATTAAACGTGTTTTACTTTATTTAGTTTAAGACATTCTATGTTTCAATGACTAGTCTCTGTCTACGGTTATATGCCGTTTAACTGCCATGTTTTTATTTTGCAAATTTCAAATATTTTTGACATATATTTAGCCAGATGTGCCGCTATTTTTTCATGTGTTTCTAGGTGTGCCGTTGGCAAATAAAGGTTCAGAACCACTGTATTAGACGTTCGTGTATGTAGAGAAATGAAATGAAATGAAATGAAATGGGGTTTAACGTCCTACTGTTCTGCTCCTAACCTGGGCTAATGAAGACGGGCATACGCCATACAGTGTGCTATGAAGGAAATTTTGCCCGGACAGCGGCACTACGGCCTACTCTTATATTGAATTCCAACTGCCAAGGGATCTTTTACGTGCACGCCAATGTGTACACGGGACCTCGGTTTTTCGTCCCATCCGAACGACTAGACAGCTTTCCTTGTCAGCCCCTCCGTCCTGCATCACTGACAAGGGAGAACCACGCCGGAAAATCTGGATGAACTTTCTCGGCCAATGCAGGGATCGAACACCCGACCTCCAGGCTAGCGAGCTAGCGTCTTACCCACTTAGCCACGTGATCCCCTCGTGTATGTAGATTAAACACTCCTATTTGCCCATCACTTGAAATTTGGACATCCTCAAATATGGATGTACTCTGAGTCAGGGTGATTGTTTACTACAGATAAGCAAGATATTTTGTCAAAGAATATGTCAGTTTTTAGCATTATTAAAATTTCTGTATATGATCTTAAATGTTTAAACTATAAAGTTAACTGTATTTATTGTATTTGAAATTCTAATTTTATGGCATGTATATTGAACGAGAAGCAAGTTCTCTAGTCAGTCAGTTTCACTGCCAGTTAGTAAAGTGTTGTATTTATGGCTGAAATAAGAGTCAAGCTCTGACCACAACATCAGCCATTAAATTTTGCTGGACAATTCTTACAATTGACAAGAGTCTGGATGACTGATTGTTTAATATCAAAAATTCAACAGTCATCCAGGCTCTTCTATCAATTGTAAGAATTGTCCAGCCAAATGTGATGGACATGGTTGTCCAGTGACGTACATGGTTGTAAAGAATGGATTTTCCTCTATTTTTTTCAGTGTTGAAGCTGCTGAAGTTATTCAACCAGATGGAACCAAGATAAATTATCCAGTAAGTCATCTGAGTTTAATATCTATTTTCGAAAAACTAACTTATTAAAATGAAGTGGGGTTGAACATCCTACTTTTCTGCACCAACTGGACTAATGAAAACTGGCACATGGAATTCGATATGAGAGTAGGCCATAGTGCCGCTGTCCAGGCAAAATTTTCACTGCATGGCTTATGCCCATCTTCATTAGCCAAGTTGAGACTGAAAAGTAGGATTATAAACCCCATTTCATTTCTCAGTCAACACAGGGATCAAGCCCTTAACCTCCTGGCTGGTGATGATGATTTGAAAGGTGTGTAGATATTGTCATTATCCATTCTCCCAAGCAAAGTTGTCTTCCCTTGCAGTTCACACTAACCTTGAATGCTGGATAGCAAGACATGTGTGAAGAATTGTAGTTATCCTGTGTTATTTCAGAGTTTACCGTACAGATTTATATAGATGTAGCTGTGTTTATAATTATCCTGTGTTTATTTCAGATTTTACCATACAGTCTGTATTTATTTCAGAGTTTACCCTACAGTCTGTATTTATTTCAGAGTTTACCGTATAGATTTGAAGAAGTAGTTATGTTTATAATTATCCTGTATTTATTTCAGAGTTTACCGTATAGATTTATAAAGATGTGTTTATGATTATCCTGTGTTTATTTCAGAGTTTACTGTATAGATTTATAAAGATGTGTTTATGATTATCCTGTGTTTATTTCAGAGTTTACCGTATAGATTTATAAAGATGTGTTTATAATTATCCTGTGTTTATTTCAGAGTTTACCGTATAGATTTATAAAGATGTGTTTATGATTATCCTGTGTTTATTTCAGAGTTTACCGTATAGATTTATAAAGATGTGTTTATGATTATCCTGTGTTTATTTCAGAGTTTACCGTATAGATTTGAAGAAGTAAATGTTGAAAGGATCAATAAACAAGTTGGTATCGAGTAAGTTAACCCCAAGAGTAGGTGGAAATGCCACTGTTCTGGCAAAATTCCGTCTCCTCACACATATATCCATCGATACAAAAATTGACACGTTTGTCACAAAATAACTGAATTACCAGTAAATCTATTGTGTTGATATGTTAATCCTCATTCGAGAGTCTCCAAAATCATTGTAAATTATCTCACGAGATTTAGCAATCTGTTATCTCATGAGAATCCAAAATCATAGTAAATTCTAGCCATCTGTATCTTGTGAGATTCTAAAATCATTGTAAATTCTTGCAATCTGTTATCTCACGAGTCTTCAAAATCGTAGTAAATTTTAGGAATCCGTTATCTAATGAGATTCCAAAATCATTGTAAATTTTAGCCGTCTGTTATCTCATGAGATTCAAAAGTCGTAAATGTTAGCAAAGCGTTATCTCATGAGATTCAAAAATCATTATAAATTCCATTACTTCATAATCATAGTATATCTTTACAGAGATTTTTTTTTTTTTCAGTATAACAGCCGAGCAGATGGCGAAATACCTGACTAAAATGTGTTTAGTAACAGAACCTTTGAAAGATGGTCAAAATTTAAAAGTTGAAATTCCTCCAACAAGAGCTGGTATCCTTTAATCAATCAAACCATAGTGTGTTATTGGAAATAGAATGAAATGACTGTTTCTCTGTTTGCGACTCTTCAGTGAGGAATGTCTGTTTCTCTGTTCTTGACTCTTCAGTGAGGAATGACTGTTTCTCTGTTCATGACTCTTCAGTGAGGAATGTCTGTTTCTCAGTTCATGACTCTTCAGTGAGAAATGACAGTTTCTCTGTTCATGACTCTTCAGTGGGGAATGTCTGTTTCTCAGTTCATGACTCTTCAGTGAGAAATGACAGTTTCTCTGTTTGCGACTCTTCAGTGAGGAATGTCTGTTTCTCTGTTCATGACTCTTCCGTGAGAAATGACTGTTTCTCTGTTTGCGACTCTTCAGTGAGAAATGACCGTTTCTCTGTTTGTGACTTTTCAGTGAGAAATGACCGTTTCTCTGTTTGCGACTCTTCAGTGAGAAATGACCGTTTCTCTGTTTGCGACTCTTCAGTGAGAAATGACCGTTTCTCTGTTTGCGACTCTTCAATGAGAAATGACCATTTCTCTGTTTGCGACTCTTCAGTGAGAAATGACCGTTTTCTCTGTTCGCGAATCTTCAGTGAGGAATGATGTAGAAATCGTTATAATTATGGTACAATATTCTCAGTGATATCATCATTATGTGACATCAGTGTATTTTAACACTGTATTTAAGGACCTCGATCATTTCAATCGTGTTATTGGAAAAGGATTGAATTTCTTGGTTTGCGATTCTACATTTTAACACCATTTTTAAGGACTTCATTTCACATGCTACCTCTATACTTCTAATCTATTTTTAATTTAGCTAAAATGTCGGCTCAATGCAAATTGAGTTGTTGCATGAGACACCTTCCTTCAGGAGAATTCAGTAACTATTGTACGGTCTATTTATATGACGGTCATTATAGGATGAAATAGCACAAGTGATTAAAAACATGATTTACATTTATAAAAGTTACCTCAGCATTGAAACTACCTTTGGAAGATTAAAATGTGTAAATTTAAAAATGATTAAAGTAGTAAGATAGAAGTTTTATGTTTGACAGACAGTAACTACTTCCATTTTGTATTGTTTAGACATACATTATGCAAGAACAAAATCTGCCTATTACAGGTCTTTCTTTAGGCCTGAAATGTTATATAAACTATTAATTAGACAATTATTAACAAAACAAGACCATAATTGACTCTCGATGCCATCGGATACTCAAGATTTTAACTAGATTAGAACAGTTCGCCATTTAAAAATTTAGTTTAAAAATGGGAAAGTGAGGCTAAGTCTCAACCAGTGATAACTTGGCTCAGAATAGAGTAATTTGAATGAAATTTTCAATATATTCATTTTACATTATCTATTTTTGAGCTGTTATAGCAAGAACGGTCAGCTCTTTATCTAAATCGTACATAATGTATCTTTAACACATGGTTAGATATTTTACATGGTTGTGATATCATGGAAGATGTTGCTATTGGTTACGGTTTTAATAATATAAAGAAAACTATTCCAGATACTAATTGTATCGCAAATCAGGTTTGTTCTTTAATATAATGTCGTTACGAGATTTAATTTTTGACCACAAGGCTGCATGTTTGTTCCTCAATCAGACTGGGTGTCAAAGGTCTGTCCTGTCTACCTGTCTGTTACGGGTTAAATTTTTAGATGGATTCAACAACGGTTAGGTTTAGCCGTTAGGGTAGGCAACCCTTAATCCAGAATTCCCAATAGAGAGAGTGAGATAGTTTACTGAACACAAACTAGGTCATTTCGGGACTAACACATGGTTCAATTTTATTTCACGCAGTTGGAAGGCGACCCTACTCCTTGTTACGTACAACCCCCTCCCCCCATAGATAAGTTTCCTGTATAGAAATACCCCCCCCCCCCACCCAACTGGTTCCGGATTGCAAAATAGACAAACACCCAGTTTTGTTAATTTTCAACGGACATATAATGACATGGAAATTTGTTAGTTGTTGAATCTATGCAATATAATTATTGATCATTATATAAATTATTATTGTTTCAGTTTCCGTTAAATAAATTAACAGATTTATTACGTCAAGAAATAGCTGGTGCAGGATTCACCGAGGCTCTAACTTTTGCTCTTGTAAGTAAATTTATTCAATTTACATGTAATTTGGGGTATTTCTGTATATTCTGTGTACATTGCACATATTTTGTGCGAATTCCACATATTTTGTGTAATTTCCACATGTTGTGTGTATATTCCACATATTTTGTGTATAGTCTACATATTTTGGGTATATTCCACATATTTTGTGTATATTCTACATATTTTGTGTATATTCTACATACTTTTGATAAATTCCACTTATTTTTTCAGTGTTCTAAAGATGATATAGCTGGTAAACTGGGTAACAAAATAGAAGATATCCCAGCAGTTCATATTGCTAATCCTAAAACACTAGAATTTCAGGTAAATTTTCTTATATATAATTTATAATGGATACATTGATATCAAGATGTCCAGACATCGAATCTCTAGGCAAAGACTGTATAGACTGTGAAACGTTCCAGGACATTGTCTGCTGAAGAAAGAACCACTGTAGATCATAAAGTCTGTCATTGAGTCAAGTGGCGTGGTTTCGATCACAAACTTGTGTGTGACAACGAGTAGGGTCACCTGTCTAAATTCGTTGGGTTTTCGGGGGTGTTGGATGGCTGAATGGTTAGCATGTGCACGCTGTGTCAAAGTCTGTAATTGAGTCAATTTGCATGGTTTTTGATTCCCCGGTTTTACTGACAAGGAGTAGGGTCGTCTGTACAACCTTGTGGGTTTTCTTCGTGTCCTCCGGTTTCCTCCTACTGCTAAAGACCCCTATGCGTAAGTGAAGTATTGAAATAAAATAAAAAATCATATGTTAGTCCCGAAATGACCTATTCTGTGTTGAGTGGACATTAAACCCCTTTTCTCTCTCTTGTGGGTTTTTCTCCGTGGACCCTCTAGTTTCCTGCCACTGCTAAAGACCTCCCCCCTCCTCTGTGACACAGAACTTAATGACTGATATATACAACTGTTTGATTACAAATTATTATTATTATTATTATTACAGGTAGCAAGAACAACTTTACTACCAGGTGTATTAAAAACAGTTTATAATAATCAGAACATGCCACTACCTTTAAAACTGTTTGAAATATCAGATGTTGTCTATCAAGATCCCACAAAAGGTAGGCTTAATAATATTAATACACTTTCTTAAAGGCTGTATACGCACCACCCTTAAGACAGAGTCACACTACACTACAACTCAGGTATTATTCAATCTTTGAATGGCATTTAGCGATCAGGAAACACCTTAACAGAACACAGTTGTTATGGGATACAATCACTAGTTTTATTCTAAAAGCACGACGTTTCGACAAGTATTCTCTTATCGTTATCAAGCACAATGATAAAAGGATACTAGTTGAAAAGTCGTGCTTTTAGAATAAAACTAGTGATTGTATCCCATAACAACTTACGGTATCATTTAGTTGTGCTGTTCTAGCAAGAGTTTATGTATTTAATGTTTAGTTTCAATCTCATACCTTTGTTGGCGAATTGTTCAAATTCAGCGAAAATCATTAAAATATATTTGGTTTCTACTGTTGTGTAGTTTAAAATGGTCTGTGTAGATTAGATAGCCTAATAAGTGTTGGGTTTATAACTGTTAAGTTTCACTACTTACTTAACACTGCTAGTGAAAAATAAAAGTAAGCTTAACCCTTAACACTGCTAGTAAAACTAAACAGTAACCCTTACCCTTAACACTGCTAGTGAAACTAAACAGTTGCCCTAAAATCTTAACTGGATTCATTTCAAATTTTGTTAGACAGGTTATGCCTATTGTTGAACATTTTGTCATTGTACCACCATTAATTGATGTTATTTATCTATCAGATGTTGGATCAAGAAATGAGAGAAGATTATGTGCTATACATTATAATAAAACATCAGGATTTGAAGTGATACATGGTTTATTAGATAGAGTGATGAAGTTATTAGAAATACCATATGATAAAACTAATGGTTATTATATTAAAGCTAGTGATGGTAAGATTGTTAATTATCTCCCTTTCTGGATTGATCCCGGTTTTTCTCCTTGTCATTGACAGAGGACCTGGCAAGGAACATTGTCTTTTTGTTCGGATGGTACAAAAAAAAGTAGGTCCCATGTACACATAGATGTGCAGGTAAAAGAATTCTTGGCATTTGGAATTCGGAATCGGCTGTATCACTTTCTTCATTAGCCTGGTAGGTGCATCAGGGGTGGCCGAACTTTTTGTAAGGTATTGCATCAGGGGTGACCGAACTTTTTGTAAGATATTGCATCAGGGGTGGCGGAACTTTTTGTAAGGTATTGTTGCATCAGGGGCAACTAAACTTTTACAATATAAGTGTCAAATATTATCTTTATAACTTAAGGAGATAAAAACGTTATACACTCTATTGATTCTTGATTGGATCTGATGCTTTTAAGTGACGAGGAGTATGGTCGTCTGTACAACCTCATGTATTTCCTCCCAATACTTCTAACTACCCCTACACACAAGCGAATTATTGAAATAAAATTGTACCGTCTGTTGGTCCCAAAATGCTGTTTGTGTCAAGTGGACATTAAACCCCATTTCTCTCTTTATTTATCTTTCAGATTCTACGTATTTCCCTGGTAGATGTGCTGAGATAATGGTTAATGGTCAATCTATTGGTCGACTGGGTACACTACATCCAGATGTTATAACCAAGTTTGATTTAAATCAGCCATGTTCAGCTCTAGATATTAATATTGAATACTTTCTGTAAATCCTATTTATAAATAAATATAAATCATCCATTGTAAACAGGGTTTCTTTTTTGTTGCTTTATTGACAATGTGAGATTTAAGCCATCAGGCCTATATATACTGGGGGTGCTCGATTGTCAGTCCTGGGCCCCGTTTCTCGAAATCTTAACTAAAGATAAAATCCAAATTTTAGTAGATACTTCAATTTTGATTGGCTAAACACAAAAAATCAATCTAATATTATCCAATCAAATTACTAAAATTTGGATTTTATCTGAGTTAAAATTTCATGAAACAGGCCCCTGAACATCCCGACTTGACAGAATTGCAATCGAGTGATACGGAATTCAGTCCTGCAGTCACGACAGCTAGGGTGGTGTGAGTAGAATCATGACGTATTTTAAGTAACATATATATTTCAGCTGTCATGATTGGTTGAGATATTTTTTATGCAGTCGGCACATGGCATGCGTTGTACTCGGAAATTCTCCCTTTCACTCGGTTGACACTATTTTTTGAATTGAGAGAATTTAATTCCGGATCATTTGATCGAGTATTCCCACCATGTCTCCTTGCTTTACAGATTTAGATAGGTAGTGCTCATTGTGATTTGTTTAAATCAGGTTGTTCGATCCCCCAATTCGAAGGAGTCCAGGTAGCTATGTTACTTGATCACTAACCAGGCAATCTGAGGTTTGCTGTATACCATTATGTTAAAGATCCAAGTATAACAGGTTGTTTTAGCTCTGCTATTTTTGGACAAAATTCCCTCATAGCATAGTGCATGGTGTATATGGGTGGAGCAAAGCTTGAAAGTCAGGTCATGGGAGAAAAATGCGACAATAGCCTATGTACTGGTCCTGTTTAAAGGTAATGATGTTGAAACGGGTTTTAGTCTCTGACATACTGTCCTTGTTATAGAGAGAGAGAGAAATGGGGTTTAACGTCCACTCGACACAAACTAGGTCATTTCGGGACTAACATATGGTTTAATTATATTTACATAATTCGCTTGCGCGTAGGGGGTCTTTAGCAGTGGGAGGAAACCGGAGGCCCCTGAGCAAACCCAAGAGGTTGGACAGGCGACCCTACTCCTTGTCACATACAACCAGTGGACTCAATGACAGACTTTATGATACAGCGCGCGCACGCTAACCATTCAGCCATCCGACTCCCCGTCCTTGTTATAATGGAAGAAATAAGATTATATAGACGCTACTGTGGTTCAGTAAGTCGATGACTCGCTACACTGATATCCCGAAGTGGTGGCCCCTTGTCCGTGATGCAGCGTCTAGTCTTTTGAGTTAGACAAAAAACAAAGAACCCTACAAAGTCAGAATTCAAAATAAAAGTAGGCTGTAATGCCGCTGCCGATGCGTTTGCATGTCTTCGGTAGCATTTCTGTCCAGAGATCGCAGTGGATCAATTTCGGGTTAGGTAAAAAATATGCAGACATTCAAAAATTTTGGAGGGGATCACGGTGGCTAAGTGGGTTAGGCGCTGGCTCGCTAGCCTGGAGGTCGGGTGTTCGATCCCTGCATTGGCCGAGAAAGTTCATCCAGATTTTCCGGCGTGGTTCCCCCTGGTCAGTGATGCAGGACGGAGGGCCTGACAAGGACAGCTGTCTAGTCATTCGGATGAGACGAAAAACCGAGGTCCCGTGTACACATTGGCGTGCACGTAAAAGATCCCTTGACAGTTGGAATTCGATATAAGAGTAGGCCGTAGTGCCTCTGTCTGGGCAAAATTACCCTCATAGCACACTGTATGGCGTATGCCCGTCTTCATTAGCCCAGTTCGGAGCAAAACAGTAGGACGTTAAACCCCATTTCATTTCATTTCATTTCAAAAATTTTGCGTTTTTGCCCTCTACATCTGCATGACATAGAGCCTCTCAATAGAAGCAAGTAAAATCGTTATTTCATTGATACTGTATTTAGTCTAATGACAACTGGAGGTTGACGGCAAGTCCATGGTTGATGGCACAGTCATTTCAATCTTTCACTTCGACAGGAAGCAAAGAGGAAACTCGCTATGAAAGCCAATATTTGATTGGCTGAATGTAAACAGCTTATGGTGTTCTAGCCAATCCAAAATTTTGTATGAAATGTGCTTTATTGCTTCCAGTGCAGAAAAATAGGGGTTGTCTCAGAATAGCTATGTATAGAAGGTTTACTGCCATGAACTTAAAAGATTATAAACGAAATAAGAGGAAATATAAAAACCCAGAGACTATGTACAGAGCGGTGTGTAAATGCCACACGAAGCACAGAAATTGATGACGTAGTGTACAAACTACAACATAGAATAATCTAATTATTCTCATGTGGGGGAAATTTTCTGTGTGTAAATTACCTAGCGTCCGTCAATATTTGCGTTTATTTTGAAAAAAAATGCGTGAAAGACGCAGATTTTTGCGTGACTGCGACCTCTGCTTCTGTCAATGTTCTACTTGAACCAAGAATGGAAATATTGTAATTCAGGATAGACAATACTGTTTGGAATTTATTTTTTTTACAAACAATCACATGATATCACAGATATTTTATATAAATTAATCACAGATAAATAAATAATTACTCGGATACGACCATTCCTCGTAACATAACTCTATATTGTTCTGTTACGTCACCTTTTAACGTCACTAATACTGACGCTTCCATCGTTTGATTGGGCTGAAATATAAAAACAAACAATTAACGACCACTCAACACAAACAAGGTTATCTTGAGACTAACATATGGTACATATTTATTTCAATAAATCGCTTGCTTGAAGGGGCCTTCAGCAGTGGGAGGGAACCAGAGAACTTAAAGAAAATCAAGTATAAGCAAAATTATGCCACTTCACTAAATGACAGAACTACCCTACCGTGCTATATAATTACATGGAATAAGACCAAGGAGAAAGAGAGAAATGGGGTTTAACGTCCACTCGACACAAACTAGGCCATTTTGGGACTAACACATTGTTCAGTTTTATTTTAATAATTTGCTTGCGTGTAGGTGTCTTTAGTAGTGGGAGGAAACCGTAGGACACGCAGAAAACTCATGAAGTTGGACAGGTGACCCTATTACTTGTCACATACAACCTGGGAATCGAAACCCCCCCAGTTGTCTCAATGACAGACCGTATGATACAGTGTGCACATGCTAACCATTCGGCCATCCAACCCTACATAAGTCCAAGGCATGCACAACAACTTATTTTTCAAAAAGGTGATTGGACATTCATGGGTTGGCATTCGGGCAAAGTGAGAAAAACCCAAGTAGTATTATTATAAATGACAGATGTAACTTACCTCGTGACCTGGAGGTGGCGTCCATGTTAACATTATAGATTTCTTTGTACCAGCTTCTATCATTCCCTGTAACATCAGTTATAAACATTACAATAATTACTCCCTCTAATAAAAATCAATTATAAACATTACCACTACAATAATTACTCCCTCTAACTACAGTTAACTTCGGATAAGTCAGGTCTAAGTGGACAGACCAATTTTATCTGAGTTAAGCAAAGATCCGAGTTAAGCGAAGGTCCGAGTTAATAGAAGACTGAAATTCAATCTTAGCTCATTAGAAATAAACTACAAGAGCCGGATAATAATTGATTCCAAGGCACATTTCAAGCTTTTTATAAGTATGTGCGAGTAGATAACTTCTGTTTTGTCGCCATCTTTGAAAAATGTCCTAAATTTTCCCGGAAAATGTCTTGTACAGAAGACAGTTCGTTTCGAATTTTCCGGGAAAATTCTATTATTGCGTCGCGTCAAATAGGCAGTTTGGGTCAAAATGACAGGGGAAAGTATTTTGGGGCTCTGTGCATGGAATACCTAACTGTGTTTTAGACCATCAAAACGAAACTGACTTAATCAAATTCTGAAAAATACTGCCGAACCGACTTAGGCAAAGGAAAAAAGTCGAAATTAGATCAAATGGACCAAATATTTTGATCTGAGTTGAGCAAAGATCTGACTTAGGAAATCGACTTATGCGCAGAAATTTAATAAAAAAAAACGTGCAGGATCAAAGAGTCCAAACGATTTTATCTGAGTTGAACGAAGATCCGACTTATATAGTTCGACTTATCCAAGGCTTACTGTATAATCAATTTGGACTACTCACATATTTTACCAAACAGAACCCAATAGAGAGACAGAGAAATGGGGTTTAATGTTCACTCGACACATATGGGACTAACATATGGTTTAATTTTATTTAAATAATTCGCTTGTGCGTACGGGTCTTTAGCAGTAAGAGGACCCGGAGAAAACCTACAAAGTTGGACAGGTGACTCTACTTCTTGCTACGTACAACCGGGGATTCCAAACCACGCCAGTTGACTCAATGACAGGCCTTATGATACAGCGCGCGCACGATAACCAAATAGAAATCACAATAAAAATTCTAAAAATCAGTTTATATACATTCATGTTACCGAGGTACATTAATATTTTATGATTTTTGATCCATTTTCATCCTTATTAAAGATGTATTATTTACAAGCCTATAATCAACGCTCTAGACCATCAGATGGCACTGATTTAACGATTTAATTTAAAAATAGACAATTGAGGCTGAGTCTTGATTGACAAGTAAAATTGTTACGATAATAAACAATCTATGTCAAAACTTCAAACTGCCATATCTTCGCTCAGAATAAAGTAATTTGAGTGAAATTTTCAAACAGCCATATCTTCGCTCAGAATAAAGTAATTTAAATGAAATTTTCAATATATTTTTTTTTAATTATCTATTTTGGAACTTTTATAGAAAGAAAGGTCAGCTCTTTATCTAAATCTTACATACATGTATCTTTAAGGTTCCAACGAATAGAGATATAGCTCCTTTCAATAAATACCTCCTTCATTATATGCTTTAAGTTACTACTACAATAGTTATTCCCAGAAATAGACAGAGGGGACCCGGAGAAAACCCATGATGTTGAAAAGGGGACCTTACTCCTTGTCACCCACAAGTGGGGAGTCGAAAGCCGCCACTTGACTCAATGACAGACCTTGTTATTTAACGCGCAGGCTTCAATCATTTTGGCCAACGACCCACAGCACACAGAAATAAGCATTATTATCATTGTTCAAGTAAAAATTTTCAGAAACTAGGTCATTTCGTGACTAAAATATGGTTTAATTTCATTTCAATAATTAGCTTGCGCATAGGGGTCTTTAGCAATGGGAGGAAACTGGAGGACTCAGAGAAACCCACCGGGGTTGGACAGGTGACCCTTCTCTCTATGTCACATACAATCGGTGAGTCAAAACCACGCCAGTTGACTCAATGACAGACCTTATGATTCAATGCGCATGTGCTAACCATTCAACCATCACTCCCCAGAGTTATGTCCTCTGGCTGTGACTCAAGCCCTTAGCTCTTTTCAAGTTGAGTTGCTTAATGCTAACCATTCGACCATCCAACCCCCCCTTGATGATATCAGAATCTGAATTATTTATGTTAATGGTGATGATATCAGAATCTGAATGAACAACACATCTAACCATTCGGCCATCCAATCTGAACGAACAACATATCTTACCCTTTGTGGTTCCATATTAAAACCTTTAGCTTGTAAAGTTTGGATATTTTCAAACTGAAATTCACCATTCTGTAAAATAATAGGTAGAACTCTTATTACATTTACATCTTGTAACAGTGGGTATTAGCAAGGATATTATTATATATTTTGAGGCATACAGGCCAACCACTGAGTGTTTTTAGAATAAAATCGAATTGGTTTATGGTAATTTAGTGAACAGAATACAATATTAGTGATAATATGATTTTATATAAAATAGAAATTGGCACACAAGGAAATAAATGGATAAGGTGTATAGCTGGTTAAGAGTTAAGTTCACTCAAACTGAACAATACGCTGTGCCTCAATTCACGCCACATGGCTAATTGTTTACGTCACATGGTTTGATTGACAGCTTGCAAGCTCTTGAATAATATATGTTTAATCCTGTCAGTTTTTATTCCCATGTTATTGTAGGAGAAATATCTGCTTTTAATCACTCCCATGACCTATGAAGTGCATCCATCACCTCAAAATCTCTCAATCCCATCACCTCAAAATCACTCCCATGACCTATAAAGCACTTCCATCACCTCAAAATCACTCCCATGACCTATAAATCACCCCCATAACCTATAAATCACTTCCATCACCTCAAAATCACTCCCATAACCTATAAATCACCCCCATAACCTATACCACTCCCATGTCCTATAAATCACTCCCATGACCTCAAAATCACTCCCATGACCTCAAAATCACTCCCATGACCTCAAAATCACTGCCATCACCTATAAATTAAAGCGTTTCCATGACATCAAAATCACTCCCATGTCCTAAAAAGTGTCAAATACATTAATTGGATTAATAATACCTACCTTTTTGGTTTCCTAATTTTAATCACATCACACAAACAACAAGTAGAAAGGTTTGGTAAGTTTCAAAGAGAAAAATGTTATAAGTGAATTATGATGGTGAAATACACACATATATATACAATCATTACAGAATCTACAAGCCTGGAAATAAGGCACCTGTCACAGATATTGTCCGATACAAATTTAGGCTTTGTCAGACATAATCCATTGGGTGTCGGTCAGTTTGTCTTTTTTAATGATATTTATAATATAAATGAAATGAAATGGGGTTTAACGTTCTACTGTTCTGCTCCGAACTGGGCTAATGAAAACGGGCATACGCCATACAGTGTGCTATGAGGGAAATATTGGCCTATTCATATTTCGAATTTGAATGTCAAGGGTTCTTTCATGTGCACTCCAATATATACGTAGTCCCTTGTCATTGATAAGGGGGAACCACCCCGGAAAATTCTGATGAACTTTCTTGGCCAATGCAGGGATCAAAACAGCACCTTCAGATTAGCCAGCCAACATCCTACTCACTGAGCCAGCGTGGCTCCCTTTTTATGATTATGTCTGACAACAAGTTCAAAATGTGAGGTAGTAGACCAACAATTTATAGAGTTTAAATCATTATTTCCAGGTTTGTTAGAGAATATACTGGTGTTTAGGAACAATATACAGGTGTTTAGGAACAATATACAAACAGGTGTTTAGGAACAATATACACATGTGTTACAGGTGCAAGGTGAAATATACAGAAAATAACCTGGGTTTTAATGGGTAACCTACAAAAACGTTCATCGACCTGGAAGGGCTGGGGTACCACATGGCAGGGCTGGGGTGGGTAGTAAATGACCATAAAGTTGTCTTTTTCACCTGACTCAGATGTATTTGTTTGTAGAATTTAATAACATATTTGTGTAAAGCAGCGGCCACGTCTTACGGTCACAAACATAGTTGACCTTGGTTAACGTAGTTAACCATAGTTCATCGTAGTTATAAACATAGTTATACAGAGTTAACTGTAGTTCATCGTAGTTATAAACGTAGTTAACTGCAGTTAACTGTAGTTTATCATAGTTATAAATGTAGTTAACCATAGTTAACTGTAGTTCATAGTAGTTATAACCGTAGTTAAATGTAGTTAACCGTAGTTCACCGTAGTTATAAACGTAGTTAACAGTAGTTCATTGCAGTTCACCATAGTTATAAACATAGTTTGAACTTTAAGATTTGACTGTGGTTAGCCTAAAAATTTTCAATAGGTTAAGGGTTAAAGAAAAGTTTTGAACAGTTATCTGGGAAAAGAAAAATTAGATGTTTTTTTATGCGAATCAATCAGTGAGTGAGTGAAACAGTTAAAAGAGACAACAGTTAAAATATAAATAATAATAAAAAAACAACCTTTTTCTGACTGACAGCCATGGTTCTAACACAAGCGACAAATATTTCTCTTGATGCCGTGGTAAATTCGTTATCTTTCGTAATACTGAACAAACTGACTAATATAGGTTTGGGTGGTAGTTTAAAATCTGTTATAATAAAAAAAAAACAACAAATGAAATGGGGTTTAAAATCCTACTGTTCTGCTCTGACAGAGCTAATGAAGACAGGCATACTCCATGCAGTGTGCTTTGAGGGAAATTTTGCCTGATCAGCAGCACTAGGGCCTACTCTTAAGTGTACACAGGACATTGGTTTTTCGTCCCAACCGAATGACTAGACAGTTGTTTGCCAGACGCTCTGTCCTGCACCTCTGACAACGGGAAACCAGCTAGGATACCCATCCAGAGGATCTTTCTCTGGAAACATCTAGGTCGCACCCGGAACCTCCAAGTTAACAAGTCAGCTCCTTACTTACTGAGTCACCGCGGCTCCCCATGGTATAAAGAAGGTAAGAATCAAATATACAGGTGCACAGTAAAGTACAGGTAAATACATATGTGTATGTAAAGAACAGGTAAATATACACATGTATGTAAAGAACAGGTAAATATACATGTGTATGTAAAGAACAGGTAAATATAAGATTTATCTGTAAAATACAGGTAAATATACAAGTGTATGTAAAGTACAGGTAAATATATTAACCTTCATCATCATCAAGAACAGGTGTAACAGCTAATGATTCTATATCAGGTGTTAACTCATCACCACCATACATATACATTATATGATTCTTAGCGATACCCAATAACTCAAAGAAATGACTTTCTTCCTATAAAATAAAATATACACATAATTAAATTAACTCAATCTTTAATAACTTTCTTCCTGCAAAATAAAATATACACATGACTGAATTAACTCTATCTTTAATAAAAATGACTTTCTTCCTACAAAATAAAACATACACATGACTGAATTAACTCTATCTTTAATAAAAATGACTTTCTTCCTACAAAATAAAACATACACATGACTGAATTAACTCTATCTTTAATAAAAATGACTTTCTTCCTGCAAAATAAAATATACACATGACTGAATTAACTCTATCTTTAATAAAAATGACTTTCTTCCTACAAAATAAAATATACACATGACTGAATTAACTCTATCTTTAATAAAAATGACTTTCTTCCTACAAAATAAAATATACACATGACTGAATTAACTCTATCTTTAATAAAAATGACTTTCTTCCTACAAAATAAAACATACACATAATTAAATTAACTCAATCTTTAATAACTTTCTTCCTGCAAAATAAAATATACACATGACTGAATTAACTCGATCTTTAATAAAAATGACTTTCTTCCTACAAAATAAAATATACACATCACTGAATTAACTCGATCTTTAATAAATGAAATGAAATGAAATGGGGTTTAACGTCCGACTGTTCTGCTCCTATGCTGGGCTAATGAAGACGGGCATACGACATACAGTGTGCTATGAGGGAAATTTTGCCCGGGCAGCGGCACTATCGCCTACTCTTATATCGAATTCCAACTGCCAAGGGATCTTTTACGTGCATTCTAATGTATACACGGGACCTCGGTTTTTCGTCTCATCCGAAGGACTAGACAGCTGTCCTTGTCAGGCCCTCCGTCCGGCATCACTGACAAGGGGGAACCATGCCAGAAAATCTGGTTGAACTTTCTCGGCCAATGCAGGGATCGAAACACCCGACCTCCAGGCTAGCGAGCCAGCGTCTTACCCACTTAGCCACGTGATCCCCCGATCTTTAATAAAAATGACTTTCTTCCTACGAAATAAAATATACTCATAACTAAATTAACACAATAATTAACTCAATCTTTTGGCGAGCTTTTTGCGTGTGGTGCACATAACTGTGGGTAATTCACTAGAAACATCAATATTGATTGGTTAATCAAATATCTGACGTCATAGGGTCAAAAGTCGCTTGTATGACCTCTGACGGGACCTCCCAAAACAACTGGTCAGATCTTCATGTATAAAAGTATAAAGCAAACGAAACGAAATATAGATCTGTATTTTAATCAGAATGACGAATATTCCTTTCCAAGATTCAACCATCACAATATTGTAATAGTGTAAAAGATTCATAATCCCTGAAATGATCAGTTGTTTTAAAATACAACCATAAACCCTAACTACAGATAAATAGTATTCCTACCTGACCAAAGAGTTCTATTCTAACACCATCAGAATAATGTTCACTACCATGATCTGGTGCAAACGTTACGGTGACTTCCTTGGTTCCACCTGTAATAAATATACATTAGAATCCAAATGAGCAGCCACTCTTATTCTGCGACATCTTCACGATAAATACCCCTCGTGGAAATTCTATTGTTTCATCTCTTTAAACAACGGTCACTCCTCTAACGTGACCAGCGGTCACTATTTTACCAATTAATTTAGTAAATGGCCTTTGCTGAATGATACCATCTTGTTGTACTTCATAGCACTTCTGCTAATAGTTAATTATCTGGCCTACAACCAGGGCCGTAACTAGCTCAGAGCAACTAAGGGTGGGGGGGGGCAAGTGTTCTCATGCATGCTGTAAAATTGACAGACAATGTATATCTATTTCTTCATAGGTCGACAATTTTTTAACTGGGCGTGTGTGTGTGTGTGTGGGGGGGTGAGGGGGGAAATTCCTTGCAGGGGGGGCGCCGGGTCCGATCGGTTAAAAGGACTGTGAAGACAATAATAAAACCGGGATTGCCTGTTAATTAATCTTTTGTTTTATTAAACAAAATAACAATCTGACCTAACCATGAGTACATGTTGTATGGCATAGTAAAATGTTTTGTGGCTAGTGCTTACAGTAACATCAAAACATTATTATGGCTTTAATACAGAATTTAAAACATATAATAGAAAATTGGGGGCGACAATGGCTCTTTGATTCTGGTGCTGGCTCATGATCACTGACCAGGAGTTCTGGGTTTGATTGTCTAGCCTGGTATCGCCTGGTCAGTAGTGCAGGAAGAAGTGCCTAGCAAGGAAAAGTGTCTAGTTGTTCAGACGTTATGAAAAACTGAGGTCCTATGTATACCATAGTTAGAATGTTAAAGATTCCTTGAAAAAAGAGTAGGCCGTAGCACTTTTATCCAGGCGAAATTTCCCTTATTCCATTCTTTACAAATAATGAAACAAATACTTCAAATAATATTAATTCGTCTAGAACTTTGTTTTTAGGGAAAGAACTAACTGATAAAATAGTGTCTTTACCTGCAGGAATTGTGCCTTCAGATGGAACCAAATCAAAAACATTTTGACCATTATTATTCTGAGTACCTGAAAATCCAATAAACAATCTTAACAATTTCTCGATGATACAGATAGAGAGAGAGAGAGAGAGAGAGAGAGGGTTTAACATCCACTCGACACAAACTATGGTTTCATTTTATTTCAATAATTCGCTTACGTGTAGGGGTCTTAAGCAGTGGGAGGAAACCAGAGGACCCGGGGAAAACTCACGAGGTTGGACACTTCGATGATACAAGATCCTGCTACGATCGTTACATTACTGCTATCGTTTAATTAACCACTGTTCAATGCTGCCTTGGTCGACATCGAACCACATATAATTAACACCGTTGTATACATCAGTATAAATACAAATGTTATGCAATCTCTTGTTCTTATATATTAAATACACTGACAACTAGAGCTGGACTTGCATCAAATCGTACTAGTGGCCAAACACAAATTTTTTATGTTTTTTTTTTTTTTAGTTTTTTTGTGCTTCCTCCATATGTAAATATTCTTAATTTAAATAAAATATCATAATAAGTATTTTGGAAATTAAAATTTGTAATTTACAACAACAATAACATAGAGTTGGGCGATAGCATCGCATCAAATTGTAAACCCGTGGCTATAAAGAAACAAGCACGACCAAACACAAATTTTTTATTATGTTTTTTTTTTTACTTTTTTTTTGTGCCTCCTGAATATTTAAATATATGTAAATTTAAATAAAACATCATAATTAATATTTTGGAAATTAAAATTTGTAATTTGCAACAAAAAGAACATAGACCAACATTTTTTAGCAAGTCTTCATGGCTATTAGATTTATGTTTGAACCAGCTCATGAAATTTTGTTCGTAAATGTTTTAATAATATTGACTAGAAAGTGTCAAGTGAATATTCCTGGAGTATTTCCAACATTTTATGCATGTTTAATTACATTTAAAGGGTGATAAACTGAAATTATTGAAATTTTATAAACCGTTTCCAGGGATATTGGCCAGGTCTACTGACAACCTCTGGAAATCAGGCTCCTGTCACAAACAATCTCAGGCTTTGTACCCATTATTTTCTTCGGCACTTATTTGTCTTTTTTTGTGTTTTTTCCAAACCAATTTTAAAACACTCCAAAGCAATTTTAGAATATTCCAAACAAATATTGGAGAATTCAAAATCAAAATTCAAATTTTCCAAACCAATTTTAGAACTTTCCAAACTTTTAAAAACTTACCAACATAAGATTTATTTTTCTTGTCTCTTTTGATAAAAGCGGGTAAATGTTGTGATTTAGCGTGACGTAACAATGACAAACTGTCTAATTTAATAACATAATCTATAGATAGGGACGAAGTATTGTGAATCTGAAAGTAAAAAAAACAAAAATATAGAAGACTTGATCTACGGCAACTAAAATTAGGGTGTAATGGTGATATATTCAAACGTTTTTATAAATTGGATAAAAATTGTGACCTCTAGAGGGTTCACAAGTTGAAGGAAGTTTACAAGAAAATGTGATAAAAACACAACGTGTTGTGATTGTTATAATTTTATATCAATTGTACATATGTAAAGCGCCGGAGAGCAGCTCGCCAAGTTGAATTGTTGGCACTATATAAATCAATTATTATTATTATCATTATTAATAATATTTCTACCTTAAATGTACGTTCACAGTATTCTGTAGCTAAGACGGCTCCCATATCTAATACATCTGATTCTAGAGATAGATTAACTATCGGACTAACACCTTTACCGATTAACGTCATCGATAATAACGCTGTCATACTGTTTATACTTAATACTTCCTGGAACTACAAAAAGAAAAAAAACATAACCATTAGTCGTCGTATCAGTACTGATTTTAATATTTGAATTTTCTAAGTCATTATATATATATGATTCAATTGAAAAGATAAATGTTTCCACAGTCTAGTGCATTTTATCCAAAAATTCTGATTATCTGCGAATTGTGAAATATGTTTTTAAATTAATATCAAAATCAATTTGATTTGGCTATTCCATGTTAATTTTATTATTATACATACATTATTCAAGAGCTAAATCTGCCTATTGCAAGTCTTTCTTTAGGCATGGATGTTATCTAAATTATTAATTGGACATTAATTAACTTATCCAGACCATAATCAACTCTCAATGCCATCATTAGCCTGCAATATTCACTGGATTTTCAGCATATTTTGTTTTCATTATCTATACTTTAACTACTATAGCGAGAACTGTCAGCTCGTTATCTAATCTGACCTAATGCTGCTTTAATTTAAAAATATCAAACTTACCACACATCCTTTATTTGGAGCAAAAGATAAAACAGCTGTATGTGTTCCACCAGGGGGAAGAACTCTCAGAGCATTTAACATCAGGAACGGACCGTCAGTATCAAGTAAAGAAGAATTTAACTTGAATAAGTTAAGGTATATCATTTTAATCAGACATGGGTATGAATAGGGAAATCCCCTAAGTGAATGATATCACAGTCTATGGATTCCTTTTGACCACTGTAATATTTAAATCATATCATGTACTCTTTATAGTTATACAGATTAAAATCATCGGAATGTTCCAAATAATGTTACAGACTAAGAAATGGCAGGGTTTTAAGATTAAAGTCAAAGGAGATAGATAGTATAACTAGTCTGAATCCATGTTAGTGTAATAAGAGTTATCTCCCTTTAATTTATATTCATAACAGGCCTTGTTCCTTTAATAATCATTCTACATGTTCTACAAAGACAGGATGTATTCTACATAAGATGGTAATAAATGATCAATATAAAAGACTAGATGTCATTTCTAGCCTATGGTGTTATTTCAATATTAAAGACTGGATATAATTTCTGCAGGGGATGTAATGATCAATATAAAAGAATGGACCTAATTTCTACCCTATGCCGTTATTTCAATATAAAAGACTGGATATAATTTCTGCAGGAGATATGTGATTGCAACATAAAAGACTGGGTGTATTTTCTACTGAGTTTCAATATAAAAGACTGGATATAATTTCTGCAGGAGATATGATTTCAACATAAAAGACTGGATGTAATTTCTACTCAATTTCAATATAAAAGACTGGATATAATTTCTACCCCATGCCATTATTTCAATATAAAAGACTGGATATAATTTCTATAAGAGATGAGATTTCAATATAAAAGACTGGATGTAATTTCTATAGAAGTTGTAATTTTGATATAAAAGGATACTTCAACGGTCTTGTTACTGATATTCTGCATGGTGACTGACCTTGATACACTTTGACCTATTGACACTTCACCAAAATTAATGGTGTTTCTTCCGCTATCTGATAGAATAACAACTGGTGGTTTAATCGTAGGACAATGTACTTCGACATAGATCGTGTTATTAATACTGTAATATAAAATATAACAAGATTATAATCCTTCAGTGACATTTAGTGTTTGAGAGAGAGAGAGAGAGAGAGAATGGGGTTTAACATCCACTCGACACAAACTAGGTCATTTAGGGACTAACACATGGTTCAATTTTATTTCAATAATTTGCTTGCGCGTAGGGGTCTTTAGCAGTGGAAGGAACCGGAGGACCCAGAGAAAACCCACGAGGTTGGACAATCGACCCTAATCCCAACCAGGGATTCGAAACCACGCCAGTTGACTCAGTGACAGGCCTCGTGATACAGCGCGCGCGTGCTAACCATTTGGCTATCCAAACCCCCATGTTGATCTCATGCCATCAAAACAATTAGATACCTTGCCAGACAAGAAGCCAGACTCGAAAATCCTGAGGAACTCTCTCGAAAGATTAGATTAAAATAAAAAGTTAGAACCCTTATCCCCCCATTACAAATGTCTGTTGATTATGTCTATATAAGGCAAGTGTCTGTTGATTATGACTGTATAAGGAAGTGTCCGTTGATTATGGCTATATAAGGCAAGTGTCTGTTGATTATGACTATATAAGGAAGTGTCCATTGATTATGGCTATATAAGGCAAGTGTCTGTTGATTATGACTGTATAAGGAAGTGTCCATTGATTATGGCTATATAAGGCAATTGTCTGTTGATTATGACTGTATAAGGAAGTGTCCATTGATTATGACTATATAAGGCAAGTGTCTGTTGATTATGACTGTATATGGAAGTGTCCGTTGATTATGACTATATAAGGTAAGTGTCTGTTGATTATGACTATATAAGGTATTTGTGTTGATCATGACTATATAAGGTAAGTTACCTGTATGGAAGAGAACCAGGATCACCACACGAACCTGACCCTATGTAACATGGTATCGTATACGTCTCAAATTTACCCTTAAACTGACGTAACAAAGATCCTATAGCTTCAGAATACGCACTTGAACTGAAACAAAAACAAAAACAAAAACAAAACAAATGATAGAGAGAATTGAGGTATAAATAAAATGAAATGGGGTTTAACGTCCTACTGTTCTGCTCCGACTAGGCTATGAAGACGGGCATATGCCATACAGTGTGCTATGAGGGAAATTTTGCCCAGGCAGCGGCACTTTGGCCTACTCTTATATTGAATTCCAACTGCCAAGGGATCTTCTAAGTGCATTGCCAATGAATATACAGGACCTCGGTTTTCCGTGCCATCCGAACAACTAGACAGCTGTCCTTGTCAGTCCCTCCATCCAGCATCACTGACAAGGAGAAACCACATCAGCGAAATAAGGTGTAACGACCCTTTGACATAAACTAACATGCAGTACAATTTCAATGATATGCTTGCATATAGGGGTCTTTATATACATATAGTTTAAGGAAACCCAAAGATTGGACAGGCAACCCTACGCCTTATCACTTACAACAGGGGGATCGAAACCATGCCAGTTGACTCAATGACACACCTTATGATACAGCGCACACATGCTTACCATTCGGCGATCCAATCCCTCAAAAAGCCACGAAGATGAACAAGCGGTCCTACTCCTTGTCACGTACATCGGGGAATCGAAACCATGCCAGTTGACTGAATGACAACCATTTGGCCATCCACTCCACCCAGACATAAAAGAATGATAGTAATTGTAAACAAACTCAGTAGTAATAGTATCTGCTTCTGATGCTACACCCCCACCCCACCCCACCCCACCCCAACCCGAGGTTAAATAATGATAGTAATTATAAACACTCAGTAGTAATAGTATCTGCTTCTGGTGCTACACACCCCCACCCCACCCACCCCGATGTTAAATAATGATAGGATTATAAACATACTCGGTAGTAATAGTATCTGCTTCTGGTGCTACACCCCCCCACCCCACCCCGAGGTTAAATAATGATAGTAATTTTAAACATACTCGGTAGTAATAGTATCTGGTTCTGGTGCTACAACTGGTTTAGGTTTCTGTAGTGTAGAAGAAGTAGTTCCTGTCGTTCCAGCAGATGCTTTACCTTTACCTTTAGGTGATGATTTACCTTTTGGTGCCTTCTTCATAGCTGCTATCTGGAAAACATAAAATTCAATAAAAACTTATTTAAAATGGTCTAAAACAATATGCTGAAATGAAATTTAACATCCTACACTCTTCTGCTTCAACTGGGCTTCTGAAGTCGGTTATACGCCATAAAGTGTACCATTAGAGATATCTTGCCTGGACAGCAGCACTACATCTTTCTTTCATATCAAATTCCAACTGCCAAGGGATCTTTTATGTACACGCCAATTTGTATACGAGACCTCATTTTATTATGCTATCTAAATGACTATACGTTGTCCCTTGTCAGGCCCTTCTAAAACAATATGTTATATTACTACCAAAAACATGTTACATGCTAACAGAACACAATGTCTATGGTAAAACAATCACTGGTTTTATTCTAAAAGCACAACGTTTCAACAAGTATCCTATTATCGTTATCAAGCACAATGATACTTGCTCATAAAACATGATACCTACTCATAAATCATGATACATGCTCATAAAACTTCTGATTGTCTTTTAAAGCTACTAATCACAGAGGTCTCGATAACCGGGTTCGCATCGCACGTTACGAATCAAATCTTGCCCGGTGCTAATCAATTTGCTACAAATGAAATGAAATGAAATGGGGTTTAACGTCCTACTGTTCTGCTCCAAACTGGGCTAATGAAGACAGGCATACGCCATGCAGTGTGCTATGAGGGAAAATTTTGCCCAGACAGTGGCAGTTCTGCTAATCAAGTTCGAAAAGATATCGAGGCCCTAGATTGATCATCATATGCATTTTCGGGGGTTACGTAGTCTACTGGTTTAATGCGTGCGCATGAAATCATAAGGTTGGTCATTGAGTCAAATGGCGTGGTTTCAAATACCTGCTTCTGCTTGTATGTGACAAGAAGTAGCTTCACCTCTCCAACCTTATGGATTTTCTCCAGGTCCTGTGGTTTCCTTCCAATGCTAAAGACCCCTCCTGAACCACAGTCAAGGAGAAACCATGCCGTAAAATCACGCTGAACCTTATTGGCTAGCTAGCCAGCCAGCATCTTACTCACTGAGCCACCGTGGCTCCAAGTAATTTTGTATTTAAGTTGTTTTACCTGTGCTTGTTCCTGTAGTTCAACTTCTTTCCGCACGGCTTCATCATATTCTCGCTGTGCCTGGGCTTCCATTTGTTTTACGGCCATTTTAACAGCCTCTTTCCTTACAGCTTCTTCTTTTAATTTAGGAGAAAATCGTATCTGTACCCGACATTTCTGTAAGGTAAAATCAATCACAGAATCAAAATGTGACAAGATGTTGGTTAATCAGGTGGTGATTAAAACACAGATTCTATTTCGTTTCGTTTTTTATAGTTAAAAATAAGTATTACTTGTCTTAACTATACTAGGATCTGGGCCCTTATTCACGAAAACTTAAACTAAGATACAATCGAAATTTTAAGAAATACTGCAATTCGATTGGCTGACCAGTAAAATCAATTTGCATATATCCAATGAAGTTGCAGTATTTCTTAAAATTTCGGTTGTAACTTAGTTTAAGTTTTCGTGAATAAGGGCCCTGGAACAATTGTTATATAATCTACATTCTGGATGATGTGAGAGATTAGCCAATGCAAGGTGCACGGAACTGTGGGAAACCCACTAGAAACATCAATGCTGATTGGTTAATCAAATGTCACTTGGCTTTATGGGGCGCCCATACTGATATGAGCATGTTGGTCGGTGGCTTCGTATAGCATCCAATGGAAAGGGTGCAGTTCAGAGTCCAGGGGCTGCTCCCCTTGGTCCCCCGCTAGCTACAAGAGTGGATATCTTACCTTTCCTGAGGTTACAGTACCAACAGATTGGGATATAGTTAAGGGGAGATAACTCACAGTACCGACAGACGGGAAATAAAGTTAAAGGAAGATAACTTACCTTTCCAGGCATCACCGTTCCGACAGATGGTGATATAGTTAACGGACAATCCGAAGGTAAGACAAATTCAAATGATGTTGGACCTACCGGAGCAATTTCACCTGATAATACAAAAACAAAAAACATCTACAAAATCTTTAATAGTCAGAATTTTGGGAAAATATTTTATAAGGCAACACTTCCATGAACAAAATTATGAGTGAAATGATGATGGTGGGTTCCCCCGCTGGTAGAATTAAAGTGAATTGACCCTGCAATAAAATGAAATGGGGTTTAATGTCCTACTGTTCTGCTCCAACTGGGCTAATGAAGACGGGCATACACCATACAGTGTACTATGAGTGAAATATTGAATGGACAGTGGTGCTATGGCCTTCTCTCATATCAAATTCTAACTGTTAAGGTATCTTTTACATACGCACCTATGTGCACAAGAGACCTCTGTTTTTTGTCCCATCCAAATGACTAGACAGCTGTCCTTGTCAGGCCCTTCATCCTGCACTACTGATAAAGGGGAAACCACGCCTGAAAATCATGACGATCTTTCTTGGGACAACACCAACCTCCAGCCTAATGATCCAGCCATAGGCGTACGAGCTGGGCCCCCACATTTTGGGAACCAAATGCTGGGAAAATTTGGGCACACAATTGTACTTTGTAAAAGTTGTATAAAATAATATTGCGTTCTTGAATGTGTCCAATTTAACAGCGAATTTATTATTATTATGTAACATACTAAGAACCTAATACATTTTTTGGGCACCAACCACCACCGCCCCCCCCCCCCAGTCAAAAATTTTCCCGTACGCCTATGAATCCAGCATCTTACTCACTGAGCCATTGTGGCTACCTCTGTGGAAATAAAGATGTAATTTTAATTAAATTGTAAAATAGGAGTTGTTTGTCATACCCTTTCCAATTCTGGGTACCGGGTGAGTGAATTCGTTACTACTCGTATGAGAGTTAATAACGTGTAGAGCTGCCGTGGAAACATCATAAACAGACGTAGCTGCGAAATTTACGACTTGATGAGATAACTCTAACGGTGGATGAACGCCAACGCCTTTACAGTGAATCTTAAAATCTCTGAAATTACAATAAAGCAGGGTTAGTGCTAAATGATAAGGCCAGTTCAATTTTTTATCATAGGTCACAAGATGTAAACAGGACTAGCGCTAATCCCAACCCTAACCCTAACCCTGGACCTAACCCCAATGCTTACTCTAACCCTAACCTACAATCTTGCCAACAATCATGTGCCCTAACCATATTTACATTTCAACGACCTTGACAAAAATTGAGCTGGCATTAACATATAGATTTAGCCATAAATCAGATTTAAATTGATTTGAACCATTATCATTAGGCTAGGTCATTTCACAAGCACATTTGTGACAAAGTGCACTATAACTTTCATCAAATCGAAGATCATTTAGAGGCAGTGAACTTATTGACTCTAGCTGGTTTTGTTAATATATGATATCGGCTTTTCAACTATACACTTTGTTCTAAACACGTACACACTAATCAAAGACTATCAATTCCTCATGTTTATATTTATATTAGTCAGCGAAATTAAGATAACTTGTAAATGTCATATATAGTAATGTAGACCCAGTTGAAGGGTGTATAACCACCAGTTTAATGACAGTTTGGGAGACGCAGGCGAGAGATGAGCGGGAGAGGAAGAGAGGAGCAGAGACCAGCGAATGGGCTCATCCAAGATCAGCCGCTGCCAAGGCAAGAGGGCGGAATGGTTGAATTATAGTCATATACTATATTAATGTACTGTGTTGATGTTTGATTCATGTTCCTGTTGTATTTATGTAGCTGTATATATAATATCCTGTTTTATTTATGTAGCTGTTGTTATATTCTGATCATGATGTAAATAAACCCTATATGTACGAAACTGATCTCTGTTATCACTAAAATAGTGTTACGCAATTGATCAAAGGTCAAAGTAAAATTCAAATTTGAAAAGTTGACTGTCACTTGAAAACATTAAAGGGGTGGTCAAAACTAGGCTTTTGTTTCAGTAATATTGACTGGTCTTGACCAACTGGCGGTGAAATATGCAAGCCATAAAGTTAGAATTTCCCAGAGCGTAGCTTTAGATTAATAAAGGGGAATTATGGAAGATTAGATAAAGAACTGGCAGATCTCATTATAATAGTTAAAAAATAGATAATGTAAAGGGAATAAGCTGAAAATTTCACTGTTGGCCGAGAAAGTTCCCAAGGAATTTCCAACCTGACAAGAAAAAGCATACATCCAGGAATCTGATTAATACACCTTGTTCAAGTCTATAGTATACAAAGTTTACCTATTTACCTGTTAATCAATGATTTACACACAAGATCAAATTTATAATCCCGAGCTTTATCTGGACTAAATATCACATCAAGATCAATCGTTTCTAACGGCAACAAGGTACCAAAACCATCATTAGGTTGAACCTCAACATGCTGAAATTATAAAATATTTTATGTTTCTTCATTATATAATTTACAATATGGAAATGAACCACTGTGTCAAAAATGAAATAGGCTTTAATTTTCATACTTTTCTTCATCAATCGGTGGAATGACCGCGAATGGAGACTAGCATACACCATGCAATGTGCTATGAATTCCAACTGTCAAGGGTTCTTTTACGTATATCCTGATATTTTAAGAAAAAAGAGAGAGAGAGAGAGAGAGAGAGAGAGAGAGAGAGAGATGGGGTTTAACATACATTCAACACAAACTAGTCATTTCGGGACCAAGATACTATTCAAACTAGTCATTTCGGGACTAACATATTGTTCAATTTAATTTCATTGATTCGCTTGTGCATAGGGGTATTTAGCAGTGGGGGGAAACCAGAGGACCTGGAGAAAACCCATGAGGTTAGACAGGCGACTCCACTCCTTGTCACGTACAAACTGGGAATCGAAAACCACGCCAGTTGACTCAATGATGATACAATGCGCACACGCTAATCATTCGGCCACCCAACCTCCCTCCCAAGAAAAAACACAACACAATTTATATGGAATAAAATCACTGTTTATACACACATAGCACGACGTTTCCACAAGTACTTGATAACGATAAAAGAATACTTGTTGAAACATCATTCTATATGTGTATAAACCAGTGATTGTTTTCCATATAAATTTTGTTGTGGTTTTTTAATGTGCTCAATCACTAAATTGGACTCAATGATTATACTCCCCCTCAAGATTGACGTATAATAAAATCAAGTCGGTCATAATTCAAAATATTTACCTCTGGTAAACCAAGAAAACCAAACTGTTGAGGTAAAATAGATTTATTGGTAACTTTGATGGATTTCTTCACGGACTCGTAGATTGTAGAGAAACCGAAATCAATGTTTGACACATCAAACTCTATATCGCTATTAGTTACAACAGCACACACTGTAAATGTTACAGGCTGTGTCTGAAACAGAAAAAAAACCTCATATTATGTCATTGTTTTCAAAGATTTCTGAAAGTTATTTTCCGAGTTATTGCCCTCGATTACATTTTAAAAAAATGGCCGTACTCGATTGAACGTTCTGGAATTGAATTCTCTCAATCCCAAAAATAATGACAATCAAGTGAAAATGGGGTATTTCGAGATACAACACAGATGTCGACTGAATAAGTAAATATCTCAACCATCCATACAGCCGAAACATATTCGTGGTCTTTGATAATGTCTGGATTCTACACACACCACCTCTGTGATTGGGACTGAGAGAACTGCGACAAGACTGAATTCCGCGTCACTGGATTGGGATTCTGTCTATTCGGGACGTTCTGGACTGTGAATCGAGCATCCCCCTTATGTATAAGCTCCAGAGACCAAGGTTACATTTTCCCCTTGTGCTCCCAGATTTAGTAATTTAATTTCCAATTATACTTTTACTGCGGCAATTATTGAAACCATTAATTAAACATACATTATGCAAGAGCTAAATCTGCTTATTGCAGATCTTTCTTTAGGCCTGATATATTATCTAAATTATTAATTAGACATTAATTAACAAAACAAGACCATAATCAACTCTGGATGTCATCTTATGCATCCGATTTTCATTGGAATTTTCAATGACAGACCTTTATGATACAGCGCACAGGCTAACAATTCGGTCATCCACCCCCCAGAAGAAAATGAAAGTACGTGTGATCTTTTTTATATTTATAGTTAATTATCAATTGTAATCTAAGCATTATACTAACTTGGGCATCATTCTGATTAAAATACAGATCTATATTTAGTTTCGTTCTTTTATACTTTCGATGACCCTACACTACATGAAGATCTGACAGGTTGTAGTGGAAGGTCGCATCAGAGGTCATACGAGCAGCTTTGGAACCTATATGAAGCCAGACATTTGATTAACCAATCAGCATATTGATGTCTCACAGTTCCGTGCACAGCACACCAAGAGCTCGCCATAACAGACCGTTTTATTGGCTAATCCCTCACATCAACCAGAATGCGGGTTATATAACCACTTTTCCAGAACCTAGTGTAGTAAAGCCAAGTAAATCGAAATTTTGAACTATAAAAAACGAAACGAAATAGGATTTGCGTTTAAATCAGATTGCTTGAACATACTTTTCATACCTCATTATGTGAAAAGGCTCAAACAGGATTTAAATTTTGAAAGATTAATTTCATACTAGGATCATCCTTACCTGATCAGCAACTCTGATCGTCATTGGGGCTTCCAACACACCTGTCTCTTTATCAAAATATTTACAACTTTCTTTTAATAAACTTGGCCTGAAAAGTTTAAAAAAAACAACTCAAAATTTGTTTTTTTTGAGAAAATTAGAACAAGTGGCATCAGAGTTAGCCAAATGGTGTCTTCAATTCCAGTATCAAATATTCACAAGTTTTCTTGAATGGAAATGAAATGGGGTCTGATGTCCTGCTTTTCTGATCCACAATTGGACTAATAAAGACAGGGTCTTATGGGGAAGGGAGGGGGGGGGGAGTAGATAGTGGTCTGAAGTTTTGAATATTTGAATTCAAGATGGGGGTTCCTTTTGAACTTTGTGGGTCTACTTCGGGTACTCCGGTTTTCTCCCACGAGAAAGACTCCTATGTGTACACTAAGATAATAACAATAGACCAACTTGTTTGCGATATGACCCTGGGGCGAAGCAGACGTCAAACACCACAAACAACAAAAAGGGACTTATCAGGCAAATTTGCCTACTCTTCTTCAAATTCTAATTGTGTGTGCACTGAACCTTGGCTTTTTGTACCATCCAAACAACTAGATGAAAAATGTTCTTACCAATATACAGCAATTGATAAAAAGTTGTGGTTAAATCATGAAATAAAGGTATTATATAGATGCCGTACCTTGGTAGAAATTTAAGTTGAGCTGAGAACTGTGATTGAGCCTGTATATAACCCGTTTTAGGTAATAATTCCAGATGATTCTCTAAATCTTTACAAACTTCAAACTTTAAACGTAGCGCTGTTGTAGCCCTAAAATAAAAAAAAACAATTTCGTTTATTATTAAGATATTTAGTTTTAGCTGCTCTATGTTGCAGTATTGGTTGGCAACTTCGACTCTGCAAGTAAACCTTGACTCTACCTTGGTGACTCTGCTAGTGGACTTGAATTTTGAATTGAACTCTATCCTGGTGATTCTTCTGGGAATGGAATTGAATGGGAGGCAGATTTAAGATTTCATTTGAGACTAACATATGGTTAAGTAATTATTTATATAAAGTTTAAATGAATATCAACTCACCTGTTATTGACTACAATAGTATCTTGATATAATCTATCAAACATACAGATCTTTAGATCCACATTCTGTCGTTCTACCCATACAGGTACATCTATAGCTTTAGCTACAGAATGGATTGATATCTAAAAATAATATACAACGGAACTATTTGTTATAATGTGGAACTAGAGTCACAAATATAGATATTTATTTTAATCAGATTGTTATAAAGAGAAACTCGAGTCATATAGTACAATTACAATTTTATATCAATAACTCACGTAGGGTTCTTTAGCAGTGGAACAGGGAGAAATCAGGGAACCCATGAGATTAGACAGGCAACCGTACTCCTTGCCACATACAGGATTGAAATCATGCCACTTGACTCAATCACAGACCTTAGGGAGAGAGAGAGAGAGAAATGGGGTTTAACGTTCACTCGACACAAACTAGGTCATTTCGGGACTAACATATGGTTTTTAATTTTATTTCAATAATTGCTTGCGCGTAGGGGTCTTTAGCAGTGGGAGGAAACCGGAGGACCAGAGAAAACCCATGCGGTTGGACAGGCGACCCTACTCCTTGTCACGTACAACCGGGGATTCGAAACCACGCCAGTCGACTCAATGACAGACTTTATGATACAGTGCGCGCACGCTAACCATTCAGCCATCCACCCCACCCCCGACAGACCTTAGGATCTAAAACATTAGATCATTGGGTCACCCAACATTCTTGTAGTGTATACCTACTATTCATGTTGATATATTACAATGGTGTGTACCATACTATTCATATTGATGAAAACAAAAACAACAAATGTGTGACCAGTGGCAGCAAAATCAGTCACTTGGGTCACTTCTACCAAATTTGAGTTCAATACATTTCCTGAAAGTCACAACTGTAGGCTTTAAAATGCAAAAGGTTGTAAAAGGTTGTAAAATTATTTGATGTGAAATAAACCACTACTTTCGATTGTTTTAGGGAGACTCTTGATCATGTATCATTCAACACGATTCCTTATCAAAATCAATTTTTGAGGCATTTCAAGTTTGAATAATTAAAAATGATACAGAATTCTGGAAGAAAACATTTCAAACTGTTGTTTGGTGATGATAACTGAAAATCAATAACTTCGCCAGTGACTGCTGTATATACCCTATAGCGCAAAATGAATGAATGCGACTTTTGACTGATTTTGCTGGCTCCGGTCACAAATAAGAATCGTGACGTGTGTGAATACTCACCCCTTCTGAGAGAGGATCGGAGAATGATATAAGAAATTCCGAATCCACGGCTCCAGGGACTGTAGGTTGCCAGATAATCTCCAGTTTAATGGACGAGAATGCTTTTATTTCTCCGCTAACCACACTTCCCACTTTCATACCATCAACAGTCCCATAATCCTCCATTTCACTAAACGCAAACTCTGGAGACGGTTCTGTAAAACATGGGATTTATTATTAATCAAGGTCATTTTGGTTTAGCTAAATTTCCTACGTCCACTGCTAGGACATGAAATATAAATGAAATGAAATGAAATGAAATATAAATGAAATGAAATGAAATATAAAAATATAAATGAAATGAAATGAAATGAAATGGAGTTTAACGTCCTACTGTTCTGCTCCTATACTGGGCTAATGAAGACGGGCATATGAAATACACTGTGCTATGAGGGAAATTTTGCCCAACTGCCATGGGATCTTTTACATGCACGCCAATGTATACACGGGACCTCGTTTTTTTGTCCAATCTGAACAACTAGATAGCTGTCCTTGTCAGACTCTCCATCCTGCACCACTGACAAGAGGAAACCATGTCGGAAAATCATGCTGAACTTTCTCGGCCAATGCAGGGATCGAACACACGACCTCCAGGCTAGCGAGCCACCATCTTACCCACTTAGCTACCGTGGCTCCCAAGTAATAATATACTCTTCAAAAAAAGAAGGGGATATTGAAATGCAAATACCTATGCCGCATGCTGGTTTATCTATCCATGTTTGCTTTCCTATCAGTTCTTGCATAAGATTTACTGTTTAGTGTATCTTTGCTTTAGTGTGTTATGTTTAATTTGATCAACGTCAACGTCAATCGACATCACTGCAAGAATTGTTCGTGGCACTGCAAGAGGAGTGGGTCAGATTGGCCCAAATCGTGATTGGACAGTTGATTAGGAGCATGCCACAACGAATTGTTGAATGTCTGAGGATTGGTGGAGCAATTACTCATTATTAAGAAAAAAATCAAAAACGTCCATTTTCAATTTTGACGGTGTATCTCTTTGGGAGTGAAATGGGCCCGTCAGATAAGCCGCCCATGTTCATGTGTAGGCAATTGGCCTGTTATTAACATACACTGGTTACCTCTAATACAAACAGCAGTGCATTTCCACAGTTTTGTATTGTTTCTGAATATCCCCTACTTTTATTGAAGAGTATATAACAAGATAATTGTTATTTTATGACATGATGAATTACCTGGTTCAGGTGGTTTATGATATTCATCAGAATCTGGTTGCCTAGGTGATATATCATCTCCAACTTTACTTCCTCCATTAACAGTACCTGCTACATCTAGACCACCAGTAGGGGAAGACAACTCTGGACTTATTTCAGCTATTTTCTCCAAACCTAAAAGTTGAAATAAAGTTTATCAGGATAGGGTCTTTAGCAGTGGGAGGAAACCGAAGGAAGCGGAGAAAACCCCAGAGGCTGGACAGGCGACTCTACTCCTTGTCACGGACAACCGGGGAATCGAAAAGACGCCAGATGACTTAATGACAGACCTTATGATACAACGTGCAAGCGCTAAACATTCGGCTATCCAACCTCCCGCATATAAAAGAACCCTTCACAGTTGGAATTCAATTGATGTCCAGGCAGAATTTCTTTCATATCACACTTTGCGACATATGCCAGACTTTATCAGCCTGCTCAGTGAAGAACAAGAGGATGTTAAACCCCATTTTATTTCATTTCATTCATACAGTCTAAGAATAACACCAACATTTGACAAATATATATAATCATCTAACTTCACTTACTTTCAATTTTTTGTTTAGGATCTGATAATTTCTGATCTGAGGAATCTGGACTCAATGCTCTCATAGTATCAGACGTCTACAAGTAAATAATATACATTATAATAGTATCAGACGTCTACAAGTAAATAATATACATTATAATAGTATCAGATGTCTACAAGTATATAATATACATTCTAATTAGTATCAGATGTCTACAAGTATATAATAGACATTCTCATAGTATCGGATGTCTACAAGTATATAATATACATTCTCATAGTATATGATGTCTACAACTATATAATAGACATTCTCATAGTATCAGATGTCTACAAGTAAATAATATACATTCTAATAGTATCAGATGTCTACAAGTATATAATATACATTATAATTAGTATCAGATGTCTACAAGTATATAATATACATTCTCATAGTATCAGATGTCTACAATTATATAATATACATTCTCATAGTATCAGATGTCTACAAGTATATAATATACATTCTAATGTATCGGATGTCTACAAGTATATAATAGACATTCTAATAGTAAATTGTTTCAATGGCTATTAGTAATTGAACTGGAATATACAGGTGACAATTCTATGGAATATAGTTACTGCTTATTACTGAGTGACGTTATGACTAGGATTCTCTGGTCTTTATCAATGCTTACTCGAAAAGTCGATCAGTAATAAGCAGTAATTGTATTCCATAAAAATTGTAACCTGTATAGTCTCATAGTATCCGATATCTACAGGTAAATATGGGTAATATACATTCTAACTTAAAATACATATAGGTATAAATATTTCATCAATAAGAAATTCAGGCCGTTACATAACAACCTTTCATCAAGTATACTGCTCAAGTAGTTACTGGAAAGAATACTTTATACAAATTTATTATATTTTATTTGTAACTTCAGTTTTTCTGACAGCTCCAAGCCAAAAAAGGATTTCAAACACATGACTTCAAGAATCGGAATTTATTGGCATGATGACAGAATCTGTATATACTTACCAATCTACCAAGAGATGTTTCTGCTGTTGTACAGGTACCATGCTTCATACCTATAATTACAAAATATCAATGAGAGAGAGAGAGAGAGAGAGAGAGAGAGAGAGAGAGGAAGGTATGAGAGAGAGAGAGAGAGAGAGAGAGAGAGAGGAAGGTAGGAGAGAGAGAGAGAGAGAGAAAGAGAGAGAGAGGGGTAGAGGGATGTGTTCTGCTGTAGTAACAGGTTTCAGAAAATATGGGAACCTCTCTCAGATAATTCACTCCTTTTCATATCCTACATGTGTGAGGGAGTGTGGCATAAAGGGAGAGTGTGAGGCAGAGCAGAGCAGAGCAGAGCAGAGCAGAGCAGAGCAGATGGGTTTATTAATTATATATTATATGTAAACTTGTAAACACATTGTGAGTATGGTAAACAACCTAAGCCTAAGTTTTGAAAGAGAGAGAGAGAGAGAAAGAGAGAGAGAGAGAAAGAGAGAGAGAGAGAGGGGAGCAGAGCAGAGAGGAGGGTTTATCAATTATATATGTAAATTTACAAACACATTGTGAGTATGGCAAACAATCTAAGCCTAAGTTGTATCATCCCCAATATGAGAAATCTGACTAAACTGGGGTCCATAAAGGGTGAATAAGTTTTGAACCACTAGCTGAGGTCACCAAGATGTCATTTTGCAATCAGGTGTCTCTGGTGGCATATAACTCCTCAGTTTCTCACCTGTAACTTTAAAGAAATCAAACTTTGTTGCCATGGCTCCTTTGTTAGTTAGAGTTACGGTTCTTTTTAAAGTTTCTCCTATCACAGTGACACCGAAATCAGCCAGATTAGTGTCTACTTGGACCTGAAAAAAAAAAAAATTATAATCTGAAATGGTTTATTTACATATTGAATCAAATAATATAATCTATTGTCAAATTGTGGTATATTCTATATCATTGTGGTCTGAGACCTTATGTTTAAGCAGACACAAGTAGTCTCCCTTATGTTGGAGTTCTTCTGCCTTTTTGAGTAATAAAGAAAGAGATTGGAATTCTAACATGGAGAATGGTTTATTTTTATTTTCACCCACATGATGTAAATGTGTAACACCCCTGGATCCATAACACTATGGCCAGCTACATATTCATATTAACAAATAGAGAAAGAAATGGGACTGAACTAAACAGAACTAGATCATTTCAAGTCTATTGTATTTTCCATGTATAAGATCCCTTTTTTATCAAGTTTACTCCATGTTTGCCAAATCATGATATTTTTTTTATTTTACCGAGATCAAAATTAGGGTTGACAAAATAATGCCTTGAGCATAATTCCTTCACAATTCCATCGGATCATTTGTTCTATTAACCTTTGCTACATGTTGTACAAATGGTCCCTGTATTTTTCAAGATGTTTTAGTTTTAATAATCAGATATGGAGTGACAAGTATACTTACATCACATTTCTTTGTACTGCATCGTAAAGGTATTGAAAATGGACCTGTCTGTGAGAGAAAGTTCACCTGACCAACTAAATCTTCATTTATCTGTGTAAAACAAACAAAAGGTGATTCATAAAGTAGAAAATTGTATTTAAGCTTGAAAATACGACACCTGTCCAAGATACTGCTGTCAATGTCAGGCACAAAACCTCTGGTGCCTGCCATTTTTTCCAATGCTGATTTGTCCAGTACAAAGTTAAAACTGTTAGTGTGTGATATTTTGTCAGGTATTTTTAATACCGATACATGTCTGACACAAAGTTAAACCGTTAAGTGCGTAAGTCGTTATATAACGTCCTGGACAACTGCCACTCACTGTGTGTAGGGTGTAATATAACGCCTTGGAGGTATTTTCCCCAACCTATTCTTAGAACATAGTACATAGTTCTTTGTCACTTCGTGAAATTAATTACACAATGGGGGTAGTTAACGTTTTAAAAACGTCACGTTTTAAAAACGTGTGACATTTTGTTTACATACTGATTCAAGAGAGAGACTAACATATGGTTCAATTATATTTCAATAATTCACTTTAGAGAAAACCCATGAGGTTGGACAGGCGACCCTACTCCTTGTCACGTACAACCGGGGAATTGAAACCATGCCAGTTGACTCAATGACAGACCTTATGATACAGCACGCACGTGCTAACCATTCGGCCATCCAACCCCCCCCTTAAAATATATCGGATACTACACATTAATATCTGACATTTTGTCAGGTATAACTAAAACTGTTATATCGGGAGTGGTTGGGATGGGAATACAAAGTAGGGGATATTGAAATGCAAATACCTATGCAGGTTGTGATATGATAAATAGTCATGGACACTTGACATGCTTTGAGAGTATCCCCTACTTTTTTTGAAGAGTATAAGTAAGCAATAGATTGATACTACATGGGGATGTTGTTTCAAAATATTACGCAATGTCTTGATCATGACCGTTTAGTAAATTAAAATACAGACACTATCCGGCATGTGTATTTGTTTCTATAAAATCAAAGGATGACGTCATATCTGTATTTTAACATGTTTTACTATTATTATCATAAAGTTATAACTATAACTAACCATGGGTTTAAAGGTCACCATCATATCACATGTTAAACCAGCTGACATCTGACCTGGAGGATCAAAGCTACAAATATACAAACGATACAGTCAAAAGAAAATATCAAATTACAGATGGAGGAAACTTTTAAAAAAGATACAAACAATACAGTGTGATACGGAAATAGTATCATCTGTTGCTTTTGGTTCATAATATCAGGTAGACCCAATCTTTGAGGTATAGATCGAAGGACTTTTAAAAAAAAATAAACAGTACTTCTACTTGATAAAGAGCTAGCCATTCTTACTATAATAGTTCTAAAATAGATAATGCAAAATGAATATATTGAATATTTCATTCAAATTGCACCATTGTAAGCGAAGATATTAGCTTTTGAAGCTTTTGAAGCTTTCATATGATGTGTGCTTTAATTGCAACAACCGAACTGTTTGTTCGAAGCTTAGTCTCGCTTCACCATTAAATTAAAATATAGCTGAACTGTTTTAATTTACTTAATATCGAGAAATTTGATGCCATCATGAGTTGATTATGGTCTTGTCGTGTTAATAAATGTCTAATTAATAGTTTATATAAAATTTCAGGCCTAAAGAAAGACTTGCAATAGGCAGATTTAGCTCTTGCATAATGCATCTTTAAGAAAACAAAATCAAAATACCAACATTAGATAATGTTCAGACTTGGATTCAACCAGATTAAAACTAGGCCCAACAATCTGGTTCAGGGAAAATAAAGATGGCAACACGCTTATTTGATAAGAAGTAATATAGATCAATAGAAATTTTAATTCATCATATCTTTGTAAATACTGAAAGGAATTGAACTGTTTTCAGAGAGAGAGAGAGAGAGAGAGAGAGAGAGAGAGAGAGAGGGTTTAAAGTCCACTGAACACAAACTAGGTCATTTCGGGACTAATATATGGTTTAATTTTATTTCAATAATTCGATTTGCACGTAGGGGTCTTAAGCAGTGGGAGGAAACCGGAGGACCCAGAGAAAACCCACAAGGTTGGACAGGCGACCCTACTCCTTGTCACTTACAGCCGGGGATTCCAAACCACGGCAGTTGACTCAATGACAGACCTTATGATACATCACGCACGTACTAACCATTCGGTCATCCAACCCCCCGAACTGTTCTCAGACCAATATTCCTTTTACAGATGGGGATCACGTGGCTAAGTGGGTAAGACGCTAGCTCGCTAGCCTGGAGGTCGGGTGTTCGATCCCTGCATTGGCCGAGAAAGTTCATCCAGATTTTCCGGCGTGGTTCTCCCTTGTCAGTGATGCAGGACGGAGGGGCTGACAAGGAAAGCTGTCTAGTCGTTCGGATGGGACGAAAAACCGAGGTCCTGTGTACACATTGGCGTGCACGTAAAAGATCCCTTGACAGTTGGAATTCGATATAAGAGTAGGCCGTAGTGCCGCTGTCCGGGCAAAATTTCCCTCATAGCACACTGTATGCCGTATGCCCGTCTTCATTAGCCCAGGTTAGGAGCAGAACAGTAGGACGTTAAACTCCATTTCATTTCATTTCATTTCCTTTTACAGATTCAACTTTCACAATCTTGTAGTTTGTTAGGGATTCTTTAAATAAATTTCTAGAACAGTAACTTACTCTATTTTAATAAAATCTTTGAGTTTTTCTGTGATGCTGACATATTTACAGTAATTAACTGTATAGGAGACATTGGTGAGGGTAACTTTCTTCTTGTACGTCTGACCGACATCAAAATTCTGGTGAGGGAACAAAATCATTATTAGCAATAAAATATATAGATAGAACGAAATAACCATTGAATATCGCTTGTCTCATTCAATGGTTCAAGAGAGTGTATCCCTACGCAAGTAATCCACAAGTAACAGCGAGCGGAATGCAGCAGGGATACACTCGAGTGAATGAAAATCTAAAAATACACTGTACTATACAGATTATCAAAAACAAAATCATCAATAACGTTAAAATTCATCATAGGTTCCGTCCCTTTTTTCTTTCTTTTTTATACAAAAATTATATTTGCTAGGATGATTCTCGACAAAAGTAGTACATTTTCAAGCCATTAAATACAACCATATTCAATGATATTTGCTTGTATTTGCATGTAGTTATAGAATACAAATTGGTATTTACAACACTCAAACTGATAATCCTGGAAATACAAGCAGTTGTACAAAAAAATATTAAAATTCACATGACACTGGAAAATCTAGGTCTATGTAATCACTGCTTATTACAACTTGTGTCCATGAAGAAAACATAACAATATCGGGTAACAATACATACACTTATGCAATCCACCATTCACCACAGGATAGGTTAGAAATGGAGAGAGAGAGAGAGAGACATTGGGTTTAATGTCCACTCGACACAAACTAGGTCATTTTGGGACTAACATATGGTTTAATTTTTTTCAATAATTCATCTATGTGTAGGGGTCTTTAACAGTGGGAGGAAACTGGAGGACCCGGAGAAAACCCAAGAGGTTGGACAGGCGACCCTACTCCTTGTCACGTACAACCGGGGATTCGAAACCAGGATAGAAATGGAGTTTAAATTTGTATCAACACAGTTATTCATGTGTGTGAAATAGCTTTAATTAAAGTCTGTTCCCACCAATCTTAAATCGCCAACAATCACATAGTAATTCAGTTGTCTAGAGACTTTCATACTATAACATTCTTCTACATTGACGTCTGTAGCAAAAGGTGATTTTTTTGTCCAGACGCCAGCATTTAAGCCTACTCTTCGTCAAAGGTACTTCGACGATGAATATTTGTGTGAGCGCTATATACATCTAAACCAATCACAACTGTTTCACAGTACATCAGAATTCTGATGTCACATGATTGTCTGTTTCGAACATTTGGAAGAGAGATGTTTGTCTTTAAGATGGCGATGGAACCCCCCCCCCCCAAAAAAAAGAAATTAAAAACTCCCTTTTACCTTAGAATATTTATACAAAAATGAAATTAAAATTTTCGTTACCTTAAAATGTATGATATCTGGTTTACTATAGAAAGGACATCCAGTAAATTCTCTGCCAGCTGCTACTTGTTTTATAGTTATCCCATCTCTATGTTTATCCAGTACTTTCATCATGATATCCTTCAGACAGAGAGAGAGAGAGAGTTTAATGTCCACTTAACACAAACTAGGTCATTTTGAGACTAACATATGGTTCGATTTTATTTCAATAATTCGCATGTGCATGGGGGTCTTCAGTAGTGGGAGTAAACCAGAGGATCTGGAGAAAACCCCATGGCATTGGACAGGCAACCCTACTCCTTGTCATGTACAAAACCGAGGAATTAAAACCATGTCAGTTGATTCAATGACAGATCTTATGATACAGCGTGCACATGCTAACCATTCGGCTACCCAACATCCAACCCCCCTCGGAGCTGTCAGAGATTGTAAAATATCCAAAAGGGTGTGTGAGTAGTTTACATGAGAAAATAAACAATTTATTCAATAAATTACCTTTTCCATCTTACTGGCACCAGGTAATTTTATCTGAGTATCCATATCTTTAGGTACGTGGTATGGTTTATGTGTATCCCATAATCCCTCAAATTCCGGCTTGGCTAAACTAACAGCATCTTCTGTATATGAATCAACTGGATTAATTATTGGAATTTTCCAAAATGTCGAATCCTGACATTGGTCAAGAAAAAGAAAAACATTCTGGATATACAAGTCCTGCCTTGACTTGCTTGTATGGCTCCTTGGGACAGACAAGGAAAGTGTGATTTGTCATGTTGTATAGCCATATATGAGTTCTAAGTATGTATTATGGTGGTCTGTATCCTACTAAGGATACAGGATTTATCTCCCTTACATATTGCCTGTTGTAAGACTAGATAATTTGTATGATTAGGAGTGAGCTCCCCTAAAAGGAGGTTAATAAACATAGGCCTATGATGAACTAATTGTTTGTATCATAAATCTTCTCTGATGATATACAACAGTCATTCAGATGATATGAAAAACCCAAATCCATTCGTGTACACATTTGCATGCACATAAAAGTATTCTGACGGTTGGAAATCAAAGAATAGTATGTCCGACAAATGTGACATGCTTTCCAAGTTAATAGTACATGCTGTCCAAGTAAATGTACAAGCAGTCTAATGTGACATGCTGTCCGAGTTAATCGACATGCTGTCCGAGTTAATGTTACCAGCAGTCTGAGTTAATGTGACATGCTGTCGATGTTAACGTTACACACAGTCTGAGTTAATGTGACATGATGTCTGTGTTAATGCAACATGCTGTCTGAGTTAATGCGACATGCTGTCCGAGTTAATGTGACATGATGTCTGAGTTAATGTGACACGCTGCCTCAGTTAATTTTATATGCTGTTCTAGTTAATGTGACAGGATATGAGTTACTGTGGCATTCTGTCCGAGTTAATGTGAAATGCTGTCTGAGTTAATGTGACATGTTGTATAGTTAATGTGACATGCTGTCCAAGTTAATGTGACAGGATATGAGTTAATGTGACATGTTGTCCAAGTTAATGTGACAGGATATGAGTTAATGTGACATGTTGTCCAAGTTAATGTGACAGGATATGAGTTAATGTGACATACTGTCCGACATGAATACCTGAGTTAATCTGACATGTATACCCGAGTTAATGACACATTGACGGGGAAACTAAAATGACATAATACCTGAGTTAATATAACAAAGATACCTGAGTTAACACTGAATGATACCTGGTGAGTGGGTATGCTTTACAGAATTGATGGTTTAGTTAATAAAAATGTTCTAACCTTGTACATCATCAGTTTCTGAATCACTACTGTCAGGTGGTTGTACAATAGTTGGTTCTGATGATAAATAAACAGCCTTCTGTCCAAATTCATCATCAACATCATCTTCATCGTCATCCCTTTCTTCATCTTCATACTTAACATTTATACTATAACTCATGCCCTGTAAAACAGAATATCTATATAACTCATACCCTGTAAACATATATTAATATAACTCATGCCCTGTAAAACATATAGTATTACCAGGGGTGGATTGGGGCCGGTTCCCGGCCCGGGCTCCCGTGTCGGAGCGGCCCCTTTTACTGGCCGCGGAGCTCTACCCCGGGAAAATGAACCCCAAAAATGTGATTTGGTGGCATATCTGATTATAATATCTGTCAAATTCAGCCAGCAGACCAGCTATCACCAAATTTTGCTGAGGCTTTAAAACTGAATTTTTTTTGGATATACGAACCATTGGCAGACGTTTCTGGCGTATCCCCACAAACAGGGTGCAGGTGACTTAATAATTAGTAAATTTGCGGGCGACAGTGTCGGAGGAATCCGATGAAATTTTCGGATGAAATTCGGAATCCCCATTGCAAGATTCCGAATTCCGGCCCACACCCAGCCCAGAAAGTCTATTATACCAGCCCATTCCAGACTCCAGTGATGGCGTGGCGGCCCGTTAAAGACACCGGTTACATACAACATGATCATCATCGCTCCATGGCCGCCCCCCATATAATGTTCAGCAGAAAAAAGTTTTTTTTTAGACGAATTGGACAAAATTATTTTTTTCATTTTTTGTCCGACCGGCCCTTAATATAACTCATGCCCTTTAAAACATATAATAATAATATAACTCATGCCCTGTAAACACAGAATAAAAATATAACTTATACCCTTTAATAATATAATCCATACCCTGTAAACAAATAATAATATAACCCAAACCCTGTAAACATAATCTAATAATATAACTCAAGTTCTGTAAACATAATATAACTCATATACCCTGTAAAAGATATAATTTTAATATATAACTCGTACCCTTTAAACACATATTAATGGAACTCATACACTGTAAACATATAATATCAATATAACTCATACCCTGTAATAATATTAATATAAACTCATACCCTGTAAACAGAGAATATCAATATAACTCACAACCTGTAAAACATATGATATCAATATAACTAACACCCTGTAAAACATATGATATCAATATAACTAACACCCTGTAAAACATAGAATATCAATCATTTCATTCCAACATTTCAAAGGCTAAAATGGAAAAATTTTGTTTCTCTTCTGATTTTACCTGGGTTTTGTCTGCTTGTTGAAAATCACCTGATCCAGCCAGACCAGCAGATTCTAAAGCTGCTCTGCTAAAATCCTCCAAACATTTCAATGGCTTCTTTTTATGAACTGGCACAAACTGTAATATACAGACAACAATTATTATGTGAGCTGCTCCCACAAAACCAGGCAGCATATTTGAATAGCCCACAGCCTGAGCCTTCCAAAAATGCAATTCTTTTTAAATTTGTTGTATTGTCTGGAGTTGAGTCCGGCTCATTCACAGCAACAAGAAGGCATACAGTTTATGCTTTTGTGCTCTTAGTACAAACGTGCGTGCTGTATCATACGGCCTGTCATTGAGTCAACTGGCGTGGCTCCGAATCGCCATTTGTACGTGACAAAGAGGTGGGGCGCCTGTCCAATCTCATGGGTTTTCTCCGGTCCTCCGGTTTCCTCCCACTGCTAAAGACCCCTACGTGCAAGTGAATTATTGAAATAAAAAAATTAAACCATATGTTAGTCCCCAAATGACCTAGTTTGTGGTGAGTGTACGTTAAACCCCATTTCTCTCTCTCTCTCTCTTTTGTGACAAGCGCCTGGTTTTGTGGGAGTGGGTCACAATTATTTAATACATCAAACATCCAATTAAAATAGTAATAATATTATTGGGAGAAGGTTCATAATTTCTATAAATTGTCCTAATCCCTTTGTAAATTATGTGCAATACAATATGTTTAAACTAAACTCTGTTTGTCTTCATAGAATCCAAGTACAGCATATCAGACCTTTCACTTGAAAACTTTTCGACCAGTCAATTTTAATAAAGTCCCAATTCTTATATTTTAACTGTCCGGGCAAAAAATTCCCTTATAACATGCAGCATGGTGTATTCCCTTTTATATTCGGCCTTTCACTTGAAAACTTTGCCACCAGTCAATTTTAATGTAGTCCCAATTCTTATATTTTAACTGTCCAGGCAAAAATTTCCCTTATAACATGCTGCATGAGAGAGAGAATGGGGTTTAACCTCCACTGACACAAACTAGGTCATTTCGGGACTAACATATGGTTTAATTTTATTTCAATAATTCGTCTGTGCGTAGGGGTCTTTAGCAGTGAGAGGAAACCGGACGACCCAGAGAAAACCCACGAGGTTGGACAAGCAACACTACTCCTTGTCACGTACAACCGGTGAATAGAAAAAGCAGATTAAACAGTCAGACAGTGCTTATAAAGAAATGCTACACTAACATAGGCCGTGAAGAAGAAATGAGGTTTAATGTCCACTTGACACAAACTAGATCATTTCAGGACTAACACATAATTCAATTTTATTTCATTTATTTGCTTGCGTGTAGTGGTGTTCAGCAGGGAGGGGTTGAGGGGGTGGGGAATGTAGTGGTGTTCAGCAGGGAGGGGTTGGGGGGTGGGGAGTGTAGTGTGTTCAGCAGGGAGGGGTTGGGGGGTGGGGAGTGTAGTGGTGTTCAGCAGGGAGGGGTTGGGGGGTGGGGAGGTGGAACTAGAAGACCTAGAGAAAAACCTGGCAAAAAACCACATGGTTGAACAGACGGCCCTACTCCATTTAACTCAATGACAGACTTTATCAAAGCCCAGCCTAACCGGAGTGGGGCCCTGGGCCTGACTAGAATCGCGGGGCACTTTTTGAATGGCACGCATGCGTAACACACAATTAAACGATCTGTAATAAAAGAATAATTACATAATATCTGATTACATACGAAATATATTCAGTTCCCAATATCATACAATGCGCGGAAATGACATAATGGCGGGCTTGCGCCGCTAGAAGCCTAGACCGATCACCAAGTAGAATTTAACAGAGAAGGTTGAGGGATAGCTTAGTCTCTCCCCCCCCCCCCCCCCCCCCCCCCCCCCCCCGTGCCGCTAAATCGATTACCGTTAAGCTTTCAACTGGAATTTGAATTTTTACTCTTTTTGATATGAATTGCAAGGCTCCCTAAACTGCGGGCCCCTGGGCCCCTCAGACCCATGCCTAAGCTGGGCTTTGGACCTTATGATCTAAAACACACATTTGACCACACCTGCCCCTCTAATCTACGTAAAACTTAAACCTTTTCCTTGTCTTTCTTGGTCTCTGACCACAAATAAGACTGTTCTCTTTTTCTTTTCTCCATTCTTGACTCCTCAGATAAAACTTTTTTCATAATATCAGCTTGCTTCAATTTTTGGTCTGCCTCAAATTTTCTAAATAGAATTAATGGTCACCTTTATTATTTCTCTTTCAAGTTTTTAAGATAGTTTAGATGTTACCTTTTTTTTTTGGCATCAGAAGAAACATGAATAAAGCCCCAAGGTCAGGCAGGCAACCATATTTGTCATATCACAGGAATTCCAACCAAGTGGGTGCCCATTGGCGCATATTACAAAAGAGAGATAGAGAGTTTAACATCCACTTGACACAAACTAGGTCATTTTTGAACTAACATATGGTTCAATTTTAATTCAATAATTCGCTTGGGTGTAGGGGTCTTTAGCAGTGAGAGCAAAGCGGTGGACCTGGAGAAAACCCACGATGTTGAACAGGCGATCCTACTCCTTGTCACGTACAACTGGGGAATCAAAACCACGACAGTTGACACAATGACAAACCTTGTGATACAGGGCGCCAAGGCTAACCATTCGGACATCCACCCCTCTCAAAATCCCAAGAAAGTCATTAACAACAGGACTGATGAAACAAGTTCTATTTTTAAACTCTGTTTAAAGGCCAGTATATTTTCACTGTTTTTAACACTTTCTGGTATAAAATTCCACTTCCATGTGAGGATGTTGAGGATGTCTGGATTAACAGACGAATCGATGTCACAGGCCCTGGTTTCCTAAAGCATTCTCAGACTTAGGTTAAAAATTTACTCAACTTTCAATCACTGTTTATGAGAAATATCTTTGATCCAGAAACACAAAACATTGTACATAGTTTCTTATTGATATATCTGATACATTAAAACAACAAAAGTTTCATAAAGGGCTGTATTTTAGTTGAAATAAGCCGAACAATTTTGAGTAAATTCTTAACTTAAGTCTGAGAATGTTTTGTGAAACTGGGTCCTGATCAATGACTTAGAATAACAAATTTAAGATTTGTGATGTGTATCGCAACCCCTTGGACCATTCACCCACTCACAAATAAAACTAATGGTCATTCTTTGCTTGATAAAGGCGAGAGAACCCTCATCGAAATGTCACCAGAAATAATCTTTCAAGTATTTAACTAGTATTCCATAAAATTGTGTCATGTGCTATTCTCATCTAGGGGATCACGTGGCTAAGTGGGTAAGACGCTAGCTCGCTAGCCTGGAGGTCGGGTGTTCGATCCCTGCATTGGCCGAGAAAGTTCATCCACATTTTCCGGCGTGGTTCTCCCTTGTCAGTGATGCAGGACGGAGGGGCTGACAAGGAAAGCTGTCTAGATGTTTGGATGGGACGAAAAACCGAGGTCCCGTGTACACATTGGCGTGCACGTAAAAGATCCCTTGGCATTTGGAATTCGATATAAGAGTAGGCCGTAGTGCCGCTGTCCAGGCAAAATTTCCCTCATAGCACACTGTATGGTGTATGCCTGTCTTCATTAGCCCAGGTTAGGAGCAGAACAGTAGGACGTTAAACTCCCATTTCATTTCATTTCATTTATTCTCATCTAGTTACTAAATGCCGCTCAAACAACAAAATAAACTACTTACTGCTTTTGTTTCTCAAATTCATTTTTTCTTTTCTTAATGAGCATCAATTCATCAGCGTTTCCACCTTCTTGTAATATTCTCTGTCTTTCTAATTCTTCACGGATTTTCTTTTCTCGCTCTTGTGCTCTATCTCTAGCTTTTATAGCTTTCATATTTTCCTATTCAGATAAAAACATTAATAGATCATATTTTCCTATTCAGATAAAAACATTAATAGATCATATTTTCCTATTCAGATAAAAACATTAATAGATCATATTTTCCTATTCAGATAAAAACATTAATAGATCATATTTTCCTATTCAGATAAAAACATTAATAGATCATATTTTCCTATGTAGATAAAAACGTTAATAGATCATATTTTCTTATGTAGATAAAAAAGTAAATAGATCATATTTTCTTATGTAGATAAAAATGATAATAGATCATATTTTCGTATGTACGCAGTAAATGTGACGTTTTAGAATGAATGTTGAAAACAAACCATTGCCAGATGTGGTAAAAGCTCAAACAAAGAGCATTTCAGATTCAGATGCCTACATTGACATTCAGTTACAGAAATGATATGGCGATTTAGCGTCCTACAGGGCTAACGAAAACGGTCATACGCCGCGCGATGTGCTATAAGGGAAATTTTCTACAGACATCGGAGCTATGGCCTGCTCTTATTTCGAATTCCAACTGTCAGGGCTTTTATTTGTCTGTCTTGTCCACAGGTTGGTCTTGTGGGTTTTATTTGTCTGTCTTGTCCACAGGTTGGTCTTGTGGTTATTGTTTGTGTGTGATGCAGTCCTCCAGTTTAATATAATATAATGTTTTCTCACTCTATTAGAAACAATATCTTTCTTCAGTTTTAATAACATGTCAATTTTACGCTGCATGTCCGCTTTATAATCACTGTGTTTATCTTGTTCTTCTTTCTTTAATCTAACAAAATAAAATAAAATAAATAAATAAATGTATACATTCAAGTGTTTGGGACAAAAATTGTGTTTTTTTTAATTTGATTTGATATTTTTGTGAATTGATTATTTGATTTTTTTTTTGATTTGATTGATTTTTTGGGTGATTTTTTTGGTTTATGTTTTGTGTTGCAGTCTCCCTCAGGGGTTTAACGTCCACTTGACACAAACTAGGTCACTTCGGGAGTAACATATGGTTCAATTTTATTTCAATAATTCACTTGCACGTAGGGGTCTTTAGCAGTGGGAGGAAACCGAAGTACCCGGCCAAAACCCACGAGGATGGACAGACGACCCTACTCTTGTCACATACAACTGGGGAATCGAAACCATGTCAGTTGACTCAATGACAGACCTTATAATACAACCAACGCACACGCTAACCATTCGGCAACCCCCCCTATTTAATTTATACATACTTCACTAGCGTAGCAGTCAGATATTTACTGGCCCTTTGGTGACTTTTTCTCGATTCCTCCATGGCCAGTTTATGGCGCTGTCTTTGTTCTATCATCATTTCTGTTTGTTGTCTGTATAAAATGAAATGAAATGAAATAGGGTTTAACGTCCTACTGTTCTGCTCCTATACTGGGCTAATGAAGACAGGCATACGCCATACAGTGTGCTATGAGGGAAATTTTGCCCGAGCAGCGGCACTATCGCCTACTCTTATATCAAATTCCAACTGCCAGGGGATCTTTTACGTGCATTCCAATATATACACGGGACCTCGGTTTTTTGTATCATCCGAAGGACTAGACAACTGTCCTTGTCAGGCCCTCCGTTCTGCACCACTGACAAGGGGAAACCACGTCGGAAAATCCTGATGAACTTTCTCGGCCAATGCAGGGATCGAACACCTGATCTCCAGGCTAGCGAACCAGCGTCTTACCCACTTAGCCACCACGACTCTCTGTTGTCTGTATAAATATTTAATAAACATTATATCAAAAATATCTATAAACACTACTCCTATTCTTATATCAAATTCCAACTGCCAAGGGTTCTTTTAAGTGCAGGCCAATGTGTACATGGAACCTTGTTTGTTTTTATATCATCCAAACAACTATACATTCCCTTTGGCCTCTGTCCTGCATCAATGACAAGGGGATACCACCCCAGAAAATCCAGACGAACTGTCTTGGCCAATACAGGTGTCGAACACGGGACCTCCAGGTTAGCAAGCCAATGTTCTACTCACTGCGCTAATAAATGATTCACATATGTGAACTTTATTTGAGGGATTGTGAATTTAACAGTTGAATCTCAAAATAGAATGTCAGTCCATTCAGTATTTACAAAGAAATATTGAAATAGGGCGTGGTCGCGATATTAGCAGAGTTTAAAACTGTTGGAATGATTGACACCCCAAGGTTATGAAACTGAATAAAAGTGAAATTTTATGGTTAAAAATCTTTGTTTCATCATTTCACTCAGTTATAAACACATAATATCAAATTCACACCAAACATATGGTTCTAATTAAAATAGTATCATCTTTGCAAAATCGTGCTGTAATGTCAGGGTGGGATATGCCACAGCCAAAATATTTTCAGAATTAAAAGGGTTAATTAAATGTTAAATAATCAATTTTAGCACATAATGAAAAACTTGAAACATTTTTTGAAAAATGCAAATGACTTTATAATGTGTTTAGTTTAAACAATAATTTTTTCACTTGAAAAGGATTAAACAATAGGAAAGAGCCTATATAAGTTTAAATAGTATTTAAGGCCTATATAACTTCTTTCCATCGTTAATTTGTCTTACTTATCCAACTTTTTCAATTTGCCTTCTGCTTGTATTGCTGATTTTTCTTCTTTATTCAATCGTCTGATGGCATGATCTGTTTTCTCACGAAATAACTGTTGTTCTTTATACTTCAACTCATCTTCAGCCAATAAAAACTTGCCTTTTTCTACTTCCGCTTTCCATAATTCATATCTGAAAATAATAATATATTATTTCAGTTAATTCCTAGAACTGTTGATTTTTGACTCAAGCAACTAAATGAACCTCTGTGAAATGCTTTTATTACAATTGTTCGGGTTTTTTTTTTTATACTTTCGATTGCCTACACTACATGAAGATCTGACTGGTTGTACAGGAAGGTCACGTCAGGGGTCATACATGCAGCTTTTGATCCTATGACATCAGACATTGATTAATCAATGACGTTTCTAGTGGTTTACCAACAGTTCCATGCATCATACGCCAAGAAGTCGCCATAACAGACTGTTTCATTGGCCAATCTCTCACACCGGTAATATAACAACTCTTCCAGATTCTAGTGTTGTGAAGACAAGTAAAACAAAATTTTGAACTATAAAAAAAATGAAATGAAATAGGATCTGTGTTTTAATAAGATTGAGCAAAGGTACACACAGGAATCAAATAGTTGTATTGCTATTGAAAAATTGACAGGTGAGTATTCTAATCAAGTAAAATGAAACTTTTAAACAATTTTGGGGATCATTAACACGTAATTTCAGAATGAACATTCTTTCATTTCAATAATTCATGAAAATTTCAGGGGAAACCAACAAGATAAGGTATCATACGAAACTTAGGTTGCCTGTTAACAGTTAGCTCCGCTTGAGAAGACACTAAGATAGTTGACCGACATTTTAAATCCTGGATCAAGGATTTTAGTCGAAAACACCAAGTACATGAGAATTTTGAGAAGCATTTATTCTGCTTCTATTTAATGGAATTGAATAGGTTTATTTAGTCTTTGTGTGTATGCCAGATGTGAAATGGAGTAGAAAACAATATACTAATTTTTGGATATGACGGCAATTCTGGACGGAGGTTTACTCTCGAAGTATAAAGTAGATGGGTAGGGGTAATGTAGCAGTATGTTCCAGTCATTTTTCAGTATTTTGGGGGCAGGGAAAGGGGAACGGACCGTTGGGGGGAGGGGGGATGATAATATAGAGGACACATGGCTTACTCAGTTTGCTCCAGTCTTTTTTCAATATTCTCTTTTAATTCTTCTTCATCCTCCAATTCTCTACATAGTCTGTCATGAACTGATCTTAATCTGTATACAGCAGCACTGATATTCAAAATTAGAAAAAATTGGAAAAAATATGAAAATATTTATTGGTACAAGAATCAGCACCTAGAAGAAATATTGGGTGACACGAAAAGAATATTCTAGTTCTCAGATAATGCTAAAGTGTATTTACTGCATGTTCACATTTCCAGTGATATAGGTAAGCAAATTTATAAAATGTAAGCTTACTGTAGGCACAATTATCAAGTCTTGGTACACAACCCTATTAACGGTTATTGATAATTGTAAATCTCACTGGATAATTGTAAACTGCTTTTTTTGTCCTATCCAAATGACTTGATGCTGTTTCTTGTCGTCAGGACCTATGACCTGCACTTTTGACAAGGGAAACTTTCTTGACCAACACTGGGATCAAACACCCGCTCTGCTGATTAGCGAGCCAGCGCCTTAGTCACTGAGCCTCAGCACGACTCTCCGAAAAAACACTAGACAATAAACTATAACACATACTTATATTGATAACGTTGAGAGAATACTCTTCCAAACGTCGCCCAAATAAATAAGTAGCTGTTCTTCCATAAGTATGTGTTATAGTCTATTGCTCTATCCAGTTACTAAATGACTCTCAAAGATTAACACTAGACAACGAAAAGCTGGTTGGAAATGAAATGGGGTTTAACGTCCTACTGTTCTGTTGTGAACTGGGCTAATGAAGACGAGCATACGCCATACAATGTGCTATGAGGGAAATTTTGCCCGGACAGCGGCACTATGACCTACTCTTATATCAAGGGATCTTTTACGTACACGCCAATGTGTACACAGGACCTCGGTTTTTCGTCCCGTCCACATGACTAGACAGCTATCCTTGTAAGGCCCTCCGTCCTGCATCACTGGCAAGGGAGGTACCACACCAGAAAATCTTGATGAACTTTCTCGGCCAATTCAGGGATCGAACACCCAAACTTAAGGCTAGCGAACCAGCGTCTTACCCACTTAACCACCGTGACCCCCAAGCTGGTTGAAATTTTTTTTTATCAGAGTTGAAGCTTACGTGTTATTTGAAGCTTCAGCATTTTCTATTTGAGTAAACGTGTTGTCTCTTTCTTTCTCTAACTGTTCAATCTGATTCTGACATTTCTTCAATTCTTCTCTGAAAATAAACAATTTACATCTTGACCCCTGACCTCCTTAAAACATGCCCTGACCCCTGACCTTGTTACATCAGTAGTGGACATTGCAAGCATCTAGATGAAATTGAAAATGCACACACACACTGCGTAGTTTGCTATGATGCAAGCCTTGAAATAACTGCTGGACTGAATTATGGCCGAACATTTCAGAATTTCAGCCAGACAAATAGTCAAATACTTTATTATTATTAATTATTATGCCCCAAAAAACTGTTGAAATTTACTATGTTTAATCTTCATCGTGGTACTGTATTTTTCGGGGTACAAGTTGTCCTACTCTGACTGGGCTAATGAAGACGGGCATATGCCATACAGAGGTCTATGAGGGAAATTTTGCCTGTGCAGCAATGCTACAGCCTACTCTCAACCGCCAACAAGGGATCCTTTATATGTGCATGCCAATGTGTACACAAGACCTCGGTTTCCAAACGACTAAAAGGCTGTCCTTGTCAGGCCCACTGTCCTGAACAATAGCTGTCCTTGTCAGGCCCTCAGTCCTGCACAACAAACTAGGGGAAACCATCTTCTCCATCTTCGAACCTGTACTAAACCTACCTTGTTTTTTCTGTGGTATAAGTACAAGATTGCACTTTTTCATCCAGTTCATTTAAATGGCTCCTCAGATGGATCATTCGAATCTGTTCTTGCCATGATATCTTCTCTTCTGCATTGGCAGGGTAATTCGGTTCACTGTAAAAAAAAATATCAACATGCAATATGTCAGATTTTTTACTTCTCAAGACAAACTTGATTCATCCTCATAGTAAAAAGCAGGCATAATGATAGAACCTACCACACTAATCAGCAGTGAATATTTGCTAGGCTGCTGCTACACTAATCAGCAGTAAATATTCACTGCTACCACACTGATCAGCAGTGAAAATACATTGGCTGCTACCACACTAATCAGCAGTAAATATTTGCTAGGCTGCTGCTACCACACTAATCAGCAGTAAATATTTGCTAGGCTGCTGCTACCACACTAATCAGCAGTAAATATTTGCTAGGCTGCTGCTACCACACTAATCAGCAGTGAATATACATTGGCTGCTACCCCAATAATCAGCAGTAAATATTCGCTAGGCCGCTACAATCACTGATATATTAACTTCTTTCCTGGTGCAAATTAAATTCTTAAACATTTTTTTGAGGTACTAGTATATTTAGATATAAAATATTTCCTATCTAGTGTAAATGGGTATATAAAATTTTGCCTGGGCAGCGGCACTATGACCTACTCTTATATCAAATTCCAACTGCCAAGGGATCTTTTATGTGCATGTCAATGTATATACAGGATTTTGGTTTTCCGTCCCAACCGAAAGACTAGACTGCTGTCCTTGTCAGGCCCTCCGTCCTGCACCCCTTGCCAAGGTGAAACCACGTCGGAAAATCCTGATGAACTTTCTCGGCCAATGCAGGGATCGAACACCCGATCTCCAGTCTAGCGAGCCAGCGTCTTACCCACTTAACCACTGTGGCTTCCTGTACAATAAACATCAAGGCATAACGTCTAAATAAATATGTCTTTAATAAGTAATGGTTATTCTAATTCCTTATTTTATCTAACTTATTAATCTACAAATTAAATAATATAAGAGATAAAGGGGATCACGGTGGCTAAGTGGGTAAGACGTTGGCTCGCTAGTCTGGAGCTAGGATGTTCGATCCCTGCATTGGCCGAGAAAGTTCATCCAGATTTTCTGACGTGGTTTCCCCTTGTCGGTGATAGAAGTGATGCAGGATGGAGGGTCTGACAAGGACAGCTGTCAAGTCGTTCGGATGGGACAAAAAAACGAGGTCCCGTGTACACATTGGCGTGCACCTAAAAGATCCCTTGGCAGTTGGAATTCAATATAAGAGTAGGCCGTAGTGCCCTCATAGCACACTGTATGGCGTATGCCCTTCTTCATTACCCCAGTTTAGGAGCAGAACAGTAGGAAGTTAAACCCCATTTCATTTCATATAAGAGATAAGAGTGACTATGAAGACATGCTTATCCCTATTAAATAAGTTAATTTTATATAACTAAGCTTTCGATATTGTTGGCTATTTAATAAATCAAGTGAAACTTTACCTAAAAATGGTTTCGTTATCTTCTTCTTCTTCCCCTTCTGAATCAAGATCTAGTTCTCCATCATAATCTATTATTTCATCTTCTATATCAGCGTACGTATCATACACATCTCCATCCTCCATTTTCTCACCGTTTATAATATCCTCCATTTTCTTCTTTTACGCAATTCCAATGTGCCTTTAAATCAAAATACCAAGTCGTTAAATTTCATATCTATTAACTCTCCTGAATAACTTTATTATCTTATTATCTTTGGACATAGTAGACCTACCATAACAGAAAAGTCTCATTCAGGACTAACATATGTTTCAATTTAATTTCAATAATTTACATGCGCGTAAGAGTCTTTAGCAGGGGGAGGAAACCAGAGGACCCGGAGAAAACCCACGAGGTTGGACAGGCAACCCTTCTCCTTGTCACATACAACTGGGGTATCAAAACCATGCCATGAGTTGACCCAATGACAGATCTTATGATATAGCGTGCACGTGCTAACCATCATTGTGCTAACCATCATTTTGCCACCCACCCCTGCCCTAAATGGTTGCCATATCTAACAATTAGTATATATATACTGTTTTGTATTTCGGAAATACATCTGTTAAAAAAAGATAAGTTTACTTGTCAAAATAATTGAAAATCAAGCTTAAGAATAAGATGGATCTGGCTGTAATTTGCAAAACATCTTGTGAATAAGATTTAATGAATCTTAAAGGAGCTAAATCGCTAATATTTGGGAGCTAGAAATTGACCCAAATGGGTCGCAACGCATGTAATCTGATAAACTGATTTACATTCAATTGTTTCCGTTTTGACTCTAATTTCAAATCAGTTACGTCCAGCGATATATGGCACGAGTCTCAATCAATTTGCAATTTCTAGCGTTGGTTATTCCAGTCTATTGCGCATGCTCTCCAGATAAGATGGCCCACCGTTTGACATGAGTATGAGATGTAACGTGGAATATGTCTAGCCTCGTTCTTTCTGGTCACTTGTTAGAAATGAAGCTGAAACGCACTATGGTACACGATTTGTGTACCAATGGTAAAATGTTTATATTGTCTTAAATATTGGATATCACTCAGAAGCCTGCCTTTTCCCAGTAAGATCACAACATCAATGTAATGTTGATTTGAATTGACAAATAATTCCTGTTTTCAACGTGTAAGACTTTGGATGATCTTAAGTTAGGGACTTAGCTACTTTAAAACCTCTTGGGTGTCTTGTCATATTTCTTCAAAGTAATTGATTGGCAGATCTGTTACTGTAAGTGATAGGCCTAGTCAATTCGAAATTTTTTCTCTAATCGAAATTTTTTCTCTAACTGGCCCTACCGACGATCGTCGATAGCCATCAACTTTTTTTCTGCGATGAGCGTTTTTCTGAGGGATTGCAAAATAATTTCTAAACAAAATATATCATACTTGACTGTCAATGATCATACCTTTATTTATAACAAACGACGGGCTACTATAAAACGGCAATAACTCAACACATTTCTGATACACGGCCACGGGTTAATCACATTTGTTTACATCCGCCATATTGATAGCAACGACAGGAAGAAGTAAAAATATGGATTTATGTTTTTAAACGAAACGAAAAACCAGGAATTATGAACATGAAATGTATAAATTATTCTTTATTCCCCGTATGATCAGTAGCCATAAAGTGATAAAATTGTTGTGTTGACGAAACATTTAAGGACATTCTATGCCTGTCTATTGTTTGGTAATACTATTTTTAAGCCCTTTACGACTGTTGTATTGTTGTTTTATCGACTATAGGAGCCACGGTGGTAAGCGGGCCAGTAAGCGGGTAAGACGCTGGCTCGCTCCAGGTGTGCCCGCAGCCGATCAATTTATGTATTTTAGTTTAACGGTTAGAGGGAGGCAACTCTCTTTATTAAAAAGGATGATGTAAGCAAGCGGGAAGCGTGCAAAAGAAAGATGGCGAAGTAAACAGCGGTCTCAAACTATTTGAAACCGTTGTCAACGGTATTAACGTTAAAGTTTTCCTATAGATGCTCAATGCTTATGTCACACGGTTAACGGATATTGAGTGTCGATGGCGAACTGTATAAGCTGCTAGTTTAAGGTCTCAATTCGTCGTGTCTATGTGAAAGGCTAACGGTAAACAAGACATCGGCTATTGAGTATTGGTAACGGCATGGCTGCAGTTTCAAGTTAAAGGGACGGTGACGCGTTTCAATACCGCTATGTACAAGGTTTAAGGTTTACTTATAAATCCTATGGTGGACAGAATAAAGAAATTTTATGGTTTAAATGTATTTACTTTATCGAGTTTACGGCCACCATATTAGTTTCAAATAGTAAAAATTATTGACTTCTCGCCATACATACGTATTGTCAAATGGTTGAAATAGAATAGCCGCCCATATAGACTGAATGAACGTTGTAAAACTGTTTCGTTTAATGGTTATTAAGTGACTTTCCATAGATTAAAGTGCATGACACGTCCTATAGTGTTTTGATAGTTTGTCTACAGTCAATTGTCGACAGTTTATCAACATGGATTCACGTAAAGACTTGATAATAGAACTTCGTAATAACAATAATGAAGATACGGTAGCAGAACGGGATAGCGATGATGATAGTACTTTACACACCAGTTCAAATAAATCAAGGCACACGAAGAAAAGTCACAAAAGTTCAAATTCGTCTAGTTCGTCAAGATATTCAAGTTCTATGATCCGAGCAAGGGAAAAGGCCAAAGTTGCAGAACTGCTGACTGAACAGGCGATGTTGTCTAAAACTCAACAAATTCAGAAATTAGAACTTGAAGTGAAAATCGCTAAAGCTCAAGCCAGAGAGAAGGCTTTCCGTGAAATCGTTGATGAAGATAATGTAAACAGATTGTCAAACGAATATATTGTTCTTTCAGAAGTCAACGGATCCTCAAGTAACAGTGATTATTCTAGTACGGTAAAACCAAGTGATCTTCCACATACAGCCATACCGCCATTGATACATGTAAATGATAAACAAACAAGTGCAAGTAATTTAAATCAACCCATCTCGAGTACACCGCTTATTTATCGTCAACCGCGAGAGCAAACCCTGCCTAACTGCACAAAGAATACCACACCGCAAGGTCAACGTCTTAACCCCACAGCCAATGAATTTCAACCGACAAACACTGAATGTTTGGATTCAACACAGTTACAGACAAGGTCAAACGAAAATCAGAATGCTACAAGCTCTAATATTCAACACGATGTGGTTTTGATGCATAGACAATTAATGGCTGCAATGACATTACCTCAACCGGAAGTAAATAAGTTTAAAGGCGACCCGATAGAATACACGCCATTCATTAAAGCCTTCAACGCAAGGATTCGGTCTAAAGTCTCCAACAGTGCCGATTGTCTCTATTATCTTGAACAGCACTTAGAAGGAGAGCCTAGACATTTAATCGACGGATGTTTACATCTAGATCCCGAAGAAGGATTTGAAGAAGCGTTACAACTTTTGGATCAAGAATATGGCGACCCATACAAGCTTTCAATATCGTACACAGACAAAGTTCTTAATTGGTCCTTAGTTAAAGAAGATTCGTCAGCATTAAAGAAATTTTCTCTGTTTCTCATCAAGTGTAGAAACGCCATGAGTAGTTTATCTTATATGTTAGTCTTGAATCACCCACCAAATATGCAGTGCATTGTACAGAAACTCCCATACAGTCTTCAAGCAAGATGGAGAGAACGTGTTGTCCGAATGCGAAAGGTTGAAATGAAAACTGCATTATTCACTGACCTGGTAGACTTTATAAAGGATGCTGCAGAAGCTGCAAACGATCCCATATACGGTAAAGACGCTTTGGTGAAATCGAGTTCAACGAACAGTCAAGCTACTAAACCACATTATCAGCATAAAGATTTACACGGACATGGTAGGAAACCGTTTATACCCAAACAGAAAAGCTTTGCTACAAATACGAGTTCAGTATCGTCGAATTCAGGGTGCTCAAACGGGACCGGGTACAAAAATCAGTTATCAGAAGTTGGACTAAGCTGTAAACTTTGTAAGGGCGCTCATGGTTTAGATAATTGCCCAACCTTTGCGAAGAAAACAATGGAAGATAAGAAGACTTTCTTGGTAAACAATAGACTCTGCTTTAGTTGCTTCGGAACAAATCACATGGCTAAGGGATGTTTACAAAGGGCCACATGCAGTAAATGTCAAAAGAAACATCCAACAACTTTACATATTGATGGATTCAGTCTTCAAATGGTTGATAATCATCTTGAATCGTCTAAGGCTAGTGAAAATACAGCTAACTTGATATCAGATGTTATTCCTAAAACAGTGTGCAATGTAACCAGATCAGTAAACTCTATTATTTTACAACCCATCCTTCCAGTACGTTTACAGTGGAAAGATAAAATGGTTATTACGCTTGCCTTTTATGATAATGGCAGCAGCGGTTGTTTTCTACTAAAAGACACCCAGACGAAATTAAATGCCAAAGGAGTCTCAACGAAAGTACAACTGGGCACCATGCATGGTCAAGACATGTTAGACTCAGAAATGATAAATAACCTGTTGGTGCTTGACATCGATGGCAATAATGGAATAGAATTACCTAAAACGTACACAGTAGGTGAAATACCCGTCACACTCTCACAGGTTCCTACACCAGAAATCGTTAGTAAATGGGAACACCTTCAAGATATAGCAAAGAAAATCCCTCAACTTATTCAAGGATGCGACATTGGGCTTCTCATCGGTAGTAATTGTCCCGTAGCTCTAGGGCCGTTAGAAGTAAAACCTAGTGAAGGAAATGGACCATTTGCTATGCGCTTGCCTCATGGTTGGACCGTGTGTGGGCCAGTTTCCGTAGAAGAATCTTTGTCAACAAACGAAGTCTCAGTAAATCGCATAACTGTTAGAGAAGTAGAAAGGTTCAAGGAAATATTCTCACCGCAAACAGTTCTTGAAATGTTCGAAAGAGACTTTATTGAGGATCCGATCAATCAAAACTCAGAAGAATATGGTTTGTCTCAAGACGACAGGAAGTTTATAGAAATTGTCAATGATGGTATAAGTAACGTAAACGGCCACTATCAGATCCCACTTCCTTTTCGTAAAGAGCATATTCTCTTCCCAGATAACCGACTTCAAGCTGTTAAACGCTGTGAATGGCAGAAGAAAAAGATGTCAAGCGATTCTCAGTATTATGAACATTATAAACGTTTTATTCAAGACAATATCGATAAGGGTTTTATCGAGAAAGTTCCTGAAAATGCCTCACCGGAACCAGGACATTCGTGGTATCTTCCTCATCATGGGGTCTACCACCCTCGTAAATTAGACAAGATACGAGTCGTGTTCGATTGTAGCGCGCAGTACCAAGGTATCTCTTTGAATAATCAGCTACTACAGGGCCCAAACCTGACAAACTCATTGATTGGTGTATTAACTCGATTTCGGGACGAACGTATCGCATTCATGGGAGACATCGAATCAATGTTCCATCAGGTAATGGTCCCACCTCACCATCGAGACTTTCTACGACTTCTATGGTGGAAGGACGGCGACATTGATAACGACTTAGAGGAGTTCCGTATGTGTGTACATCCGTTTGGAGCTGCCTCATCCCCCAGCTGCTCAAACTTCGCATTAAAGAAGACTGCGGATGAATCGGAAGAAGAGTTTGGTAAAACTGTCGCAAATGTTATTCGTAATAACTTTTATGTAGACGATTGCCTCAAAAGTGTCAAGACTCCAGAAATCGCTAAAGACTTAATACGAAGGTTACAAGGTGCATGCCTTAAAGGCGGATTTAGGTTGACTAAGTTCATCTGTTCTGATAAAGAGGTTCTTGAATCTATTCCAGAGGACGAAAGGGCTAAGGAAGTTCGGGAGTTGGATTTGAATTTAGACCTACCAGTAGAACGAGCACTTGGCGTAAAATGGGTTGTTTCATCGGACACTTTTGGTTTCACAATCACCTTAAAGGACAGACCTTTAACTCGCAGAGGTATCTTATCCATGGTATCGTCAATCTATGACCCACTCGGATTTGTTTCCCCGGTAACGTTAACAGCCAAACGAATATTACAGGATTTATGCCGCCTTGATCTTGATTGGGATGACGCTATACCAGTGGAGTATCAACGACAATGGTTAAACTGGAAAGATAATCTTCTGGCTTTAGAGAAGATAGAGATTCAACGATGTGTTAAACCGGTTGAATTTGGACCTATACTATCAAAGCAAGTTCATGTATTTTCGGATGCAAGTTCTACAGCGTATGGAGCGGTTGCTTATCTTCGACTCAAGGATAATAACGATCGAATACACTGTTCATTTTTACTAGGTAAAAGTAGACTCGCACCCATAAAGACAGTTACTATACCGAGACTCGAACTAACGGCCGCTACAGTATCAACACGCATTGGCCAACTGTTGTTAAATGAGTTGACTGATAAACCGGATTCTGTCTTTTATCACACAGACTCAACTACTGTCTTAAGATACATTCATAATGACCAACGACGATTCAAAATCTTTGTTGCGAACAGAGTTCAAACGATTCGTAACTGCTCAGAACCATCCCAATGGCTGTATATCGACACTAAAAGTAATCCAGCTGATGACGCCTCACGTGGTTTAACAAGCTTAACATTCCTACAGTCAAACAGATGGCTTAAAGGTCCCGAATTCTTATGGAAGCCAGAAGAGGAATGGATCAAACAACCAGTGTTACCTGGACTAATTCCCTCATCAGATCCTGAAGTAAAGGATGAAGTTTCTAATTGTGTAACGAACGTAACTTGTTCTGATAATAATCCTGTGAAGTTGTTTATTGAACACTATTCAGATTGGCACAGATTAAAACGTGCTGTTGTTATATTTTTACGGTTTAAATCAATTCTACTGCGTTTGAGTAAGGACAGAAAAGATCATAATCATTTAAATAGATCAGAAGAAGCCTTTATGACTGAACGGAGGAAATCCTCATTCAGATCCTTAAACTTACCCATAACTGTATTAGAAATGGAGAAAGCAGAAAGTAGTATTTTTAAGTACGTTCACGAACATCAATACGCTGAAGAACTTAAAGTTCTTAGATCAACAGACTTCAATCAGAATAATCGTCGCCAACAGTTTAAGTGCAAAAAGTTGTTAACGAAGAATTTGTCAAATTTATGGAAGCTCGATCCAGTTATCGATAATGGTGTTCTCCGCGTTGGTGGACGGTTAGACAGAGCCGACGTCTCGGAATCCTTAAAGCACCCTGTAATCGTTCCCAGAAAGGGTCACTTAACAGAACTCATCATTCGCCATGCTCATCAACGACTTGCTCATGCAGGAAGAGGTCATGTTCTAGCATCGCTACGAGAAAAGTATTGGATAATAGGAGCCAACGCCGCAGTACGCCAGGTGATAACTAAATGTGTTCCCTGTCGACGCAACCGAGCTAAACCAAACATACAGAAAATGGCGGATTTGCCAGCCGAAAGAGTCAACCCCTCACCACCGTTTACCTACGTGGGATTAGATTATTTCGGACCGTTCTATATTAAGGATGGACGACGTGAACTTAAACGTTACGGAGCTATTTTCACTTGTCTAGCTAGCAGAAGTATTCACATCGAAGTTTCGAACTCTTTGGAAACGGATTCATTCATACAAGCTCTTCAACGTTTCATAGCCCGAAGAGGACCCGTTAGACAGATACGAAGTGATAATGGATCCAACTTCATTGGTGCCGAAAAGGAGCTTCGTCAGGCATTAGATGAAATGGACAAGGATAAAGTTAGAAATAAATTACTGCATTTCAACGTTGATTGGATATTCAACCCCCCAACCGCAAGCCACATGGGAGGAATTTGGGAGCGCCAAATTCGCTCAATTAGAAAGGTCTTCAATTTTCTCCTCAAGGAACATGGAAGATGTCTAGATGATGAATCGTTTAGAACTTTAATGTGCGAGGTCGAACAAATCTTAAACTCTAGACCTCTTACATTCTTTTCTTCTGATAAAGACGATTTAGATCCCTTAACGCCCAATCACATCTTAACTACTAAGACTCAAGTTGTTTTATCACCGCCTGGATGTTTTCAACGTGAAGATCTATATCTACGTCGCAGGTGGCGCAGAGTCCAGTATCTCGCCAATCTGTTTTGGACCCGATGGAAGAAGGAGTATATGATATGTTTACAGGAACGCAATAAATGGTGTCATCCTCAACGTAATGTCCAGATTGATGATATTGTTCTTGTGTGTGATGACAGTCTCCCTAGAAACGAATGGATAATGGGAAGAATCGTTTCAACAGAAACTGATAATAAAGGACTAGTTAGAGCTGCTAAAATTAGAACGTCAACCACTCAACTACGCCGACCTATTGCTAAATTGGTTCTACTACTTGAGAAGGAAGATGGTGATTAACGTGTTAAAGTGACTTTTAAGTGATTTAATGTTTAATAGTATTTAAATGACTTTAATGGTATTACGGTTTAACGTGGACAATTTTTAATGTGTTTAAACGGCTGCAGTTATTAAGACTGAATATTAGTTTGTAAATTGATTTCCTAATTTAGGGACCGGGTATGTGCCCGCAGCCGATCAATTTATGTATTTTAGTTTAACGGTTAGAGGGAGGCAACTCTCTTTATTAAAAAGGATGATGTAAGCAAGCGGGAAGCGTGCAAAAGAAAGATGGCGAAGTAAACAGCGGTCTCAAACTATTTGAAACCGTTGTCAACGGTATTAACGTTAAAGTTTTCCTATAGATGCTCAATGCTTATGTCACACGGTTAACGGATATTGAGTGTCGATGGCGAACTGTATAAGCTGCTAGTTTAAGGTCTCAATTCGTCGTGTCTATGTGAAAGGCTAACGGTAAACAAGACATCGGCTATTGAGTATTGGTAACGGCATGGCTGCAGTTTCAAGTTAAAGGGACGGTGACGCGTTTCAATACCGCTATGTACAAGGTTTAAGGTTTACTTATAAATCCTATGGTGGACAGAATAAAGAAATTTTATGGTTTAAATGTATTTACTTTATCGAGTTTACGGCCACCATACCAGGTGTTGGCCGAGAAAGTTCATAGCGGGTTTTCCCGCGTGGTTTCCCCTTGTCAGTTGTCTCCTTAACAGTTGGAATTCGATATAATTAAGAGTAGGCCGTAGTGCCGCTGTCCGCGCAAAATTAATTTCATAGCACACGGCGTATGCCCGTCGCCTTAAAATAAACTAAAATCCCCAAAGGCGCAGGCGGTTCAGCCGCACGAATAACCACATTTATGCACTCGTTTGGTACTTGTAACGGTATAGTTACAATATTTTCCATTGTATGAACTTAAATTGTTTTCTTACAGTAATTATATAGTAGCAGACATTAAGACCCAATCTTGTTGTTTATATTAGACAACATTCCGCCTTTTGCCAACTCATTGAATACTATATAGCCAGTGGCAGGACTGAGGGAGCGGCGTCCCCGAGCATCCATTTCTTTGAGGCAGCCAACCAAAAAAGAGAAAATTTAATTTACGCTTTTCAAATTTGAAATTATTGAATAAAAAGTTCATTTCGTCTGTGTCTGTTTTTTGCATTTTGATGGGCTATTATACACAAGGCCCCGCCTTTATGTGTTAAAGACGTAAATTTAAAATGTCGGAGAAAGCAACCTGTTATCGATTCGATTTATTAAGAGGGTATTTGTACCCGTGTCAGGTAGGATTGTCTGCTTAATTGCAGTTGGATGTGGCAGAAATATTTTAAATAACAATAATCAATCGTTGTTTTGAAGAAAAATTTGTCAATTTTGCTTATTTGAATCCCGATGTGATTAGTGTTGGGAGTTTGCCACTTGAAACTATATAGCACCATCTCTTATCTCGAAATACGGAGGGTTAAGAGATGATTTTTTTTTTATCTACTGCGAGGGATGACATCAAGCTTATTAGCTCACAATATTAACCTTTCTTCCTTCTGCGAATTAAATTCTGGTAATAGAAAAATAAATAAAGGGTTTTGAAGTATATCTGGACAAAAATATTTCCTATTTAGTGTACATCGGTACAGAAAATAGTACGCGCAGGCGTAAAATGAGTAAAAGGCACGATTCTACCCAGGCCAGTTTTACTACGTCTTATGGAGGACGATGATCGACGCCGTGTGATGCGACGGCTTTGGAATGTGGAACCCTGCCGTTGCACCGGACCTCCAGGCCCGCAATTTACCATTATATTTCAACAAATCGCTTTTGGCTAGGTGTCTTTAGCAGTGGAAGGAATCCGGAGGATCACGAGAAAACCCAGGCGGACATATTCCTTGCCACGTATAATGACACTTAAAACTGGACTGCAAAAGAACAAGACTTGCAGGGTGTTAATCAAAGACCCGTTGTTACGATGTGGAGGGAACAAGTGGGATGTGGAGGGGGGGGGGCAGTTGATTCCCCTTCCTTTAGCGGTTAGAAATGTTTGAAAAATGGCGGTGTCACAGATGTTTTCTGGCGCATAGCTGGACCTGAATAGAATAACAACGCTATACTTGAGGTGGCACGATATTTCAGAGGGGGCAGGGGGGGCGCCCTACCCCGCCCCCGCCCCCTGCAACGGGCCTGTTTGGACTCCTAACTACTCCCCCATCCCCTCCACCTAAGAAATACCAACCGAACAGTAAAGTACAACGATTTTATTCTGGTTTTCAGTGGGTGTCGTGATTTGATATAAATTCCGGTATGATCCGATGTCGTTCGAGGAGTTCCCCAGGGATTTTCCAGCCTGCTTTCCCCTTGTCAGTATGGTACAGGCTTGATGCCGTGCCTGACAAGAAACAATGTCTAGTAGTTCGGATAGAACGAAAACACAGACATGTGTATTTGTTACAGTGTTCATAACAGAGCGCCTAGTAGCAAGAATTTAATGGCGGGAAGGCGGGAACACCCCGAATAGCACACCACATGGCGTATGTCCGTCTTCATTATCCAAAACGAAAAACCAGACACGTGTAGGCTACACGTTTCTGTGCACTTACAGAACGCCTGTGCGGCCTTCGGTTGCACGGATTTTCGTACTATAGTCGAACCATCTGCTTGCGAATGACATTTAGTTCAACCAGTGGTCGTGACCAGCCGTACCATGCGATAAAGCACGGTCGGAATAGTTCAAAGATGGCTGACAAAACTGACACTTGAGAAGATTTTCTGAAAAATATAATAAAATTGCCGATTGCCGTTGCGTTATTTACACCTGGGTCGGTATTATAGGGTCCATGTTAACACCTGAAAGTTAGTGAATGGGCATTGTAGTATAGATGTTAAATTTGATTTTTATTTCGTCTTTTTTTTTGATGAATTTGACAGATTAGGATCTTCTTATTCGAATATATATAGGCACACGACAAAAAAAAACTATACGTGTGAAATGATCTTGGTTGGGTGACATAAATCCAATGAAAAATATTGTGATATTGACTAATCCTTTTTGTAACCTATTTTAAGCTTGCTTTCACATCGCAGGATAGAAAATTAACCAGTTTTTATTAAAAATACATGAGTAAATAGGAGAAAATATAGCAGGCGGAACAACTGACATGGTCACCGCCATAGGGTCATTTGTGTTTGGGTGCTGGTTCAGACTAGTCGGTACCATAGTCTACATCCGAAGGTCGCCCTGGTAGCTAGAACTTAATGACGGGAAGGCGGGAACGCCCCTAATAGCACACCGCATGGCATGGCGTGGCATGGCGTATGTCCGTCTTCATTATCTAGGACGTTAAACCCCATTTCATTTCAACCAACTGTTTAGTATCAGTAACATATCCTTATGTATATTATTTATTTACATATTTTTACATTATTATTAAATTTACAATTTTCAGACTACGGTCGTCTTCTAAAACAAACCGGCTATCGTGTCACATCACGTGACCGAAATAGGTATATAATTTGTCTAATTGCTTTCACGTTCTGATAAGCGTCTGCCGTCGCGTCGGGCTAGATCTATTTGTTAAGGCCAGCTCAATTTTCGTCAAGGTCGTTGAGATTTAAACAAGGTTAGGGCACATGAGTGTTGGCGAGATTGTAGGTTAGGGTTAGGGTAAGTGTTAGAGTAGGTCCAGGGTTAGGGTTAGGGTTGAGATTAGCGCTAGCCCTGTTTACATCTCGTGACCTTTGACCAAACTTGAAGTTGGCCTTATCAAATAGTTCTAACCCGTCGAGACTGCGATAGCTGACTTTGTGGTGCACTTCATGGAGTGGGTATGTATACACCGTAATATTGCAGTCAGACACGCTAATAATCGTTTGTGTTGAATTGAACATTTTGGCACTTTTCAGACGATATAAAGAAACCAGCGCCACCTATAAGAAGTTTTTCTGTTGCTGCTCCTAAACTGTGGAACAGGCTGCCATCACATATTAAGGATGCAAAATCATTGTGTACATTCAAATCATTGCTAAACAACACAGCTATTCAGCGCAGGTGATGGGAAACTGTCGTAAATGTGACAGACTAACTCAGCGCCAGTGAGCAAACTTTTTGGATACGAGGCTCTATACAAATCCATTATTATTATTATTATAAGTGTCGAGTAAAATCTTTTGATGGGCCTCATTTCAATCAGATTGAGTCCAAGCCAGATATCTACCGTTGGATCTTTGTTTAGTTTTCTTCATAAAAGGATAAATAATCGGTTTGAGTACATTTCTCTGAACTTTAACTTCCATCGTACAACAAAATCAACCAACGCAGCCAAGGTATTACCATTATCTCATATTTTTTTACGTCACGAAGGTCATATCAAGGGCGTGTTTTTGTTTACATTGATTGACTATGTTTCCACATCACCGATTCCTGTCGCGCCCGTTTGGCCGCTTCGGCGTCCTTCTTCATCTTTCTATAAGCTAACCTTCGCTCTAACAAACCCAGATACAATATAGAGGAACAGAGACTCAACACGGCGGCTATGGCGTAACTCCACTTAAAACATCGTAGACCGTAACAATCATGAACGCTTGGATCGCCAATACTCAACTCATAGAGAGCTCCAAATATCTTCTGGATAATCAAGCCACCAAAAGCGGTACCGACCATCATGAAACCCCAGTTCATCCCAAAATATTTCATTCCAAAAAACTCGCTGGTCATGGTCGGAGTTAAACACCAGGTAGCGCCATTAGGGATGCCGACCCCGAACAGAGCCAACAGAATGATGGGATAGTAGTCACCGTAGAAAACACACACAGCCAGCACGACAGTCTGAAGAGTCGTGGTGCACAGAATCACCCCAGCTCTAGGTACTTTCTCTATTATCATATCAGACACGAAACCAATTATCAATTTAGAAAATGTCGCTGATATTGGATTTAATACCGTGAATAATGTACTTTTGTTCTCGTGCTGAAAAGATTTTAAATACGTTGTAATGTTATTTATATACATCAACTGTAGACTAGCGCACATTATATACGGCCAGAGCAGGAAGTGGAAATCAAAAAGTTTTAAAAGTTTTAGCCCACGAATACTCTTTTCCTCCTCTATCTGGGGGTCACTATCTGCGACGATCTCTTTCTGGCTCTCGGATGCATTTATGGGTTCTAAAACTTGTATCTCGTCATCCGGGTACTGGGCTAAAAATACAACCCCTAGAAGATTGATTACACCGAAGGCAATAGCAGACGTCAGATAGAATCCTGAAAGATCTTGATTTTCTTCGTCTGTTTCGTGGCCGTTCTTGAAACACACACCGTATAAGAGAGCGACCAAAGCAGGACCTGCACTGAATGACGAGTCTAGAAGTCCAACAATTTTACCTCTATGTTTCGAGTGAACATTATTCATACTTGTCGTGAGACACGACATGTAGGTAAAGATGGCGCCAAATCCTGAAATTAGATATTATTGTAATATTAGCAACACTAATTATTTATTGTCTCTAACTCAAAGTCTTACACGTTGAAATTACGAATTATTTGTCAATTCAAATCAACATTGATGTTGTGATCTTACCAGGAAACGATAGGCTTCTGATATCCAATATTTAAGACAAAATAAACATTTTACCATTGGTACACGAATCGCGTACCATAGTGTGTTTCAGCGCCATTTGTAACAAGTGACCAGATAGAACGAGGCTAGACATATTCCACAACTCATGTTAAATGGTGACGGCATATCTTATCTGGAGAGCATGCGCAATAGACTGGAATAACCAGACGCTAGAAATTGCTATTCGATGGACATAACTGATTTGAAATTAGTGTCAAAACGGAAACAATTGAATGCAAATCAGTTTATATACAATCAGATTACATTATTTTATGCGTCGCGACCCATTTGGGTCAATTTCTAGCTCCTTTAAGTCTCTCATTTTTGGTGGCGTATATCTGGGCCTGAATAAAACGACCAGTTTCATCAGCTACAACCTCGCTGATAACAATAATGAGTGTAGAACTTAATGCGTAAAACGTGGTGTTTTTTTAGGGTGCACACTGCACCTTTTTAGGGTACCCCCAATCTGCCCCTTTATCACACCCATGGACTACACAAATACTTATAGCACTCCTATCAATTTAGTAGGAAATGTCAAGTTCTCACCATCGCCTGTCCAACCTCCTGGGTTTTCTCCGGGTCTTGCGGTTTCCTCCCACTGCTAAAGACCCCTACGCGCAAGCGAATTATGGAAATAAAATTGAACCATATGTCAATCCCGAAATGACCTAGTTTGTGTCGAGTGTTAACCCCCCTCCCTCTCTCTCTCTCTCTCTCTCTCCGTCTTCATTAGCCCAGGTTAGGAGCAGAACAGTAGGACGTTAAACTCCATTTCATTTCATTTCTCTCTCTCTCTCTCTCTCTCTCTCTCTCGTTCTTACCAGCAAGGAAGAAGTAGATATCTTGTAGATAAGGGTGGTCGTGATAGAAGTCAACGTTACTGTAAGTCGTATACAACATGACAAAACCTAGCGTTGTTAATAGCATGGCTGTAAACGACGTCCATCTTGCACCCAATTTCTCACACATAAAACCTGCTGGGAATCCTATAGATATTCCAAAATTACCCATTGCTGCCATCATTTCAACTGTAAGGAAAAATTGAATTATTTAATAAAAATCGATTATTATACGTTCATCTTCTAAGTGTGCGGGGGTGAGGGTGGGGTTAGGATGTGGGGTTGGATGGCTGAATGGTTAGCACGTACGCCTGTATCATAAGGTCTGTCATTGAGTCAACTGGCGTGGTTTCGATTCCCCGGCTGTACGTGACAAGGATGAAGGAGTATGGTCGCCTGTCCAACCTCGTGGGTATTCTCCGGGTCCTCCGGTTTCCTCCCGCTGCGAAAAACTCCTACGCGCAAGCGAATTATTGAAATAAAATTGAACCACGTGTTTGTCCCGAAATGACCTAGTTTATGTCGAGTTTGTCGCGAGGTTTTGTAAGTGTGCTGCGCAATTTAAACGGCACACTAAGCAAATGCGAAAAACCACGTGATCCTAAATAGATATTCACTGGTGTCTACTGGTAAGTTCATAGCTGTGGTTTTCTTTATTTAGTCATTCTGTGTCTATGACTAGATTGTGTCTTCGGTTGTATGCCTTCTATGTTTTTATTTTGCAAAATTCATATATTTAGCCGGGTGTGTCGCTATTCTCTCTCTCTCTCTCCTCCTCTCTCTCTCTCTCTCTCTCTCACCTCATTTCGGTGTAGAATAAAGCACGAGACAGAGGTTATGCTGGGTAAATAAAAACTAAAGAAAATAAACCGAGAAAGAAAAACCCGAGTCTTTCTTCTACAGCATAACCGAAGTCGAGGACTTTATCTTTCTTATAATCCACAGGCACTTGAAGGGATTAAAATAAAACTTCTTACTACTGCTTGACTATATACTACAGCATAGTCAAGCAGTGATAGGACGTTTTATTTTAATCCCTTTAAGTGTCTGTGTTATAACCCGTCTATGTTTACATGTACGTAAAATCAGAATATCCCAGAATTGAAGAATAACCCGTTACAGGTTTTAAGAAAAACTTTCAGAAGAATAACCTCAAATTCCCCTGTATATATTCAAAGCTGCCCCCGACTTTCAGACCGGGCATAGAATATACCACAAAGATCAAAAGGATTTATCGTTATCTAGGTTTATAAGGACTAATATTTATATCTTTATAAAAAGTCGATAGAAGCAGGGGGGGGGGGGGCTCTCGGAGGCTAGAATTGTAACTACAAGATTATCACAAGTATTGGAAGCCCTGTCGCTCCCTCAGCCATCTTTTAATGAATGCCATTTTTTAATACTTGAAATGAAATGAAATGGGGTTTAACGTCCTACTCCTATGCTGGGTTAATAAAGAGAGAGAGAAATGGGGTTTAACGTCCACTCGACACAAACTAGGTCATTTCGGGACTAACATATGGTTTTTAATTTTATTTCAATAATTCGCTTGCGCGTAGGGGTCTTTAGCAGTGGGAGGAAACCGGAGGACCCGGAGAAAACCCACGAGGTTGGACAGGCGACCCTACTCCTTGTCACGTACAACCGGGGATTCGAAACCACGCCAGTCGACTCAATGACAGACTTTATGATACAGCGCGCGCACGCTAACCATTCAGCCATCCAACCCCCCGGGTTAATGAACACGGGCATACGCCATACAGTGTGCTATGAGGGAAATTTTGCCCGGGCAGCGGCACTATCGCCTACTCTTATATCGAATTCCAACTGCCAAGGGATCTTTTACGTGCATTCCGATGTATACACGGGACCTCGGTTTTTCGTCTCATCCAAATGACTTGAAAGCTGTCCTTGTCAGGCCCTCCGTCCTGCATCGCTGACAACGGGGAACCACGCCGGAAAATCTAGATGAACTTTCTCGGCCAATGCAGAGATCGAACAGCCGACCTCCAGGCTAGCGAACCAGCGTCTTACCCACTTAGCCACGTGATCCCCGTTTTAATACTTGGTATGGTGTAAATATAACTTGGGAGAGGTTAAACATGTATTACTCAAGAGTTAAATCTGCCTATTGCAGGTCTTTCTTTAGGCCTGAAAATTTTTATAAATTATTAATTAGACATTAATTAACATGAAAAGACCATAATCAACTCTCGATGTCATCGCTAGTCTGCGAAATTTACTGAATTTGAATCCGATCTGTTGCTCAACGCTCATCGATACTATTTTTTTTATCGTACCGACTTTAGTAATGATGATCGAGGCTAGGCCTAAAATTCAAAAACTAATATCTCGGTTCAGAGTGGATCAATTTGACTGAAATTTTCAGCAAATCCCCTTTACATTATCTAGTTTTTACCTATTATAGTGAGCATGGTCAACCTTTTATCTAATCTCCCATAATGTATCTGTAATAAACTAACCTTAGATTCATTACAATAAAGCTAATTAGGTCAAATATTCTATATATATAAGTATTATACCTACCTTGTGACTGAGTAAAGTCACATTCTATCAGGGCCGTAACTAGCCCGGAGCAACCAAGGGGGCGAGAAGAGTTCTCATGGGTGCTGTAAAATTGACGGACAATATATATCAATTTTTTTTATGGTCGAAAATCTTTTCACGGGGGGGGGGGGGGAGCTTCGCCCCATCCCCCACCCTTAGTTACGGGCCTGTATTATATATATAATTATTATACATACCTTGTGACTGGGTATAATCAAATTTCTTCTTAATAGCATTAGAATAGGCGTTGAAGATGAAGATCGATCCAGCAATAGCCATACCAATACATCCCACGGCGATCGCAATAATACGTAATATTAAATTCTTTGTAACACGAACCATTTTGACTAGCAGATATCCCACGTGGGACGATTTCCAATACTTTCAATACCTAAATTATCATGTCAGAGGATTTGAAGAACACCATGTCCTTTAAAAATAAAAGGGTTTATTAAAATGTTTAGAGTTCCCCGAAATATTCATATATTTACTTCCCGTTAGAATCAATTTCAAAGCATTTCAGGAAAAAAGCCTCTCTGGTGAACAACAGTTGCAGGTTGTTGGTTTCCCGGACACCTCTGCTTCTTTTCCCAACTCATAGTGATTGTGTTAGCGTGTATAAAAACTGTTTGGCTAATCAGTATTTTCATATATCATACCCTGATAACACAGATCAGTGTTAAAATTATCAAACTTAAACTTTGAACTTTTACCACCTCGAGACCATATCTAGGCCTATGTATTTTATTACATGCCGAGGAAAGGGATATCTTTGTACCGAAGCCTTAGTTTTATCATGTGAGCAAGCCCACCAGAGAGTAAAAGTACATTACATCTGTACTGGTTCAAATTGGTGAAATGAAGTATGGTTTAAACTTCCTACCGTTCTGCCCCGACGGGGCAGGCCGTTGGGTGGCCGGATGGTTAAAGTGTGCGCGTCATTGAGTCAGGTGACGTAGTTTCGATTTTCCGCTTGTATCTGACAAGGAGGGAGTAAGGTCGCCTGTCCAGCCTCTTGGGTTTTCTCCGGGCCCTCCGGTTTCCCCCCACGGCTAAGAACCCGTACGCGCACGCGAATGATTGAAATAAAATTGGACCATATGTTAGTCCCAAAATAACCTAGTTTGTGTCCAGTGGACATTAAACCCAATTTCTCTCTCTCTGTCGCTCCGATTGGGCTAATGAAGACGAGTATACGCCACGCAGTGTGCTATCAGGGAAGATTTTGCCCGGACAGCGGCGCTGCGGCCTATCTTATTTTGAATTTCAACTGTCAAGGATTCTGTTACGTGCACGCCAATGTGTACACGTGACCTCGGTTTTTCGCCGCATTCGAGCGACTATACGTTATCAACACCCCCCAGGTTAGCGTGCCAAATGCTTACTCACTGAGTCACCGTGACTCCCGGTTCAAATTAATATACGGAACGAGCTATGTTAACTACGAGCCCTATATTATGTGTTTATATCCAATTCTAATTGTCAAGGGGTCTTTTACGTGCACATCGATATATACACGGGACCTCGGTTTTTAGTCCCATCCGAACGACTATACGTTGTCCGTGAAAGAGCCTGTGTCAAGCACCTCTGACAAGGAGGAACCACGCCGGAAATTCCCGATGAACTTTCTCGGGTAACGCAAGGATCGAACACGGGGCCGACAGGTTTACGAGTCAACATCTTACTCACCGAGTCGCCGTGGCTCCCGGTTCAAATTAATATTGGAAACGAGCTATGTTAACAAATGTTACTAGCCCTACTGTGTGTTTGTGACACGTTTGTCGGATAACGAATCTTGTTAGCGATACAATAATGTACATATTCTCTTTCACAATTTCAAGAAACATTTTCTCGTAGTTGGAATCAACAAACGTCATATCTGTACCGTAATAACTGATAACCGAATTATCCCCCCCCCCCCAAAAAAAAATAGAGAAAGCAAATCGCAGCGAGTTTCACTTTAAAGGAGGCAAGTCGCTAACTCAATACTATCCACAGTCTTCGACATTGCAAACACACGAGAGAGAGAGAAATGGGGTTTAACGTCCACTCGACACAAACTAGGTCATTTCGGGACTAACATATGGTTTAATTTTATTTCAATAATTCGCTTGCGCGTAGGGGTCTTTAGCAGTGGGAGGACCCGGAGAAAACCCACGAGGTTGGACAGGCGACCCTACTCCTTGTCACGTACAACCGGGGGTTCGAAACCACGCCAGTTGACTCAATGACAGGGCCCTGTTTCACGAAATTTTAACTAAAGATAAAATCCAAATTTTAGTAGATACTTCAATTTTGATTCGCTAAGCACTAAAATCAATCTTATATTATCCAATCAAAATACTAAAATTTGGATTTTATCTTAGTTAAAATTTCGTGAAACGGGCCCCGGGTCTTATGATACAGCGCGCACGTGCTAACCATTCGGTCATCCACATTTAAATCAAAATAAATGTTGTTATCTTACCGTGAAAATATTTAAGACTCAAAGATCGAGAATACTAGCTACCGGTGACTGTCATTCAGTTAATTGGACCATTCGGCTATTTCGTTGACGTGCGGGTAAAGGAACGCTTGGAGGGAAGAATTCGAGTAGCTGGTAAAATGTCAGGGCAAAATTTATCTTCTCGTAGCACACAACATGGCGTATTCGTCTTCATTAGCCCAGAAAAGTAGGGTGTTAAACCTCATTTTGTTTCATTATATATTTGTTTCATATTCCGACTCCCGGCGTCATAAGGATGCAAGACTGACTTGAAAGAGTTATTACTAAGACTTCGGATGTATGACCCACATCTCTCTGACGCAGCTTGTCACCGAGGGCTGGGTTGACCTTTAAAGGAGCTAAATCGCTAATATTTGTGACCTAGACACAAATGGTTCGCAACGCATAAAATTATATAAACTGATTTTCATTCAATCGTTTCCGTTTTTACTCTAATTTCAAATCAGTTCTGTTCGGCGAAATATGCCAGAAGTCTCAATCGAATGATAATCTCAAGCGTCTGGTTATTCTGGTCTACATCGACAGTATTTATTGCCCATGCTCTCCAGATAAGAATATGGCGTCACCGTTTGACATGACTTGTGGAATATATTTAGCCTCGTTCATCGAGTCCCTTGTTACAAATGGCACTGAAACGCATTATGGTACACGATTCGTGTACCAATGGTAAAATGTTTATTTTGTCTTAGATATTGGACATCAGAAGCCCATCTTTCCCCGTAAGTTCACAGCATCAATGTTGATTTAAATTGACAAATAATTCGTGGATTCAATGTCGAAGACTTTGGATGATATTCATTTAGAGGCTTAGCCACTTTAAGCAAAGTAAGTACGTGCTTGGGACATCATAGGAATACGGGGAATCACAGAATGTCTGCACTCTATATCTAGGAAGGGTACAGGAATCTGTTGAGCTTTGCTTTGTTAAATGCCAAATCTAAAATATTTAATTGTTTTTGTCTTTTCGTGCTGCTATAATAACCGTTTTGTCGCAATTAATAATGGCGTGAGAGAAAGAGAGAGAGAGAGAGAGAGAGAGAGATGGGGTTTAACGTCCACTCGACACAAACTAGGTCATTTCGGGACTAACATATGTTTTAATTTTATTTCAATAATTCGCTTGCGCGTGGGGGTCTTTAGCAGTGGGAGGAAACCGGAGGACCCGGAGAAAACCCACGAGGTTGGACAGGCGACCCTACTCCTTGTCACGTACAACCGGGGATTCGAACCACGCCAAATAATGGCGTGTATTAAACTTTAGAAAAATTCTTACCACGTTCTAAATGGTTCGTAATATATATACGGGGGCAACACAATACTTTAAATGCTTAGAGGCCTATGTGGGTCCTAATACGGTCCTGCTTGTTGATACCACAGAGATGTGAAAATAAAATATTGTAGTTTCAGACCGGGAAAAGAGTTTAAAGGAGCTAAATCGCTAATATTTGGGACCTAGAAATTGAACCAAATGGGTCGCAACGCATTTAATAATGTAATCTGATTGTATATAAACTGATTTACATTCAATTATTTCCGTTTACGTCCAGCGAAATACGGCACGAGTCTCAACCGAATGACAATTTCTAGCGTCAGGTTATTCCAGTCTATTGCGCATGTTCTCCAGATAAGATATGGCGTGACCGTTTGACATGAGACGTGGAATATGTCTAGCCTCGTTCTTTCTGGTCACTTGTTACAAATGACGCTGAAACGCACTATGGTACACGATTCGCGTACCAATGGTAAAATGTTTATTTTGTCTTAAATATTGGATATCAGAAGCCTACCTTTTCTCGGTAAGATCACAACATCAATGTTGATTTGAATTGGCAAATAATTCGTGTTTTCAATGTGTAAGACTTTGGATGATATTGAGTTAGAGACTTAAATAAGTGGAATATATCAAAACTAACCCATTAAACTTTCAATCGAGAATTAAAACCTATGACAACATTGCGTGTATCCTGTTGTATGATTTTAAGAAAGGTGTCACGTTCCCAAATACTGGGGAAATATTTAACAAAATTTTACTGAAATAAATTGATATTAACAATTTTGTTGTGTTATAAATGAAATGAAATGGGGTTTAACGTCCTACTGTTCTGCTCCTATACTGGGCTAATGAAGATGGGCATACTCCATACAGTATGCTATGAGGGAAATTTTGCGCGGACAGTGGCACTACGGCATATAGAATTCCAACTGTCAAGGGATCTTTTACGTGCACGCCAATGTGCACTGAAAAGGGGGAACCACGCCGGAAAATCTGGATGAACTTTCTCGACCAAGGCTTGGATCGAACACCCGACCTCCAGGCTAGCCACCGTGGCCCCCAAGTAGACTAGATATCGATCATTTTGAAAATTCTAGCGGCTGACGCGATTTTCTTAATAAATGACCCTAAAACTTCAGTGGTTGTATCCAGAGTTGAAATATTGTTAGAGTTATCTGCCTTACTGTGAGTAGGCAGTATGACACCTCAATTAAGAGAAATGAAATGAAATGAAATGGAGTTTAACGTCCTACTGTTCTGCTCCTAACCTGGGCTAATGAAGACGGGCATACGCCATACAGTGTGCTATGAGGGAAATTTTGCCCGGACAGCGGCACTACGTACGGTCTACTCTTATATCGAATTCCAACTGCCAAGGGATCTTTTACGTGCACGCCAATGTGTACACGGGACCTCGGTTTTTCGTCCCATCCGAACGACTAGACAGCTTTCCTTGTCAGCCTCAATTAAGAGTAATATAAGTGTAATAATTTTTCTTTAATCGAGGGTATCCCGCCCTAAATTTAATTGGAAATATTCTCTCGTAATGTGATGTGTTACACC